ATCTTGTTATGTACTATAATGATATGCTATAGCCGGTGTAATTATTGTTTGACAGACATGGGCGCCGTATACGAGAACCAACCATCATTACTATTATTATTATTATTTTGACCAAACATATTGACGCTTATAATGACCCACTATACACGTAGGGTATCACCCACGTCCAAATCTGTTTCTTAGTAACTGAAGGCGGAATACAAAATAATTTATGAAGGAATGAGTTACATGTGATTTACAATGAATAGTAGTCAGTCATGTTTTTTTCTAGACAATTTATCATGTATCCATATAAGTTCTTCAATTCCATTCGTCAAGCCGTGAGTTGCAGGAGAATTATTTCTAAGAAAATATAAGTTTCAGTTTAATTTTTTTTTTTTTTGGGTTGCATGTGCCAGTAATAAAGTATAAAGTATTTTGTTATCCTGGATAAAAATGATTATGATGTAGCCGCAGGTATTCTGTTATCATAATTAGTGTTAATCACTGGTATGTTGAGCTTTTTTTTAATATTTGTTAATATATGATCAAAATTTTGAAGAACTTGAAGATAATAATATTAAATAATTGGCCATAATTATGATTGTTAATTTGTAACTCAATTTAATTATGATACTTCTGTGAACCTCTCGTATAGTTATCATTTTCATACATTTCTTCCCCTTCCCTCCCCCGACTCTGTTAGTATACTAATGATTAGCAGAGCAAAGGAATTGCTTTTTTAAACATGTACTGAGCACACTGCGTCCAAATGGAGCAGAGCTATGTCAAGTGTTCCCAATCGCCATGTTAAATCCCTGCGATCTTGCCGCATGGGGGCGTTATTCCATCTCGCTCAATTAGCCTATGTCTTGTTTACGGTCGATTATTGTTTGTTTCTTCTTCAGTATGGTTTAGCAATCAGCCATTACCGGTGTGTAATATGTTAATTATAGGAGAATAACATCATCAACTTGAAAGAAACACCATAAGGGTGTGGGAGTATACAACCAGTAAGAAAACAAATCACTGTGATATTTTATTTATTATTGTTGTTATCATTTTTGTTTTTGAGACTCGCAATGATCATTTTCAGAGAAATATATTGTTCAATACCTGATTATTAGTTTGTACGACGTTTTTAATCGTTTATGACGTATCCAAATGTGCTGGGGAACACAATCACCAAGACTCTCGATAAATCATCGGTAGGGCAAATTCATTACCATTTGAATTGCCTTTACAAGTCATTTCCAGATTATGTCATTTCTCATTGTCATGTTCGCATAATACAGGAGATGCCCGAGGCCATTGACATTGCCTTGGGTTGAGCGCCAGTGTAACATCCATGCGAGAACAACTTAATCTCCCAACTCTTGAAGAAAGAAGGAGTCGGGCAGAATTGTCAATGTTCTACAAGATAGCAAATAACAAAATTGCGATACCAATACCGGATTACATCAAACCGAGGGAGCGAACTACAAGGAGGAGTCAACAACAACGATATATGAGACTATAGGCTCTTCAATGGACACTTACAAATTTAGTTATTTCCCCTGGACACTTAAGGACTGGGACGAGCTACCTCAGATCGATCATCGTCGAACGGCCTTCTTTGGAGCAGTTCAAGGTAGCTCTTGAATCAATTTAGTTCCCTTTTCAGGAACTGTACCGCATAGAGCTGTATATAACACCTCTATGCTTTACCCTCATCTAGATGCTGAACAGGCGTTGATGAGTATTACCATAGAAGTAGAAGCAGGAGCGTCTATGGAGTGTTCGTGGCTATCTTGGTGAAATTCCTGGGCTGCCTTTATAAGGAAAAAACAGTTCTAGAGGTATTTGGCCATGTTCCTTAAAAATACAAGCCATTTTTACAGAGATCTGCATGGGTCAGAACTGCGAATAAAATAACATTTCCCCAAAATAGCCTCTATCATTTTTTTCCTTTGCGCCTGAAAAAAGCGTGCCGTGTGCTTGATCCTTCGCAGACGTTTCTATATTTAATCTTATCTAAATGAATAGGAAAAACAAGATCTGGAATTTGAAGCCTTTTCTTTGAGGGTGAGGTTACTTAATTAAGTTGTTTTTGTCTGCCGATGACGCAAGCAAGTGTGTTTACACATCACTGCTTTCAGTAAAAGTCGTCCTCTGCCTTCTTCACTGATTGAATTTAACGACAGCGCATAATAATAAACATTAATACAAAAGTACGCAATTTAGAAAATGCTCATTCAACCGTAAAATATTGTCAATACTTTTAGTGCCATCCGATTGAAAATACCCCCTTACCCATAATTTCATGAGAAAACATCATGTCACTTTCGTGAAATTTCAATTTTGGAGGATTTTCAAAGTGTGTAATTTGTGTAAGCACCGTTTAGGCGTCGCGTTGAATTTCGTGGAGTATTAGAATGTGCAGAGTGCTCACTTACTTTGTCTAAAGTTGGACATTACGGCAGAATGAGTGGATCGGCTGTTTTCTGGTTTATTTCAGGTGCAGCTCTCGGTAATTAATCATGGGGGGGGGGGGGAGGAGGGTGCGGTAGGGGAATTAAAGTAAGGCAGGGAGCTTTTATATAGTGGGTATATATTGAATAAAAAATGCATGGAGTCCTCCTTCAGTTCAACAAGTCGGGGGTTTACAGGAGAAGTAAGAGAAAAGACACACAGAGAAGCACATAGGTATTTAGACAGGAGGGAGGGAGAGTGATTTAAGGAGAGAGAGAGGGAGAGAGAGAGAGAGAGAGGGAGCGAGAGAGAGAGAGAGAGAGAGAGAGAGAGAGAGAGAGAGAGAGAGGGGAAGAGGAGAGAAAGATGGGGGGGGGGGGCAGCGCAGAGAGTAATCCAATTATATTGCACATATACCATTACAAACAAGGATATGCATGCCTTACATAGTATACATCACTCGAGTCTCTTTTTAATCAAGATTTTGATGAGCAAGAAGCCTCCAGGAGCAAACATTATCTCCTGTCTCTCTCTCTCTCTCTCTCTATATATATATATCATATGTCTCACGATCTCATCTCATCTCCTTTTCCATTTTATCTCCTTCTCTCTCTCCAACTTTTGATCACCCATCATGCCATCAAGCCAAAGTATTAATCATTTATTGACCATAAGTACCATGAACAACAAAATGCAATAATGACTTGGGAAGATTTTTAAAAATTTTATTTGTACACACTGTAATTGGTACATGATTGACTTTCAAGTTTCACTTGAAAAGTAACACAGCATTTATAAAACAAACATGCTGAACAAATCGTCCTTGTTTTCACGAAGTGATGGTAGTGAGGAAAATCGTAACGCAAAGTGAATGCAATTTTTTTTCACTACCGTCACTTCGTGAAAACAGCGACGAAATGTGCACGATCTGCTTTTTTTTATTTGGTAGCAAGACAAAATCTGTGAATTTCAATTATAAGATGTAAAATATAGCATTTAGTGAAAAATAAAGGTTTTTGAAATATATCTTCTCAATTAACAATACTTGTAGACACTACAGAAAATCTGTAGCAAGAAGTACTATTGATTATTGATAATCAAGAACTGTCAATCAGAACGCAATGCATGCATTTCTCATTTGGCAAACACACATAAATTTCAAACAAAAGAAAACTATTAGCCAAATTCGTTTTGGACTCCATAGCAAATACTAATTTTCTTGAAGCCTTCATTTTCCCAGGCATTAATGGGTAGACTTTTATGGTACAGTCACAGTATATGATACATGTATGCAGAATCAAACCAATCTTGTTTTTTACTAAATGCTAAATAGTTGATATTACATTAAATTATAGTTAATATGATTAATTTGATAAAAGCTTACTCAACTGAATCAAACCAACAAAGCATTGTATTAATTATCATTCTTATTGCCAACTTTTTATCTTAAAAATATGAAGCATATACACTATGTTCCTGCAAGACAGATCTCTCCAGCTCTCTAAAATACCCCAAGCATAATGTATGACATGTTGTTTTTGTTATGCACACGTTCAGACGTGATTTTCTTTAATGACACTCACTTGTCTCAAGTCAACTAATATGGTAAATCATTGACTACTGAATTAACATATTTCCCTTGGGTTCATATGGGGACTGTTGGTTATCATAGTCAATGAATTAAGATCAGGCCTTAAATTTCAATATTTTTAGGGCAAGGCCACTTTTCTGTAGGGCACATTCCTATATTACAGCACAAATAGGAAAAATTGGAAAGGGCACAAAAAATCTCCAAGGCCAATGAGAGGGGCATTGAGGCCAATCAAAGGAGCATCCAAGGCCATGGCCTTGGTGGCCTTGGATTAATTTAAGCCCTGGTTAAGATACTATACCATGTATACATGTTTATCTTTACATAATTACTGTCTGTTGTGTATGAACTTTCTCATTAAATTTTGAGCTCACTTATGGTTATGAATCAGGAGATTTTGTGCACATAAGAATAAAATCCCCTTTTCTGCTCTCAATGCGAATTATACAGGTCTCAACAGTGTCTCAAGTCTCAACAGTGTTCATCCTAAAGATCTATCATAGAATGTACATGCATGTTATTTGAAGCTAACTACATGTACACCTGTACCAAACATGATTGCAAGAGTGATCTACATGTACATACACTGAATGTATGTGCATAAACAAATAGCTCATATTGAAATTTGGTTCATACATCAATAATATGCATGCACACAACTGCAAGTCTGTAATATTAGACTTAAAATACTCATACTGTTGTACTGTGGTATGTGTAACAAAAACAACAAGAAATTTTTTTTTATTTTGATCTCTTAGGTTATCATGTATTCATTGTATTGTACATGTATCTAATGAAAATGAGAATTTTCTTGACACACAGTAATAAACATATTGTGCAGGAAGGATCAATGAACAGCTTGGCATTTAGTCTTCTTCATAACATTTTCAAATTAAAAGAAAGATACATGTATCTCTACAACTATAAAATAGTTAAAGTGAACCATTTCGTTATTCACAGAATCTTTATTAAAACTTGAATGCGAAGCAGAAATCTATCGCATGATCATCATCACTTATAAAGGTGCGGCATATAATTGTACAAAATCTGTCAAAGTGTCATGGTAAAGGCAAGTCCAACATATGAAAATCTCATTTGCCTTGTAATAATTACATTAATAAACGTAAGTTATATTGAATATGTGACAGAAATTAACACACATATATCAGTTGATAGAACCACTGAAGGACAACCAGGTTCAACTGTAAAAAAAAAGATGAATTTCATTAACTTGTTAAAAACAAAATAAAACGGCCTTAAAAACCCTCCATCCAGCAGGCAGAGGGCGATGAGTTGTCCAAAAAACTATGGATGAAAACATGACCACATCAGAGATGCCTTGGACTTGCACATATTTAATGTATCTATCTTCATCAAAATACAAGTCCTTCTGATTAGACTGAAGATTATTGTGCCATTTAAAATGCTCATCATGATGGGATGGATATTTCTGGTCCAGGATAATGCACTTCATCACACCAAAAATCATGAGGTTGAGAGATACACATCAACCAGTGAGGGTCTGACTCCGAAGAAGATGGTTGCAAAGATTTTAATTCCTTGAAATACTGGCAGTCTCTTCCGATAACCGGATCGTACGGTGGAGAGAGAATGTCAAGAAAGGCAGCGGGTCCTCCGACTGATTCTAAACTATGGTAGTTTCCTTCTCTTGGGGTGAGTAACACTGCTTCTGAAGATGCTGTGAAGTGCTGATCAATTCCAAGTCGAGTCGGAGCCAATAAATGTTTCTTCGGAGGCTCGTTCTCTGGGAAACCTTCAAACTTGGAGATTGGAAATTTAGTCCAGTCTTCAGTGATGGTGTTGAATGTTCTAACCGAGATATCACCATAGAGCACTTTGAGAAGACCATGCATTCCTGGATGATTATGAAGAGGGATGCGGCTTCCTTCTCTTATAATGAACACGCCCATTGTCATGACACCGTCTTCGAAGATGTGCATGTATCCTACCGGAGCGCGCTGGGAAGGGTCTCCTCCAGCTGCCGCCTCAAAAGCTGCTGGATTCGGTGGCAATCTTTGTTGTTCTATCATAGCTCGGCTGGCGTCAATGTTTAGATCAGAAGCTTGAATCTTTGACATTGTTTCTTGTAGAGCTTTCAGACCATCAATGTTAGCATTTCTGTCCTTAAAAAACAGGCGGAATATATCCCAAGCCTGTCGGGTTACTTTTTGGAGGGCAGCCATCTCTAATTTTGCTCTTATAAATACTGAACTTGGCTAACAAAAATTTAGAAAAATATTTGCCGAGCTACTCGGCCCTAATAAAATACAGATCTTATTTGTTTTTTTATCAAATTATTAATTTATTAATCCTTTTAAACTAACTTTAAATCATATTTTATATTTTTAAAAATTGTAAAATTTATACTTTGTACTTTTTAAAAGTAAAAATGTGATATTATACTCAATGATTAAATTCTATCGTATTCTTTATTAAATTGTGTAAGTGAAATGTGCCCTTTGTTGCTGTCTGATTGTATCACTTTGTAAATAAGGTGTGTCTCGATCCATCACAACAAATCATCAAAATACATCAAATTTGTCACCTAAAGCGGATCTTTCTCTTACGTTCTGAAACCTGTGGGGAAAATTCAATATGAGCTGGTGAGTAGAATGATTTATTTTCCGCTTTCTATCTTTATGCAGTGTTCCTATTGGAGTAGCTGTAAACTTACATCATTTTGATAACGTGGGACTGAGCTGAAACTAGTTGCCCATTGCCATTGTGATTAATGTATTGAATATTTGAATGGATGATTGATTCCTACCATCCCACCCCTCACTGTTGTTGATGATAATGTAGAACTTAATCAGTTGTTAATCTATGTGGAACATCAGCAATAATTAATTGAAAAGCTGAAATTGTAGACTGATTTTGCATGGCCATTCCCTTTCTGTTTTCACCAGAATTGTCCCCAATTGCCACACATGACATAGCTGCATTACTATCCTGGCTGTGTATTGAAAGCTGCGCTATTGATTCTCAACATTTCAAACACCACTGTACAAAGCTCAACTGATTTCACTAAAAATTGGTACTTTAGTGACGATTAATGACTCCTAAATAGCAGTAGATCTAGAGTCTAGTCTAAAATACAATTTTTTCAAATTTCTAATGTTAAAAAGTATATATTAGATCTAATAAAAAAAATTCAAATTGTGAGTCCACTGTCAAACTTGCCGATCATCAGCATGAATGTGTGCATCTGTGTGTTATGAGTGTATTGACTATTCATGTATTCAAATACTGCCTATATATTAACACGTAGTGTAGTGCTAGAGGTCAATACGCATTAGCATTGACTCTCTATGCTTTGCTGGAGTGCCCAATTGCTATGATTGCTAGACTAATATAGTAGGCCTAGGGTAATACTAAAATTGCAAAATTAAACTATGTATATTCTGTGGTGATTTGCCCTTGTATTTATTAAACTAACTCATCTATAAGATTACCGGGTATAATAAATATATCATTATGTTTTAATCCGTCTGGAGACTAGATTGAGACTTTATTAATTTCCTTAAGTCTTTTTCTTCCCTACTCCCTGCAGGAATTTTTTCAGTAGGTTTACAGGAGCCTCTCCGAAGAAGACAGTGCTGACAAGGGAGGTGAGTCTCTCATGAAATATGTTTTTCTAAAGAGGCCATTTCACAATTTTACGAGATTTAATATACACATAGATTAACATCATATTCATTTAATTGTAATCCAATCCAATCCATAAGATATTTAATATAGCGCCTTTTCCTTGCAGTTACAAAGCGCTGCACACACGCTCCACAATGTTTGGGCCACTTAAAAACAAAAGTTAGACACTTCTCAGAGATCAGTAAAGTATATGTAGGCTGGTAATAAGAAATTTCTAGCAGAATAGATGTGACTTGAGCATTTTCTTGAACTGGTCAACAGATGAGGCCGTCTGCACAGCAGTAGGTAAATTGTAAATCATCATATCCAGAGCTAGACTGTAGAACAGGAGGAAATGTTTTTTATATAAAGGGGATCATAATGGGAATCAGTAAATTAGAAAGTGTATTAACTCACTCTGTAAGAGTTGAAGTCTTGTAGAGGTACATGTATAATCAGTTGTTTTGCATGCATTTGTTCTAGCTTGAGATCAATGAAGATATTATATGTAAGTTTTGTGTGTATTTATTTTCAATTTTCACCATCGATCTCTTAATGCTTTGAAATAAATTTGAAGGTCTTATTTTGTCACTAAATTATGCATAAATATGTTCTAACTTTAGATTGGTAACTTATTAAACTTGACAATTATCTATGGTAAAATTGCTATGGGTTGGTGCGTTAATTGATGTTGAGAATGAGATTTTGGCTCATTATATGCTCTTTTGGTTTATTGTTTCCCTCACGATGTAAATACACTCTGAAAAACAATCTACTGAATACACATATAGCTAGGGAGCGTATAATGATGCACTGCACCTACATGTAGTTGTAGTTATTGTTTGATATCAGTGAACAGTCAATACAAGGTTTGGATTCTTCTTTTTTTTGCAGGAGGAAAAGGATTTTGAAACAGAAGTGAATAAAATTGAAGTGTAAGTATAATTTGAAATTTATTCTCAATAATTTATTTTGTACTGCACTGTTTCTTGCTATTTTTATGTTTTGAGCTATTAAGAGCAAACATCTTTCTGTTGCAGTGGAAATAAAAAATTAAGGTACGTTGGTATTCTTGGTTACCGGTATATAGCATACTAACGTACAGTGTATGTTATCATTTTTTAACTATTTCGTGCAAATTTCTTTGATTCCTTTAACAAAAATGTAAATTTGTTGTTTATAAAATATTTTTTTGTTTCTCCTCAATACTGACAGATTGGATGAAGCCACTAAACGCTTGTACAAGGATATGCGCAAGTGCATTGAAGCGATGACGTCGCTGTCTAAGCACCAGTGTCGAGTGGCTCACAACCTAGCTGCTAGCCCTATCCTAAACACAGAACCTGATATCAAATCATTGGAGGGCATCAGCACCTCCATCAGCAAGGTTGATGAATTCACGCATGAACTGGTAAGGATGAAGACAGGTGATGGTGAGGAGGAGGAGGAGGAGGAGGAGGAGGGGGGGAGGAGGAGGAGGGGGGAGAGGAGGAGGAAGAGGAGGAGGAGGAGGAGGAGGAGGAGGAGGAGGAGGAGGAGGAGGAGGAGGAGGAGGAGGAGGAAGAAGAGAGAGAGAGAGAGAGAGAGAGAGAGGGAGGGAGAGAGGGAGGAGAGGGGAGGGGAGGGGAGGGGGAGATTTTCTTGTGGTTGTGATGGCGATTGTGGTGTGATATTGACAGTAGTGATGATGTTGATGATGATAATACTGAAATTGGCACATGTAATTATGAATGTGATCAATACTTGAATAGCATCTTCAAAATAGTTTAAAAATCTGATAAAGGAGAAATTGTTCACTTTATACATGTACCTTATCCAATGACGATCATATTCTCAAAATAACACAGCAAGTATTCCTTCCAAACCCCACAGAACCTCAGTGCTACTAGGACCATGGTTGAGCCCATGAAGAAGTTTAGTGGGATCTTTCCAGGGATCTACGTAGCTCTGAAGAAGAGGGAGCAGATCCTCCAGGAGTACAGTCGCTGTCAGACCAAGTTGGAGAAGTACCAGGACAAGGAGAGGACCGGTCCTAATCTTGCCAAGTTAGAACAGGTACAGTTCTGCTCAATCCACATTCGTTCTAGGCCTTATTTCACATCAGGGTTAGGATTTGAGTTGTGACTTGGTTTAGGTTCGGTTCTGATATAGTTTGATGTGGGTAGCTTGTCAGAGCAAGTTGGAGAAGTACCCTTGACAAGGAGAGAACTGATCCTAATTTTGGCAAGCTAGAACAGGTACAATACTGATGTTTCCACAATCGTTCTTGGGACTTATTTCATTAGATATAGAGGGTTGTGTATTAGGTTAGGTTCTGTGATAGGATTAGGTTCAGAAGTGTTGTTAGAGCAAGTTAGAGAAGTACCAGAAGAAGGAGAAGCCTTGTCCTTATCTTGCCAAGTTAGAACAGGTACGATACTGCTTAATCCACATTTGTGGAGGAGGAGGAGGAGGAGGAGGAGGAGGAGGAGGAAGAAGAGAGAGAGAGAGAGAGAGAGAGAGAGAGAGAGAGAGAGAGAGAGAGGGGGGAGGGGGAGGGGGAGGAGGAGGAGGAGGAGGAGGAGGGGGAGGAGGAGGAGGAGGGGGGAGAAGAAGAAGAAATACAAGAAAATTATGAGAATTGTGAATAAATGCTGATGACGCCATACTCCGTGGTCAAAACGTGACCATGACCAGGGATTGTTGAAGGTAAGAATCTATCAGCCATGTAACAAAATCTAAACAAAGGTAACTCGGTATGTACTACAATCTTGTCAACAGGAGATTCACGATAAAGCGTTTTTATAATTGACCTCATCACCTCTCATTCTCTTCAGAGTAAAAAAACACTGGATGCAGCCAAGGAGGAATATGAGAAAGTGCATCAAGAGCTGATGGAAGGGATGCCAAACTTCTTTGAAGCCAGGATAAACTACTTCCAACCATGTTTTGAGGCTCTCATCAAAGCACAAGTAAGCTTCATACTAATGATATTAATAATGATACTTCGTCAAGAGCCAATTTGAGGTATGCCAAATTTCTTTGAAGTCAGGATAAATAATAGTGATAATAATAATAATAATGATGATGATAATGATAATGATGATGATGATGATGATGATGATGTTGATGGTGATGGTGATGATGATGATGGTGGTGGTGGTGGTGGTGATGGTAATGATGATGATGATGATGATAATGATGAAAATATTTGTGGCTTTTCACGTCTGTCAAACCATGCTGCCCATGGCGTTCCAATATCATTTCCATGGTCGTAGTCGAGCGGCCAAATACGTATTGCTCTAGCATATGTGTTACCCATTTACACCTGGATTGAGGGATGGCAAACATGAAATAATATCTTGCCTAAGAATGTTAGTGCCAGGCTGGAATTTGAACCCTCAAAATTTGGATTGAGAGTTATGTGGATAAACCATTATACCATAACACAATGTTTTTTTGGAGCTTGCTCAAATGTGATTTGTTTCACCAATATCACATTTGCATATAATACACTTCATTGTCAGGCGCATGTAGTTACCTACAAGATATTTGTACTTTATTTTTAGGTTCAACTAATCTGAGAATTTCAAGATTTCATTAAAAACAAAACAGTTCTTTTAAAATGCTATTCATCCCAGATTGCTGTCAGCCGTTCCAAAGCTGTGGAATAACCTACCACTAGACATAAGAAAAGTCCTATCTGTTGCCGATTTCAAAGCATTGTTGAAGACAGAAGCTTTTTGAATAAATTATGGTTGTGTCCTCATCACAACGCAGTAGAGTATATATATTTATTAGCTGCACTATATAAATCATTTATAGTATTATAAACATGCGGATACCTTGGTCATTGCTCTTGCAGGTCCAATACTACACGGAATGCTTCAAGATTTATGTTGAGATAGCAGCATCATTACAACACAATGAGACGGTACAGAGCGATGATGACTTTGAGGAGGAGCTCCATTCCAAGCTCAACGACATCAGGGCTCTGTCCATCGTGGTCGACGACTAGGCTCTCTCGCTATCTTACCCGCCCATTCCTCATTCCTTCCCGTGCTACATAGTATACCTACCTATGATGGTTTACATTGTAAAGGTATAGATAGTCTTTGTTTTACAATGTTTTATGTATTCTAAATTTTTGTTGGTCTAGACTTAGCGTAAACAAAGATCTGGTCAAAGATATTCCAAATTGACACAACTCCTCCAGTTGAATTTATATTCTGTGTATTAAGTACATCTCCCTGCCCCCCCCCCCCCCATAACAAAAAGAGATGAAGAAAGATGTAAAACAGGGTCTGTATGCACGAGCTGTATGTAAAGATTTTGAAGTTTTGGGGGTCCAGACTGAGATTTTGGGGCCCATGTGTCCTGGGCGGCTGTTTAATAGTGTCAAGCAGTGGGTACAAGCTTTTATCAGTCACAGGGTCTGAAACTCATGTTGCCGTAGACTATTAATGCTTAACTAAATCCTGTGCTGTAGGTGCTATGCTGCTTTGGGCTTAATTCAAGATACACATTTTTGTTTTACTTTAGTCAGTTTAAAACTTTAATGTGTGCTTGCAAATTACTTAAACGCCTACAGCATTCCTAAATGTTGTTTAGTTTTGATACGTACCATACTTAACCAACATTTATAAATAATTTTTTTGATGTGCAATTTATTGTCACCATGGTAACAAGCTACTTAAGGTATTGTCAGTATTTACAATATAGACAACAGTTTTTTGGTACATGTATGCAAATATATTGCATGTTAGTATTAATTTATTTGTTTGTCCCATTTATTATCCAAAACACTACAGTGTGTATAATAATGTTATAATGCTTTGAAGTCTAATCAGATTCCCCTTATGCATTCTCCTGAATATTAGTATGCATCAATATAGTGTTTACACACATACCGGTAGTGTTCTTGATGTACTTATTCCCAGGCTATGTAGGTGCAAGTTCACAGGTTTATTTAATTTCATGATGACATGTTATGCACTGTAATGCGCAAAACATTTTCTGCCATTCTATTAGAATTGTGTACTGAAAGGTCACACTAAATGAGTCTGGTATATACAGGTGTATGATTAGATTTAAATATACAAATCTGTCTCATGCAATTGTAAATACAGTTTAATTTGTATACACAGATCGCTTAAGGGAGACAAAAGAGTGGTCTTTATAGGCAGGTACTTGTCCTAAACATGTATGCAAATTTCTTTCCTGGGTATGGAGTAGCAAGTGCAGATTAATGCCTTGCCAAAGGACAGTAGGGTCTTGTCAGAGACAGTACAGTACCCATGCTCTTGTTATTCAAACACTTTGATCCTGTGCGTATCCCATTCACTGCCTATCATGTCTAAGATTTTAAGTGATGAAAAATTCGTGTTTGGCCCAAGAATGGCTACAATATTCTTCCCGAAACCGAAAAAGGGTTTTCCTCATTCATTGTAAAGTTTAGTCTAATGGAAGATATGCAAAGTTTGATGAAATGAAATGAAATGAAACATTTCAATCATAGATAATTGTTCAAAGACTTCACCCCTTCTATACGAAGGGGTGAAGTAATATTTAACCTACCGGTAACTTTAAACCTAATTATTTCCCAGGCAAACCCTGTCCAAGACTTGTAAAGGTGTCTTGGAACTAAGAATCAATATCTATTTCTTCCTGACACAAGATATCTACTTATTGGAGCTTGTTCTAATGAAGTATATTTTTGTCAGAAATTCAAGAATTGAACAAAGAATTTAAACTTACAATATGACTCTGACTTAGCAGCCACAGTTGGGATTATTTAATACTTAGTGACAAACATTTCCAGGAAAGTAGTCAATGGTTGGGTACAACGAACACATGACTAGAATTGACAAAATATTTCAATCGGCTTTCCCAAAGGAATGATCAAGCCAATGAAATTTCATTAAATAGAAATGGTTTAAACCTTTTAATATACAATGTACATGTACGCAATTTAACCATCCAAAATAGTGGTTAATAACAGTCCATCAAACATCATTATGAAAATTCACCATTACTGTACTGCACTGTATAATACCTAACCCTACTATCACAGAGCTGAGAAGAAAGTCATTGGTCTCAAAAATCGGACGGTATCAATCATGTGGTGTAGTGAAGGGGACAAAAGCTTTGGAATAAGATATTCTGGGACTGTTGATAACTATAAATAAATAAACAGGAAATTGGCGCTAGGGTTTACAAACTGCCAGTGAATTATCAAGCATGCATATGTTGTTACCCATTATGAAATCAAATTATGCAAAGAAATTGAGTTCCTAACAAGTGAAAGTGCACAGAGACATGCACGCTCATGAGACCCAACTGGGGGGTGTTTCACAAAGATCCAAAGTGGAACTTATCCCTAAGTTGGACTTAACAAATATGGAAAGCCATTAGCATCATTGAGAATATTTTGTAAAAGTTATTTTAAAAGGCATAAAATGTTGATTCAAATCATTTTTAATGTCTATCATCAAGGAGATTTTATGTTCTTGATGTGGAATTTATGAAAAGTCTAAAATACTTCAATTTTTGCTTTTGAATATATTTTATTTTAAGGCTAAAAATGGCTCTCCATAATATTTAAGTCCAACTTTGAGTTAAGATCGACTTGGGATCTTTGTGAAACACGCCCCTGAGCTGGGACGGGACTGTCACTTCTACCCAATAGGGTCGGGTGAGATGTAGACCCGATCAGATTGATTTGTAATGGAAGTCCAGGTGGGGGAATAATTAGGACGGGGAGAAAATAACGGACTGGAATGCAACTGGCCTAAACATTTGTGATGCGTTGAGTGACATGATAATCGGGTAGCTACACCTCAACAATTTGTCCTTGTGTTACTGAGGTGAACAGAGAGAGTGGTCCTGACAAACAAAAAGCTTGGGTTAGGGGTACAGAACAGGTTTTAGGGGTCTGGTTTGGGATGATAGACTTAAAGATGAAAGGTTTACCACTCGGATGCCTAAACCAGTATATTTGGATCCAATCCCATTCGATATCATTTACCGGTAAAAGGTGAGGGGGGGGGGTAATAGTGAATAGAGGAATAGGAATAAAATTGTAAGATGAAATTCAGATGAAGTGAAAAGATATGATTTACATGTATTATCTTTGTTTGATTTCCTATTTTATGCAGCTTTTTATTATGAAATGACAAAAAAGGTCCTTAACATTAAATTATTCAACAACAAAAAAATATATATATATAATCACATGTATGTTTAATCTTAAATGTCAATTTATAACAGAAATATGCAATAATTATTTGTTACATCCTGTTGTACCTACTTTTTTTTTCTATTTGGAAGAAGAGATAGACCTTAAAACGTATTATATGTTTCATGATTTACTTAATATGTGACATAACTCCACGATAAGTAGCCAAATAATTTATTTAAGAGATGTGCTATTTGTTATCAAGTGTTTTTACTTTGTATTAGTTTTGTATTAGCTGTCTCACCTGTCTGATAATTGATAGAGTATCATGTTTCTTTTACAGTTGTGGAGTATTACAAAATACAATAGCCATAATTTAGAAAGACATTTTCTTTGATATCAGTTTTTCAAGTTCCAATTTTTTCTGTTAGTATTTGTGAAATTGTATTTTCTGTTTACATTTCAATCTTAATAAGTATTTAGAAATAAGGATTGTTCATATTTTACATTCATACATGTAGTATGCAAATCTACTTCAAGTTCATCTGTATGTAGATTGCATTCAATTCAATTATTCTACTTCAAAGACTACCAGATTACCTTAAGTTGTATATACCAATGAATGAAAGTTATTATTTGATGACTGTGTAAAGTGCAATAGTGAATGTTTTGTATTTTGTGTACTTATACTATTAAACATTCCTTGTATATACATGTAATCCTTCATATTTATGTCACCAAAAAATGTATTTATTGTTATATTTTGTGAGGGGGGGGGGGGGGTGTTGTCATACAAATATATGGTATGATTGGTCATTTATGTTTTACCATTAAATTGATATATCAAAGATGAAATATAACTGCTTTATTGGAGTTTCCTTCTGAGGTGCTTTGTGTTTTGGTATATATCCTCAATTAAGATTAGAAATCTATATATTTTTTCTGTTCATAATTTGATTTATTGATTCATTCATTTTGAAATCCTTTTAAAATAGTTATTTTCTTTTATTTTATTAAATTTTCATTTAATTTGGTGGTCTATATACTGTACAATATACAAAGTGCTTTGTGTAATGATTAAATATTGCACTTATACTTGTATGCCTCTCAACATCTAATGACAATAATACATGACCAAGAAGAAAAAAAGGAACAAAAATATAAACAACAAAAAAGTATTCTCAAATTACAAGCAAATGAAAATTAATGAGAACAATTCTATGAGGTTTGCTAATCATATCAGTAGTTTATGTATGCAAGGAGGATTCTGTGCAATAAGATTTGAGTTAAGATTGACTATTAGAGGATATAAGCCCTAGAAAATAATACAGGTATGGATATCTGAACAAAAATGCATACAATACAGTGGAATGAATAAATCGATTTTACATCTTTAAAACATATTTTAAGGTTTAGGCAGAAAACATTTTGTTAACATATTAAAACTGAAAGAGCCACTTTAGTATTCCTTTGTTTTATATGAGTGCATTTCATAATTGCAAAACTACCCAAAATATATTGAGAGAGGCATTTCATTTGGTGTTTGAGATCTTACTTACATCTGGATCTTAAAAAAAAGAAGAAATTAAATAAAAGGGAAATCCAACTTTGCTAGCAAACTACTCGACCGAAAAGCAGACAAATCAGAGAAGCAGACTGGTGAAAGTTTGAATGAAATCAGACAACAAAGAGAAAGTTATCAAATTTTGAAAATTGTAATCACTATACGTATTGGCTCTCCAAATCCGGAGGCTAATTCGGTAATATCTCGGTGATGTGGTGGCGTACAACTTTCCTGTTTGTTCTGACACATTAAATTATTTAAAAATGTATGACTCGGGAGGGTCTATTCTCTTTAGAGGACCTATAATAAGGTGCTGACCATAATATATTTTGAGAATTCCCTGAAGGGAGAAGGCACTGAAGAGAAAAACAGAAAGTAATTATAATTTTTTATATGTTATATGAAAGTTATTTGTGTCTACATCACAATCTACTGACCAAACTGCTAATTTTAGATTTGCATACTTAGTGATCTCATATTTCAAACATTCATAACTTTCTTATTATTGGTCCAATTTATTTCAAAATTTGGCCATTCTATTTCTCTTATCTTTCTGCTTTGATATAAATGAACTTATTAGAAGGGTTGGATTGCCCTTCTGTTGAATAGCCCTCCTGTAAAATAGCCCCTTTAACTCGATCTAATGGATAGATGTCATAGGATGGGACAAGGGATGTCATTAGATATGCGTCTGTCTGTTGGTTAGATGAGAGGGGATGATGGGAGCTGATGACTTGATTAATGACTGTTTATCTGCCGTCTCTATCTATCTCACAGCTGACTGTACTTTTCACCTTGCCCCCAGCTAGCCGACTGAGCTTGGTGCAATCCCAATCCTGCCCCCTTCGGCCAAGTTTTTTTTTTCTTTCTTTTTACCATTTCAGAGGGACTTTATTATTCAATCTCAAAATACATATAGACTATTTACAAAACAAGTAAAATGAAACATATGAAGTATATACAGGATCAACATAATTTCTTAAAAAGATCATTATAACATTTCTATTACTTTTTTTAACTTCTGCATTATTGAGGTATCTTATATTTTCTTTATATTTCAAATAACATTTCAATGATGAAATAAAATTGGCCAAGATTAAACGGTGGTCTAACTTTAGCTCCACTAAAGTAAGGTTGAGGATTTAATTATTTATTATTACTATTTTATCATACAAATAGGGTTAGGGCTGTGATTGGACTTTAGGTTAGGTTTAAGGTTTGTGGAAAGAGGAATGATACATTGTAAATGTAGGTCAAAATTTTGAACAATACTCATTTTTTCCTTCATCCTCCACATTTGAATGTACATGAAAATCACATCATAAATGAATAAATAGGCAAGATTAAAATGATCAGAAGACAATTTTATTTTTTCAGCAAAATACACCAATCTCATTTATAGCTGTACATGAGTTTACAAATAGACTTCCATGATATGCGTATCTTGCACTGTCTAAAATTAGTATACAGTAAAGTCTTTTATATGAATATATAGATATGTTTCAACTAACATCTTTTGAAATGTCTACAATTTCATCTGTACACCTGTTATAACAATAATCTTATTGATCAATTGAAAAAAATAATATAATAATATATTAGTGCCTCTCCAAGGGCTACAATATATATGTATATGTATAAACACATATACATTAAGAAATAATGCCATTAAGCTAAACAGATTTTTAAACAAATATAAAGAAATTTGCTTTGTAAGCTGTTCCTCCCAGCTTCAGAGAAACAATTTTGAAGAGTAAGACACAAAATAACTCATTCATCACTGAGAAGAGATCAGTTTCTCCTTTCCAGCTTCAGTTTTTAAGCAATTCTATTCATACATGTACCATCACCAAGTTCTGTAATTTTTGAATGGTGTGAAAAATTGAGATGTCCCGATTAAAGTTTCTTTCTTGAGAATGTGACATATTAACGCTGATTCAACCAGTCAACCTGTCATTCTTGAGTTTTGAAAAACACAAAAAATATTGAATTTACAAGGGTATGAATAATTTAGTTGTTAATTGTACATAACAATCGATACATCTATTATGTCTCTAGGTGCTTCTCAGACACATTAATACCCAATCATCGAATTAAGACTTGCCCACACACAATGTAAGCATGAATCCTGCACACCCTGGAGAGAATAGGCTCCAGTCAGTTGTCATTTTACAGACGGCCAAAGAAATGATGTTTGCATCTTACCAGGTATACATGTGGTACGTGGGTGGAGAGAAGCAAGTCAGATAAAATGCCTTGCGTAAGGACATAAGTGCCGTGCTGGGTACTGCACTAATGACCTTCAAATATCTGTCAAGGAGTTTTAACCAATCAACTCTAAAAACAACTCATAATAAATTCACTAATAGAGCAGTCTTTCTTTTGACATAACGGCAAGCATCATTTTATCATTTTTCCCCCATCAACATAAATCCAAGAAATTTAATAATCCTACGATATTTCAACCTTACCAAAAATGTCACAGGTTCTAACCTATGGTTCTAAAAAATGAGAAGCATTAGTATGATACATAAACATTGTAAGTATTTCACATTACTTATTAAAGTTCATAACTTCATGCACATTATTTACTGTAAAAAGAAAATTCAAAATTGGAATTCATGAAGTAAAGAGCTTCCAGGATTCATAACAAAACAATAACAAAACAATAACAAAAAGCAGTTGGTATAGTGGGAGGCTATTTCTGTGAACCGGTATTCTATAAATATTTGTTTGTATAAGTGCTGAAACAGGTTGCAAACACTGCAACATATCTCATCACATTTTTCATGACAAGCAATGGTAATAGTGTATTCTATCATCAAAACATTCAACAAAATTCGCATCAAAGACTTTTTAGAATGCCTTGAAATGGAGCAATTCTTTCAAATACCCTGGTTTTCAGACTCTCCCAATTCCCATTGCACATGCTCTACCAAATACCCTATTGGAATACTCAAGTCTATCTCTATATATTTCAATGACTTATAATTATCAATCAAAATGTACCAAACAAAAAAGTAATTTATAATCTAGCACACAACCATTACACAACACGCTGTTTTAAGGATTAGTAAATATAATTGTAACATTGTAATTGTATATAGTTGTAACAAAACAAAAAAATAAACACCAAAATAGTTGGAATTAGATTTCTCACAAATCAATAATCAAAATTATACCTTCGAATCTGCATGCATTAGCTCAGCAATCATAGAAAGTAATTAAATGTACATGTAGATACAAATGTACATGATCCTTGGTGAAACAAACTAGATCATCAAAGCAAAAACAGAAATAAAATACAAAAAAGTTCTTCATATGGTTCTGAATGATCAATTTTGTAAAAATAAAGTGCTACTATACACATATTTCTTAATCAATAAAGAAGAAATATTAGGTTACTTTAAAAAAATGTACAGACGTATATATCACAGGACTTTTTAACCCATAAAGAACAAAATTCCACATTTTGTGATTTAGCTTGTTTCTGAGGTGTCAGTTGACAGCGTATTTCAACAATCTTTCTCGTCAGTATTCCCTAAATTTGTTCGATCAACAGCTCTTTTTAATCTCGACATTATTATGGACCTGGTAGAAGGTAAAAAAAGGTGGTCCTAGGGGATATTTAAATGCAAGTGTAAATTACAGATGGATGGTGACATTTCATTCGTTTGCAACCCGATTAAAACAGAACTGACATACAAAAATCCAGTGGGCATGTATCAAAGAGATTTGACAAGGCCACTCCAAAACATCACTAAAAATAGAGAAATAGAGAGAGAGAGAGAGAAAGAGAGAGAGAGAGAGAGAAAGATGGAGAGAAAGAGGGAGAGACAGAGAGGGGGAGAAATTGAGGGCGAGAGAGAGAGAGAGAGAGAGAGAGAGAGAGCAAGGAGGGGGCAGGGAAGAGTAACAAGAAAGAAGGAGGGGATAAAGAAACAAATAGGGAGGAAGGGACGGAAGAGAGAACAGATGGGAGAAAGTGAATAAGAAAGACACGGGGAAAAGGGAGAGGGAGAAAGAGAAAGGGAGAAAGAAAAGGAAGAGACAGAAAAGGATGGGAATTAAAGAGAAGGGAAGAAAATGAGTGAAAATAGAGAGAGTAAGAAAGATGGAGGGAAGGGAGAGGTATGGAGAGGAGAAAAGTGGGAGAGAGAGAAGGAAAGAGAAGGGGGAAGGGGAAGGGGGAGAGAAGGGAGGAGAGAAGGGAAGGAGAAAATGAAGGGAGAAGAATGTGAAGGGAGGGGAGAAGGTAGGGAAAGAAGATAAAAGGCTTTGCACTTTGTCAGAGTTTTGAACTTGGCATGAGATTGATGGTGTAATCGTTGGGCAACAAACACAATCGACAATTGAGGTAGAACTCTAAATGGGTCTGGCAGACGGTCCTCTGTCCTTGATTGACATGTCAACCATAATTCAACGGAGGGACGGACTGCCGCGCCCTGTCCGACCCCATCACATTCCCCATCCCTCACAATACCCCTGCGTCACACAAGATGGACGACGGTGTCAATCTCAAAGGACCTGCACAAAAGACCAGGCTGATCTGATGAGGATGTCAGCGGTGGGATGCTCCACCATCAACACAGACTCACAGAGGCACCATTTGTTACAATCAAAATCTATTTATTGCCTTTCCCCTAATTTTGCAACCCGAATCAGGCCGATTTAATCATAGAGAATGAAACTGAACTATAAAATAAAAAGAGCTATAATTGACGGACAGAGTTCATTAGTTCATTACTTGAAGATCTAACTTTGCTGATGTCCTGATTCAAAGCCCTTTCTCTTTTGCCTTTGACTATAATTGAGAATTCTAATCTCTGGTTTATAATTTCATTTCCATATAAATGAGAAAAACACAGACCTTTCTCTTGAGGGCACCTTTGATAGGTCGAATCATTAACATATTAATACAATGTAAGTTTAGGGACTGCTGAGGGCTCAATGCCACTTTGCTCTCGGTTCAATAGTTACTGCTGATATTAAATCCCCACCGCACTACTTATAGCTACTTGCGCCCTCTATATAGCAAACAATGCCTAAGCGGTACATGTTGATCCCCCATGGTTCCCTTTTTCTTATGTTAATTGAGAGCTTATTTGATGAGATCACCACCTGCCAGTGACCATGCTGAGGGGTCTAATCCCTCCTGGACAAACTAGTGCAGATAGGCTTTAAGTAGTCAATTGCATTGCTACATGTAAGTCAATCAGTGGGACCAGTTATTACAAATATTGACATTAGACATTCCACAACAAACATTTAGGGGACATGTCCTTTCCTTCAAGGTGTATATAAAATATGATGAATTAAGGAAATCTAACTTTTTAATCTTCAACTTCACCAGACCCTGACTCGTCTTTAACAAACCCTTAAGGCTCGTTCATATATGATGCGGTACAACGCTGTACTTTTGAATGAATGGAAGCTGCGTGCATCAAACGTCTTACGCATTTTCACTCTTTATCAATTATAGCTCTGTTCTATACGATAAGAATGTGAAGTGCATTACTCTTTAAGTCATCATAACTTTTTTTGTGGACAACCTGGTGGTTTACCAATGCACATCTGAACAAGGCTTTAATGGAGACATCCAGTCTACAAACTTGTATAACTACTAAGATTAACCTACTTCAATTTCAAGATATAAAACAAGCTTTCTTCAATTTCATGTATTACAAGATATTTATCAGAATGTGGGTTATGAAAACCACCTGCGATACTCCCAGGGTTAACTATTGCTTCATGCATTGTAGTATCACAGAATGAGTGGGTTAGGAGCATATCCATCAATATATCCAAGACCTGTCATGATAATATAAAAGTCTACCATTTCAGTTTACAACTTAAATTACCAACAATGATTATTTATAAACTCCTCATATAAAATAACACCTTGCTCTGTGCATCACTCATTTCAAATGAAAAAGAAACATAATTAGAAAAATATTAGATTGAGCTGTAAGGATTTTACGAGTTTATGTGTAGGGTTTGACATACTTGGATATACAGCATTCACATTTGGGTTCTAAGTTGTCAAGGAGTCTGTGAATCATACAAAATACTTAGTTAGCGAATGGAGGTGTATAAAATAAAAAATGTAACCTGGTGAATATGCTTTGATTTTGTTAAATCTGGCTTTTTCATAAGTAAAACTATGTATGTTACGACACTTTATTCCTTCCACAAGCACAGCTTGAAATGCTAGTACTTTGGAGAAACTATTAACAATTTGGCTGGGAAAAAAATTAAGGTACTTTACTGTCTGAGATCCATACATTACACCACATTATCCTCCATAATGCACACCTCATAACACCATTATCCTCCAAGATGTACACCAAATAACACCTTATACCACAACACTCTCTAAAATGTTCCGCTCAAAGCACCTGATCCTTAAAAAAAATGATTAATACCTACTCATACTGTACATGTATGCTCCATGATGTTCCTGCTACATCACATCTTTGGAGGTCTTCCTTCCACATACAAGCCCATTCAACAAAATAATACTAACCCACCGGTAATAGAGGGCCCCATACCTTAATCTATAACATACTGCACCCAAACAGGCTGCTACAGTGTACAAACATGCTAAGCATTCATCTATATTTCAGTAGTTACCTCTGTTTCACCTCTATGCTAATCTTGCCTTGCTCGGCTAAGCCTCAAACATTACCAAAGCATGTGTGGGTGTCCTCCCCCAAAGCCAGAAATATATATCTGGATTAATACGACCAGGGACCTGTTTCACAATGCCTTTTTTCAATGATAAATGACAAAAATCAGTGACAAACCTGCTGATAACCAATCAGAAGCAAGGATTTCACTAGCTTTTAACAAAAAAACTGTCATTTGTCACTGATGACAAGTTTTGTGAAATAGGGCCCAGGGACATATCTATGATGTAAATTGACTTCATAAAAGGAATGCCACTTGGCAGTATTCCTCTGCCCATACTATGATAAATGTGTCTTTACTGATAATAAAGTCATCTTTTAACACATCCAATATGACCTTGCTATCTAAACAGATCAAAGGTATATTGCGACACAATTTCAAATGAATGGAATGCCATGACTGTAACTTGTCCTTTAAATGGTTCTTGTGATGAATATGGTGAGACTACTTGAATGGACACACAGATATTCATTCTTCCAACCAGGGCCGTAGCCAGAGTTTGATGTTTGGGGGGGGGGGGCACATACATGTCATTGATCGACGTCCTGGGGAGGGGTCTAAAAAATGTCAACCGATCTTGAGCTATCTCAAAGCTATCATTAACAAAATCTTCGGAAATAAATCATCATTTGATTTCATTTAATATTATCAGGATGTTTTGTAAAGGTCTTGGGTACCATAAATGTTTGCTGAATAGCATGGGCTCAAGTAAAGAGCGCTACAAACTTGCTCAGTAATAAATGATCTTGCCATTTTGAGAGAATGTTATTGGTAACAAAAATATTTATATTTGGGTGTGTCCTTAGGATGTTTACATAATGCAACAGAGATTTCTTTTCAATAATTTGTTTCCCAGGCAAGCTAATTTCAAACCAGATGGGATTAGCTACATAATTTAAACAGTGGAAGGTTATTAAGTTCCAATATTTTTCTCCCCAGGCAAGCTATTTTCGAGCCAGACAGGAGTAGCTACATAATTTAAACATTAGCAAAAGATTATTGAGTTCCAATACTGATTGCAATCTTGTATCCGACCGATTTGGCATCCAACCCAAATACCCACAGACACAAACACATGCATTCCTAATTACAAAATTTCTTCTGAACCTGTAATAGGTTCTGTTCACAAACAAACGATCAAACACTTAGAATTTGCATACTAGAAGGAGTATGGACTGATGTGGGTGAAGTGTGAAATCCCGAAGGCTGGCCTGTAGGGTTCTTGATGTTCTCTGGTGCAATCTGAGCTATAAACTGAAGCATTTTCAAACAATTTCATGACTTACAGTTAATTTACATTTTTGCTTGAAAATGAATGCTAACCTGTCACTGTTTTTCAAACCTGTCATTTCATGACTAGAACCTGACGTTGCTATATGTCATAACCTCTTGTATACCACGTTGCTAGTGCTAGCCTTCGTTTACCATTTTTTCACATTTCTTCTCTTCTTACATTGACAGAGATATATTTTAAAGCTTCACTGTCTGGGCAGTATCATTGCAATAACATCCTGCTTGGGATATGCATATTTAACCAAAAGAACAAAAAAAACTTTGCAAGGACTCTTTACCAGTGTTGTTCTTCTATATCTAAATCTGAATCTTGAGACGATTCTCCAAATATACACAACAACATGTTTCAGTCATCAAAGTATTAAGCAAATTAACGCCCCAATACTCGCCAAAAAGTGTTTTGCTGAAGGGTAGTTACAGATTGCACCCAAACTTTCAAGATACAGGTCAAATAAGTTTCAAATTATTCAACCTTTGGCATTGGCATGTCTATATTGAACATACAACATTGAAGGTATCTTTAATTGAGAACATGGTTAGGTGTATGCTTCTATAATCTAATAGATGACTTCCAAAAGTAAATGCACACTTCTTCAACAACTGGGAATTGAGCAAACTTTGAAATTGAATAAAAAAATAATGAGATGTTATCTGACACTTCTTTTTCCTTGACAATGGTAAGGAAGCATCCCTGAGTTCATGGTCTGGACTTTCCTTTCTTCCATTCCGTTTTGTGCATACCATCCCGGGAGCTGGTGTCTCAGATCATCATCTAGCCCACCATCTGTTACCATGGCGACAACATCCCTACTAAGAAGTTCATCCACAGTTTGTTGCAATCCTGTGGGCGAGCCGAGCAGCCATTAAGCCTGAAGGAGATGATTATCGCCCACTTGCTGCGTGGAACTTGACGAAGGCGACGGCTGCTAGCTCCTTACAAAACTCTTCTAGGACAATGACACCTTCTAATAAATCAATGTACGGCAAGCTGAATGAGAGAAGGAGAGACGGAGAGAGAGAGAGGGTGAGAGAGAGAGCTTGGTGGTTAAATAATTGCCTGGGAGATAAATCATAGCATCTGGAACACAAACAAAGAGGGGAAAGAGTCAACTTGAAATCGTGCCATGACACCCACCTTACAAGGTGTGTGCTGGCTCGAACCATTCTCAGCCAGGCAAGTTTATGCAATGCTCAGGTATGACACTGAAAATAATAGTTGCTGTGACTTATCCTTCATTGTCTGCTGTGAGCCACGAGGGAAGTAACTAATATACTCTAACCCAGAGTTCATGCCCTTCTAGATATCAACAGATGATATTTGATGATATTTTGATTTCATTATGGATGCAGATGCGTCTCATCTCTTGACCTACAGGGACGTGGTTATGACACAGCCATATCTGTTTTTGTTTTTTTACATAACACGAAACCATCCTCAAGAACCCTACCTGTATCAATGTGTATCGCTGAACTGCCATTAAACTGTTTGCGTTTTAGGATTATTTCTAATCATTGTATCCAATCCAGGTGCTTGTGCTCATGTAATATGTGTGAAAAATGAAGTAAGGTGAACTTGCTCTAGAGAACATTCCAACTTGTTAGCCATTATTTCTGCAGTGGTAGATTTGGAGGGGGGATGGGGATGAAACTCAGTTTAATTTTCTTTTAATAAAGTACAAAACAAAAAATTGCCCCTTTTCAGAATTGTCCCCCCTTGTCCAAAATCCTAGTCCATCCGTACTTCTGTAACCTATTTAAGACCAAAAGGTTACTTCTATTCAGGCTTGGGGAAAACCTTGGACAAAATAATACCATGTATGTATATCAACACACATAAAGATATGTAAACTATACATGTAATATGTATGCCAGTATGTGTGTACAAGTAATGGCTTCATATTACACGGAGCTCATTTTAGAAACTTGGCTGTATTACAAGGTATATACACTTCCCACACACAGCTCTTTATGTTGTGCTGGATGAAGGTTGAATACCTCTTCAATAAAAAGAGCAAAGTAGATTGACAGAACTAGGAATGTTGTTTCTATCAATTTCATTCATCATAATAAACTTACCTGTTTCATTTTGCCATTGCATTCCTTGAATTTATTAACATTTATTAGGATATCAACATTATATATACTTGTATATATATTCTAAATTGCAATACGGCCTATGGAAAATGATTTTTAAAGACTGTTTACTTTAAAACAAAGGGCCAAAATTACTTAAAAAGTACTTAAACTTCCTTAGGAATGAAGTTATAATTTATGGTCGGACTGGTGAATGGACAACCTGAAGACATAATCATCTTCATGTCCCTTAACAGTACACAACTGCATCTCTCCAAAACATTTATAATGAACTTGCCTCAGATACAAGTACAGTACCTTCTTGATTGAATTTGATGACGAAGGCTATTAAAATCATACAAGATTCAAATAAAACATGAGCACTATATCAATACTATAACACAAAACATTAGATCACCTAATTCTTGTCAATCTTGGTAAATATATGCATGCACACGTTATTAATTCAATCATTTCAGCTTCTCATAAATGTACATGCTTGGACATATATCATATTTATTTTAGTAGTAAAATATATACACATGTTCATTAGTTGCATCATTTGATTTCCCTAAATTAAGTAGATAGCATTTCATAATCAGCAAAGCCTTATTACATACTTATCTTTCATCTTCAGTTTCACTTATGGTATAAGTGCTTAGTACTGACAATACTAGGTGATTTCCAATTTTTTTCATATTTCATTAGTATTTCCTCAAAATAAACTAACATGTATATATCTTTATAGACAGTACTATTTTCTTGATCACTCTCCATGCTCCAGACATGCAAATCATGAAACAAAACAAAAATTGACGATTGATTCTAATTCAAGTAATCACGATAGTACAGAATCAACATCTCTCCTTACATTCCTAAGCAAAATGCAGTGGCTTGCGAGTGAGTACCTGGCATGCAAATGGTATGATTGTTAGAAATCATAAGTACTATCATTGCAAAGAGGCATAATAAAGTTACATATACATGTATACCAGGATCTAGCCTACAGCTAGAATACACGCAAATCTCAACTTTAATTAGGCTAATAATGTTTAAACTGTTATTCAGATCAGTAAGACTATTCCCCCCCCCCCCCCCCCACTAAAAAAAAAAAAAAATTATGCCTCTTGCATTTTGGGTATTCCTTTACATACCACTGCACTTAACTCAGTTCTACATGTTTTAGATAGTTTATTCTCTGAATGCATGCATGAGCAGGGCTGTTATAAACGGAACAAAATAAAATCCTCAAAAGTTGTCTTTTTTTAACTATATTCTTTGACATTGGTATGATTAAAAAAGCCTGTTTATTCCGCTTTACAATGATGCCCCATTTATAATGTTTATATAATTATGGAAGGTGCAGTACATCAGAATGGAGTTACATCAAAAGTGAAATCTAGCAAAATGCATTGTTATTCCTTCAAAACACAACCCATCCTCCAAACGAATAAAGAAAGAATTTACAATTGACAATAACAATGCATCTTACAATATTTCACTTTTGACTTGACTCCCATATTCAGATGTACTGCACATTCCATGATTACAATAATCATTACAAATAGGGCATCGTTGTCAAGCGGAATAAACATGCTTTTCACTGATTTCAACGTCAAGTATGATAATATACTGACAAGAGAGATATCAACAATAAAACTTGAATTCCAGAACTATGTTGAGGGGCTTATATAATTCCTACATCTTTGTGATTGTCATTCTATTAAAGAGATGATCATTTTAGTGTTTGATATTATAGATGGATTCTCTTCAGATTCTTCGTTAACCATGTCTAGATCAAATTAAACAAAACAAAACAAAAACAAACAAACACAAAAATAGTTTAGGCTTTGCATACATGTATTAATGCATTGGCACAAACCATTCCCCATATTTCACGTATATTTGACATATCAATATGTATACAAATATCAATTATCAATCGTGTGATGTTTTATGAAATAAATACAAAAGATATAAATGTACGTAAATATATTTAAAGATGGTCTATGTGCATATTTTGTTGTTGTTGAAATAAATGAAAACAAATAAAAAGAAAGAATATAAAAGATCATGTTAGCATTTTCCAGCATTTTAAGCAACTTTTCCCATAAATATCAGTTTAAATTTGTCAATTAAATGTGTTGTTAGTAAAATGTTTTGATGCATATCAAATGGTTTTGAGGTGAGGGTGGGGTGAGGAGGGATACGGGCAAACACAAAGTGGGGGTGGGGTGGGGTTATGGATATATCAAAGGGATGCAGTATATTGTTGATACACATATAGTGTACATGTCAGGCAAGGTCTGACACTTACTTCATTATGGCACTTGCTCCACTCCTGTGTATAAATATATCACACATGTTCATAAGTCAAAATTGTATCAAATATCTTAAACACCTGTATAGTTTGACTTCAAGAATGCCTACATGTCCCAGCCCTCTCTCAGCCAATAGCACCAAAACATATAATATAATTACACAACCTGTATCTGGATTTTTGCATGTCATGATTAGAGCAACTTCATAATCTTGATCTAATTGTCTATTTTCAAATAAAGAACACCCACAGCTAAACAGCCTTGATAAACTTGTAATAATCGTAACAATTCAAGAAATACACAGCTAACTACCAAACATCTTTCTCAAATATTACATATTAGTGGAACTTCTGGAATATCCAGGAAATGAATGAAAACCAACAAAGAGACATTGCACATGGCAGGGTGCAAACAAATTGCACTGGTAGGATTAGTTAAGGAGAGAAAAGTCAAATACTTTGGTCATGTTAAAAGGCAACAAAGCCTCTTAAAGGATGTGTTGGAGGGAAGAGTGGAAGGAAGTAGACCGAGAGGGAGACCTAGAATCAACTGGGAAGAGAATGTCAAGAACTGGAGTGAACTAAACTGCAAGAGTGCACCAGAATGGCAGAAGATAGAGTGAAATGGAGAGATGTTGCAATCAACCTCCGAACCTGGAGAAATAGCAATTGCACTGAAATCCTCTTTTTTGTATTCATCTTCTCTTCCTTCTGCTATTTCTTCTCCTGCCATGCCATTTCTTCTTCCTAAAAGTTTGACAAGTCTCCCACGACATTACACCCATTGGATACAAAGTGATTTTTAATACATATTTTCCAAGGACCCCAACACAGGTTATCTCTCTCTCTCTGTTTATTCTAATTAGTGATTACTTGCTCATTATTAAGCATATGTTAATTAAGTTTACCTGTCTTGCTCCTCCACAATGCCCATGAGCTGCTGCCTGACCAGGAACAGCTGCTTCTGAAACTCAGGGATGGACCTTACTCTTACACTAAGATCATTCACAACCTATAACATGGGAAAATAATTGAAGAAAAAACAAAGAAAAAAATGAGAAACCATTAATGTTCAAGGTTGACATTTATATCTTCATTTAACTTACCGGTAGCTGTTAAGAGAGACAGAATACAGTTGTAGATAATCAACCAGTGGGCTTATCAAAGTTACATGTAAGTATCATCCATTTGCCTTGGCAATTGATGATAAATGCTTTACCAACGGACACTAACACCTTGATTTGGGTTTGAAGGAGGAAGCTACCAGTTCTAAGACCACTTCTCTATCTGTTGAGCTGTCACACCTTGTCTGTGGAAAACAGGAGGTCAGCTTTGCAACCATATGACATTATCAAAGATTTCATCAAGGTAATCACTTTCTTGAAGATACTGAAGATTCTGACCTCCTGGAGTGGCGGATAAGAAGGGATCTAGGAGATACTCATGGATGTGAACAACCATACTAGTCAACAATTTTATTGAGGCGCTTACCTTTTCGAACACACTATGTAGATTCCTACATCCTGTAGCTGTAGTTAAGAAAGAATCTGGGAGATACTCACTAGTGCGAGGGAAAGAACAACCATACTAGTCAGCATTTTCATGGAAGTACTTACATTTTCCAACACACTATGTAGATTCCTACATCCTGGAGCTATGGTTAAGAAGGGATCTAGGATAAACTCTTGGATGTAAGAGAAAGAACAACCATACTGGTCAAGATGTTCACTGAGGTACGTACCTTTTGCAACACACTATGTAGATTCCTGCATCCTGGAGCTGTTGTTAAGAAGGGATCTAGGATAAACTCTTGGATGTAAGAGAAAGAACAACCATACTGGTCAAGATGTTCATTGAGGTACATACCTTTTGCAACACACTATGTAGATTCCTACATCCTGGAGCTGTATTTAAGAACGGATCTAGGAGATACTCGTGGATGTGAGGGTGAGGAAAGAGAGCAATCTTGGCCAGTAAAGATGTCACTTGGAGGTTGACTTCGTATGTCTGCATCGGTAGAGGGGAAAAATTAAAAAGAGAGAGAAGGTTAGAGAGTTTTACGATATTACAACAACAACAAAAAATCAGTTTGGATGCCATCATCTATTCATTTGAACTTAACAAGCGCGATTAAAAACTCTAAACATCTACAATTTTTTTGATTGTTCTAAAATTTAGTAATGAAATATGGAAATTCGAAAAACAAATATAACAGATGGTTACAGTGTTATGTAGATTTTATCTTACTTTGACGATCCCATCACTGCACATAATGTTATTTGAAATTGATGGTTAACTTCAGGAATTACAGAATCCTGGGCCCCGTCTTACAAAAGAGTTGATATCAATCGCAAATATGTACATAAGAGATCGGAGACTGCAAACTTGCTTTGATTGGAGGACTTACGATTGATTTGGATCAATCGCAACTATTTGTAAAACGGGGCCCTGATACCAGAGTCAGATCACAAGTTAATGCCCTTCTGGCCCTGAACTGACAATATATTGTAGGGCTGTTGGAACCAGCAAAATTTAAATCCAATTACAAATACTTACTAATAAAAACTCAAAGAGAGAAAGAAAGGCCAACACAAAGATGCACATTTGGGAAATATATTCTCGACTCTGATATCTTGAAGTGAACTTGTTAGGCTTATTTAAAGGCCATCTGTACTAGTTTGGCCAGAAGGGATCAACTCAGCTCTCAATTAACATAAGAAAAAGACGATCACGGGGCACCAACAGGCACCGATTAGGCATTGTTTTATATATAGAGGGAGCAAGTAGCTACAAATAGTACAGTGGGGCTTTAAATTGTAACATGTACCTGGTCCAGCATCCTGGAGAGTTTATCAAAGAGGATCTTGATGAATCCTCCCTCGTAGAAGGGGTCAGACTCAGGGCATCGCTCAAGAGGGGTCGGGTAGTTCGGCCAATCATATGGAAGACTGTTCACTGTACACTCACGGAACTGTCATAAGAAACAATTAAATTTAAAATGGGTAAATTTACAGTTATTACTAGTATTGCAAATTTGCACCTGATGATAAATAAAATACATGCTCTCTCTAGCAAACCGAATTATCATATAATATGCTTAAGGCACCTACATTTGTGAATATGATGCTTTTAAACACCTCATAAACCCAGTTATTTTTGGACAATACATAATCGTTTTTAAAGTTATATATCTTATACATAAAGGAATCAGAAGAAGGGATTCACAAGAGTATTATTATCAAATACAATGCAACCAGGTTATGTATACTAGAGGTATGAGAATATCACCACACAAACTTTCTGTATTACCAGTGCCAAGGTACTACTGACATAGATGATATTCATAATATGGAAATTAAAGATTATGAGGTGCTATTGGCCACATATTTATTTATTTGCTTTTTGTTTTATTTTTACAGGGTAGCATTGTCAGCTTCAATGTAAATTATCTGTAAAATTGAAAAAAGAATTATTCGTAAAGTTTAACCTGCTGACAAGTGAAATCTCTAATTCCCAAACACATAACACGGGAGCAATGTGGTTCTCTAAATTAACTCGATGAATACCTCATTCTCTAATTCCATAGGCTTAATACAAGTAACACTCCATTCCCGTGGACAAAGGGTTAATGTGTTTAAACTATAGATAAACTTACATTTCGATGTGCCTCTCTGAGATACATGTCGTACCCCGTATCACCGGTCAGATAGGAAGACTTGTTCTCTTCTGGTATCAACCCTAGAAAACTGTGATGACAATCATGTATCAAGAGGACAAACATTAATTGTGTAGCTAATAGGTCAACATGTTTGGGGTGTGTCGTGTGAATTACATGTATATTCCTCCAACATCTATGCCCAAGGAGAATAGAAGACGGCGAGACCATTAAAACTCTTTAATATGATTGGAGAATAATGACTTATACACTGTAAGTGTTGGATGATAAGAACATATATAACACTTCACTGTAGTGTTACTTCAGTATATCAAGATTTCCTTCAATTTGGCAGTAGGCAAATAATCATAATTCAAATACTGGAATGATAACATACTAATGCTCTTCTGTTCTTGGGGGTTCTACATAAATTCCTACATCTAAATGGAAAAATAGAGAAAAAATAAAGAAATCAAGGAAATTGTTCATTAATTATGGATACCCAACTTTTTAAGAATGTAAGTTGGTAATTGGATATCAGGTAAATTAAATCAGCTGCTATCCAATTAAATGATTACTTACCAGCTGACAACCCTGTGCATATTATGGTCTGTGTCCTCTCCTCCTTCCCCATGAGATGTAGGAGAACCTGGTGGTGACCCTAGAGATCTAGGCGACGTCAAAGATAACGACGGTGATGTCCCTAACAGCATGGTCGACGACAGCGGGTCTGGAGTTGATGATAGCAGTTGCGTTAACGGTGAAGGCACATTCGTTACAGCCGAGCTCTGAGACACAAGTGTTGGAGCTCCTCGTGGAGGAGCGGGACTTAACAACAAGGGTACCACCCCGATGAGACTGGGGGTAGCTCCAGTCGCATCAAAGGGCGTGGTCAGACTTATAGCACTGTTTGTATTGGGTGTGTCGGATAACGGGGGTAGAAGGGATGTTGGTTGAGGCACTGAGTTGGGTAGACCTGAACGTGAAGTGTCTAGCCCTAAAGAACTGTCACTAAATGAATCAGGGTTTGTAGTATCAGGCTCTTGATCACTAACAGGAGGAGTTCCTCCCCCTTCTCCCCCTTGCAGCAGCGGACCCTCCGGTATATGGTTCTCCTCATCATCCTCCGGTATATGGTTCTCCCCATCATCAGCACCGATACTTGTCGGACCATTTGTTAAGAACAAGTCACTGTCTACTGTTAAAGATTCTTCGGCTGTCTCCCCCCGGTCTGCCTCAAGATGAGATCCAGGGCTAAGTGGAGATTGAGGAGGCGATCCAGGGCTAGATGGAGATAGAGGAGGCGATGCAGGAGCAGGTGGAGACGGTGTGGGAGGGTGGCGGTCAAAATATGATCTTGTCTTGAGATTGCGTAGCACCAAGTTATTGACGATGTGGACGTGAGATTTCTGGAGGAGTACTTCGAAAAGTTTCAGTGACATGATGCAGATCTGAAATACAACAGAAGAAATATTGGACTTTTCATACCTACCTTTAAATATACCTTAACGAAATGTAATTTTTCTAAAAGTACTTGGAGTTTGAAGCAAGAATCAACTAGTTATAGTTCACATGTTTTTGATAAATAATTTACACATAACAATATCTGGTAGAAGGATTGCTCAAAATTGACCTCTATGTCATAATATAACTCAAGATGGAATACATCTAACTATGGAATTCAGAGGGTAATTTTAACACGTGTTCATGTTGGGGACTGAAAAGAGTCTTCAAGATTATCAACTACACTATTACTTGCCTCATCTGATAAATGATCGCATCTCTCAATGAGTCTATGTCTAATCTTATGATCCGCATCACCAGGTTTCTCTGGGCTCGTGTTATCACCGAGGATGAAGTAGACAAACTCATTCAGGAGCTGAGGAGATGAGGTCATCTTGACAAACTTAGCCAGGTGGGCTGTACTCGTTAGAATACCAACTTCTGACCTGAACATTGTAGTAAAACAAAAATAAATATGAAGAAAGTTACCAACTCATGTTAAAGGACCTGAAAAATCTCAATTTGAAGACATCTGAATTCAGGAACATGATTAATAGGGATTCCACAGCTGTACCTTTGGTTTAAACCTAAGGACAGAATAGTCAATGTCATGCAAGGAAAGTTAATAAAATGAGGATCATTGACATATGACAACCACTTGCCTTTCAAACATTATGAAATAACTTTAATTCTGAAATGTTAGACTGAATAAAAAATATTATGATAGTCTTCCCAAACGTCATATCTCTGGATTAAACCAAGGAGATACACTTTATATGTTCGTCTAAAACCAAAAATATAATCAGTTATCATCAGTTAGATTTGAGATCTATACACAAATAACTACAGTCTGGGTCATTTTGGCAACTGAATAAGTAGATTTTCCACTTCAAATATGAGTTGATTCCTGTTGATGTGCAGCGCTGCATACAACTCATATTTTGTTATTCAAACATCTAAATATATTTCATAGATTTAAAAACATTTTTAAAGTAATTTTCTCAGCTAGCCGCCCATGCATGAAGCACACCTTAGCAATATGGAGGCTTTCTTCAAACATGCCACCCTAAGATTTGAAGAAATGATTACAAAACCAGTGATAATCTCATCACTTTAAGTAGAAGCAACATGAGGAAGGTTTCAGTGCTTCTCTCAACCACGAGAAACAGCAAGCTGACAACATGCTCGCAACACTATGCTTGATAAACCAGTCATTCACTTCTTTCAAATATCCCACAATCTGTGAGCAAGACTAACTGAAATGAAATCTGATGACTTACGTCTGGAGTAGGAGTTGCTCGATGATTGGCACGAGGAAGTTTTCTTTGACCTGGGTTGATAGAGCCTTGCCTATGATGGGATGTCCTTCTTTGATGATCTGATCACAGTAGTCAAACCACGACAGGAGAGAGATCAACTGACGCTTACCACCAAAGTTATTGGTGTCATCAGAGTCACTGTTCACATCAAGGCTGTTGTTGTGATATAAAACACAATCTCATTGTTTAATAATAATAAAATTTGTTTTTAATATATCTAGTACTCTTCGTAAAAAATATTAAAAAAATTAACAATTTTAATATCAATTTTGGAACGTTTTCCATTTTTTGGAAAAATAACTGTATATAAATGAAAAAAAATTTTTAGATCTGAAGAAAAAAATTGTGATGCATATATTGGAGAGAAAAAAATTGTTTCAAAATCTGCCTAAAGTTTAAGTAGAAACTACAAACTACAACTACTTGTCCCTTCAAATAATCAATGTTAAACCTGGCATCGGCTGTTTTCACTTACCCCCACTTTGCCTCGACGCTCTCAATATCCACAGGATCCATAGAGAGAGGAAGTGCGTTGTAGAGTGAGCAGAGTCGTTCAGCTAGTAGAGTACAGAACTGAGTGTTTCTCACCATACATTGAGCTGCTTGGCTTTCTGGTAAACTAGCACACAGCATCAACCCCTCACAGGCCTTCACGGCTATCCTAGAGTCCTGGTGATACATACAATCATTAGAAAGTGACAGTTTTGTCTTTTTGACATCTAACTGAAAACAGAGTACAGAGTTTAAAAAGTCCTCTCCATCACAACCGTGAGGGTTGGGATAGTTTTCTTTTCTTTTAGATGTTTAATAAACTGAAAACAATTGTACAGTTATACAAAAAAAACGGACTTCCTATTCATTACAAATTGGGATTGTTTTGTCTTTTTGACATCTAATAATCTAAAGACAAGGTACATAGCACATTAACAAGAAATAGATTTCAGGCACTACGGAGGAACTATCAAAAAATCTTTAATTGTAGAGAAAACCATGCAGTTTTAAAGTGAAAGCTGTATTCCTTTACTTTCCTAATTCAATACCCCCTCCTATACACCCAACTATCTCATCCTTACACCCATTAAGTTCTCTTGGAAATACATAATCCCCATCTCTAAAAAGGAATCATCTCCATCAAAACCATTAGAGTTGGGATAGTTTTTTGTCTTTGAGACATCTAATAAACTGAAAACAATTGTACAAAGTCAATTAAAACAAGTGATTTCCTGTTCATTACAACCAGAAGAATTTGGATAGTATTGTCTTTTGGACATCTAATAATCACAAGAAAGGGTACAAAGCACATTAACAAGAAACAGATTTCACACACTATGGAGGAACTATCAACAAATCTTTAACTGGAGTGAAAATCATACAGTTTAAGTGACAACTTTATTCCTTTACAGTCCTAATTCAATACCCCCTACACCCAACTATCTCATCCTTACGCCCATTAAGTTCTCCTGGAAATACACAATCCCATCTCTACTCTTATTTTGAAATTGTTATACCCTATGGCATACTGGTACAATGTTGACAGAGGACTAGGTATTAGGTACTTACTGGACTCTGCACCAGCTTTAGCAGAGAGTCAACCACACTGAACTCAGCTTGGCTTGGGTCTGGTTTGGTTCTATTAGATCCTCTCTGCCTACTGCTGCTTTGCCTGGGATCCTATAACACACAAGAACAAGTGTTAACCACAGAATCATAGACATTGGAATCAGATTCACATTTATATCTCCTCGTACATGGCAAAACGAATTATTTTATCAACGCAAATCACAGAAACTGAATATATGCTATGGTTTTAAATCTTTATAATTAGAAGTGACAAATTTACTATAAAAAATTCCTACACATGAGAGAGCAATTTCAAATTCATTAATTCTACTTTCAGTTTCATGTACACTGTATATTTCCAAATGGTACCAAAAATATTATCTTATTTTCCTGCTCTGATACATTTTTGTCTTTTCCCCCCACTTTTTATATTACCCTCTTTTTCTATGATCTATCATTCACTATAAATCATTGCAAAAGTCATGAGCAAAGTCAGCAAACATTACACAAATTCCAATACATGTTTTTTTTATATACTGACAAAATCATAAAATTCACAATTGTTACATGATCTAGGGTTTATGTAAGAGTAGGGTCCTCTCATATTCTTTCACATTTCAATGATCAATTGAATAGATATAGTGGGTTACAGAGGTCATGTTTTTATATAATCTATAGATATAATAAAGCATCAATATCAGAGTTTAGTTAAACCTACCTCGAGGAAGAAGTTTGCCAGATATGGGGCTTCTCTGAGCTTGAAGCAGACGACACAGAGGAACTGGATCTCTTCCTTCTCGGTTGGACCGGCTCTAGTCCCTCCACAAACCTTGACCAATCTCTATCAAAATAAAAATTATAACAAAATAATGAAAATATTTAACATTAGAATTCATCAATTAGACAACACTCAACCAGACAAGAGCACTCCTATATATGTAATTACTTTGAATAATGCTCAGTTGGGCATCAGTGCCTACAAACATTCTCTAAATTCTGTATTATTTTGTTTGCTTCATGCGAAAGGTCTAAACACTCTCCCAATGGAGTGGAGAGTGTGCAAAGCAAATCGCAGAGTAACAAGACACTGCAGATTGCTTTGATTAGTTCCTGTGCTACAATACTAAAACTATGACTACATATATACTCTGGGCTACAGGGAACTACTTCCACAGTGCTGTCTGACTTAGATTTAGTGCTTGTTCAACTTAGCTCCAGGTGTACTCACATGAACAGGTTTTTAGACATCGATATGAGGTAAGAGAGTGTACTCACATGAACAGGTTTGTAGACATTGATATGAGGTAAGAGAGTGTACTCACATGAACAGGTTTGTAGACATTGATATGAGGTAAGAGAGTGTACTCACATGAACAGGTTTGTAGACATTGATATGAGGTAAGAGAGTGTACTCACATGAACAGGTTTGTAGACATTGATATGAGGTAGGAGAGTGTACTCACATGAACAGGTTTGTAGACGTTGATATGAGGTAAGAGAGTGTACTCACATGAACAGATTTATAGACATTGATATGAGGTAAGAGAGTGTACTCACATGAACAGGTTTGTAGACATTGATATGAGGTAGGAGAGTGTACTCACATGAACAGGTTTGTAGACATTGATATGAGGTAAGAGAGTGTACTCACATGAACAGGTTTGTAGACATTGATATGAGGTAAGAGAGTGTACTCACATGAACAGGTTTGTAGACATTGTTATGAGGTAAGAGAGTGTACTCACATGAACAGGTTTGTAGACGTTGATATGAGGTAGGAGAGGCTGCTTGATCCTTCCTAAGAGGTTGGTGAAGAACATCAGAACCATCTGCTTCATACCTGGTGGACACTGGATCAATCAAAGGTAGAAAAAATACTCACATTTAAATCTTCCTCAAATATATTCCATCTCTTCAAATCTTGGTTCATGTAAGTGGTTTGTGGGGGGCGGGGGGCTGGTGTTACTAGGCAATCTGTAGTCATACTCCTGGGGAGGGGGTGAATCCCTTTCAGAGATAGTCCTCATTTGATTGCATTTACATCAACAAATCCCAAATGCTACAGATATCCTTCAATAAAACTTACATCAGCCTTTCCTAGAGTCCACAAGGTTTCTAGGATCTTGTGTTGCAGGAGATGCTCCATACATGGCCCTGTTTGGTTATCTTCCATCTGACCCTCTTCTTGGGTCAGAATCACCAGCATGTTGTCAAGGTGATTTGGGATGTTGCTGTCCTGTACCGGTTGCTTGTCATCTGGAGAAAAAAAAATTGTTCCAGAAGTTGTTCAATGAACTCTACATAACTCTACACATTTTTAATAGTTATTTTAATGGATGTTTTTGTTAAATCAATCTGCTTGCCATCAATTTCAATATCCTGCAATAGTTTGACTCACTCTGGGTATTTTGTACGATCGACTCTTTAAGATTATTGACTCCTTAGGGTTAATTAATCAACTCCAAAAATGAAGCTCACATAGTGTCTTGCATTTAGACTTGACGATGGTTTATCATCAAAGCATGTATAGAAAGCCATATGGTAAAGAAATCTCCAAAAGTTATACCCAATGATCCTACATCAAAATCTTCTACTATTTTGTTTGCATGTTTGAAAGCATCTTGTCAATTCTTTTTCAAAATTCAATACAAAATGAAACTCAGAAATTAAGAAATTCTTGTAATAATTTTATTATGTGCAAAGTTTATTTGTATAATTTCTTGAAAAAATTAATTATTTATGAAATCAAATGTTATATCTTTTTTTACATTTCTGTTGGAAATGAAATAAATATGAATATATGAATACATGTAAGTGGGTGTACAACAAATCAGACACCATACTAAATGGCTCCATTGCACTTAATCATGCAAATGATCTTATAACAGAGAAAATATCATTTACATTGTGTTAAAATTACCTTTGTTATTGATGAAGTAGTGTGTGATTGCTTTCCAATGAAAAACAAAATCCTCCAACAATGTCTGCGTTGGAGCAATCTGAAAATAGACAAAAAATAGACAAGAGTATTTAAGTTATGTATAATCTTAAAAACTAAATGCAAACACAAAAATCGTCATGATTGCTTCTTTCAACAAAAAAAACAGGTCCCCTGAATGATGACCTCCACTGGTGTATAGAACCTTGAAAATTGTGTTCTTTGGTGACCAAATTATCCATAAATTCAGACAAATTTGGAAATTAGCAGCTGTGATTATCTTCCCGCGGAAACATATTCAACATTTCAAGTGTTTTTCCAGCCAGAGCTAATATATTATATTGTCAAATCCTGGCGATGAGCCGCTTCATATTCATTGTGTACACTTCTTAGTCGCCAAGAGCGTTGAATTTCCATGTTTACTCGATGTACACAAATTCAGTCTTTAAAACTTGATCCATATCTTATAATTTTGATATACCCTTAGGGCAATTCCACGGTAACGGAAGGACACTCAGACAAGATTTTTGAACTTCAGGTTCATACTAAAAGAACTGTTTTATTAGTATAAGATGTGAAACAGTACAGATATGATACCTATATAAGTGCCTTTAATTCTCCCCCCAAAAATGTCATTATAGTTAAGTAGTTTAAGAATGTGCATATTAATTATCTCGGTAACGGAAGGACATAAAAATGGACATGGTTTTTCCAGTTAATTAGTGTTTATCCAAACTTTGTGAAGTTGATGAAGCTTTCCACTTGACTGAAACACATTTTGTTCCCCATAGTTTAATACATACTAATAAAACATTTCTTTTAGTATGAACCTGAAGTTCAAAAATCTTGTCTGAGTGTCCTTCCGTTACCGTGGAATTGCCCCTTACCATGTCACGCATTTGTAAAAATCTGTAAATTTAAGATGGTGCGAAATGGTCAATACCTTTTCTAATGTTAGACCTCATGTAATGAAATATTGTCTACGACTATGCTGAATTCTCATTTAATCTAGACTATAGACTAGACTGTAATCAGTAGGGGCGCTGGTACGAGAATAAGGATCGTCTGCATAAACAAAAATCGTCTTCGTACAAGCGGATAGTAAGGCTGTGCATAACCGTGTAATGAGATACTTGAGTACACTCCCAGGCTTACAGGCGAATACTCAAATATTCGGACACCATGTTTTGTTTTTTAATTAAAAAAAAAAAAACATCCCGGTCGACGCTTACCGTGCCATAATTAATTAATAGCGTAAGTTTTCGGAGACGGACCTGGGATATTTCTACCGTAGTAGTATGGTGGTGGCAATTTTTTTATTGTTTTTGTTTTTGTTGCCAACACCATACTACAGTAGAAATATCAGGGAATAATTTTCCTCAAATTTTTTGATTAGCAATTTCAGCCGATGGATAAATATTTCAAATGAAATTCTGTACATTTCTATGGAAGAAAACTGCTACACAAAAGATATTTTGTATAGCAGTCATGCAAAAATGCATAGCAAATTGCGATGCGATACCAGGAAAATTATTCCCTGAATATCCCAGGTCCGTCTCCGAAACTCACACTATTTTACTTCAAGAGGACACTTTTTTTTTATATTTCTGATCCACCCGTTGGCGATGCAAAAAACACATCCTGTGATTACTTTCTTGAGGCATTTCTTCTTCTTCTTCTTCCTCTGTAAATGTTACTTCATACAACGAAGATTACGCACTGCAGTGTGGTGTGTGCCATGTGAATTTGTAGAGAGACTTTCACTTTAAGAGCAATAAGTCCTCGGGGAAAACTCGGGCAACCCATAAAACTAAAAGTAGACAGTGAACTGGGGCCCTTTTGGGGGTATTTAATTTCGCGTAATCCGCTTTTCGAAGTGCCAGCGCTGGGAACCCTAGTCCCTACACCCGCAGAGCACTGAAGAAAAAAACAACAACGATCCTTATTTTTTAGGACACAATTTATGCCCGTTTACAAGGATATAATTTTTTTAATGCGTACGACCCTCATTTTCGGACCAGCCCTCTTACTAATAATTTATTTTTTCAATAGTCTAAAAGTTAATACAAAATAAAAAAAATAAAAACAAAAACAAAGTCTGCACAACTTTGCTTTGTGACCAAGTCTGACTAGGCACATTCATGGGGCACTAGAGGGCGCTTCGGTCGCGTACGAAAATCTGAATGGCCTTGCTGCGGTGGGTCGGCAATAATCAGCCCAAAACTTGGATATGGGAGGTTGGAAGGATATATCTTTTTTATAATGTTATCCGGTCTGACCCTTAACCATCCTATGTTTAATCTATGTAGAAATAACATGCGAGTATGATAAAAGAAACATCGGGACCATTACTGAAGTAACTCTTAAAATATTAGCCTAGAAATGACCACCAAACGGAAAAAATTGACATTTTTTCCCGACAAATCTTCATAAAATCTGAGTTATAAACAAGTCACATCTAGGTACACTAATAAAAATACGATTTTCTGAAAATTCAGGTATGATTTTTGAAGTTTCTTTCAAGTATATTTCTGCGCATTGCATCGCCAATATTCTTCACTGCTTCAAAATCACCCTTGAATTTTTTTTTACAACGAATTTGATACGAGGTCCGCGAGTGTTCCCCGTTCCTTGCGTGTTGAAAGTTTGGTAATACATAGTTTGCATTGACTCGCGCACGAAAAAATGGTCGAAAACAAAATGTCAAATGAAGAAATAAACAAGCTTTTGTACAGTTATAAGAGTTCTACCGAGGTTTCTTTGTCAATTTAATTTATTATATAGTCTCAATTAGAATTCAGAATTATCTCCCTGAAAAGTTAAGAAACCGACGATGTTCTCGATCGTAGTTATTTTCATTTTGCCAGCAGCCGGTCTAGCGTTGTTTGGGCAAAAAGCTAGGCTGCTGCCTTCCCACCACGAACCTTTCCGAGTCCCGCTAAAATGGGGCGCTGCGGAGCTCCGAAGCTGCGTTGGTATCGCTGCAAACTCTCAGCCGGCTAGCTCCCCACGACGGACCATTCGCGGTATGGCGAGAGTGTGTGTGTGAGGTATGATTTTGGATTCGAGAACGCACGTAACGCAACCGTGCGCGTCATTTTCAGCTGTCGAATGTGTACGACCAATTTTACATGTACGATTTTTAGTACAGATACTTGGTCAGTTTTCTTCTTAAATCTTTGGTTTTACAACATTTAAAAATATAATTTCTTCAAATCTGCTCCTGACTCGGTTCAGACTAATTGTCTGATGTGTTTTCAAGTCAATTTTTTGAATAGACTAGATCTATATTTTTTTGCATGAATTTGCCTAGTCTGACTGAAACTTAAAGACAGAAATAAACCACCAAAACACAGTCAATATCACACACTGAATAACATTACCCCAAATATGGCACACGTGTGAGTGGGCTAGCACATAACTAATGCGTTTTTATACATTTTGATCTTAATCTGTTGCTTGAGGTTTCTAATATGAACTCAACAAATCTTCTGATCACCGGGGACTTCAATTATCCTCACATTGATTGGGGGTCCTATGCTGGAAGAAGTGAGGTAGATCAAGAGTTCATGGAAACTGTAGCCGACTGCTTCCTATATCAACATGTCAGTTTTCCCACTAGACAAAGGGAAGGTCAGAGAGACAGCACCCTGGATTTGGTGTTTTCAGATAATGAGTTCTTGATTGATGAAATTGTTTCGTTGCCCCCACTGGGGCTGAGTGACCACCTTGGGCTCTGTTTTACTATCACCTTATCGGCTCCAGAAGCAGACAGACGACCTCCAAAGTTTCAATACAACATTGGGAGATATGATGACATTTGTGAGGAGCTTGAGGAAGTCAAGTGGGAAGAGACTATGAAGGATATGGATACTGAACAGGCCTGGTTGTTCTTTCACACAACATTAATAGAAAAGATGATGAAATGTATCCCGCGTTCTGCTTCACGCCGACGAAAGAAAAAGCACTGTTGGATGAACAAACAAGCGCTCAAACTGCAAGCACAGAAGCATCGTGCTTGGCGACAAGCCCAAACTACCAAGCACCCAGCAGACATATCAAGAGCTAGAAGACTGGCAAAGTCACTCCAATCTTTCACAAAAGAGCTGCGCAGTAACTTTGAGAGGGATCTTGCAAAGAATGTTAAGAAAAATCCAAAAGCATTCTGGAGATATGCCAAAGATAATCTGAAAACAAGAGGTGGGCTACCTGACCTCAGAAAGACAGATGGAACCTTCGCTACATCAGATGAAGAGAAAGCAGATATCTTGAACACTTTCTTTGAGACAACCTTTACTGACGAGGACACTTCTGCTATACCAGTTCTGGATTCTAGGCAACCTCCCGAATGCTTATCAGCACTTGTCATTACTGCAGATGATGTACATCACAAACTTAGTTTGCTTTCCAAGTTCAAAAGTGCTGGACCGGATGGTATCCATCCCTGTGTTTTACATGAAACCGCAGCATCAGTGTGTATTCCATTGGCCATCATCTTTACCAAGTCATTTCAAGAGGGCAAGCTTCCCTCAGCATGGAAAATTAGCCACGTTGTTCCTGTGCACAAGAAGGGGAGCAAGTTGGATGCTAACAATTACCGCCCAATAAGTCTGACATCAGTCCCCTGTAAGATCATGGAATCTCTCATCAGAGATAAGGTGGTTGAACATTTGATGTCACATGATCTTTTCAGTGATTCTCAGCATGGATTTGTCCCAGGTAGATCATGTGTTACACAACTGCTCCACACTCTTGAGGAATGGACTACCTGGCTAGATCAAGGAAAAATGTTGATGTTGTCTACTTAGACTTTCAAAAGGCATTTGACAGCGTGCCCCACCAACGACTGTTGTCAAAACTTGATGCTTACAAGATCCAAGGGAACTTCAAAACATGGATTGCTGATTTCCTTCATGGCCGAACACAGAGGGTGGTGGTAAATAATGCCAGATCTCAGTGGTGCAACGTGAAGAGCGGGGTGCCCCAGGGCAGCGTACTCGGCCCAACACTGTTTGTTCTCTACATCAATGATCTTCCTGAGGTGTTGGACTCCACTGTAAGAATTTACGCAGATGACACCAAGGCTTTCTCATGCGTCTCTACTCCTGACCAACGCAAACTTCTCCAAGCTGACCTGTGCTCATTGACAGACTGGTCCTCAAAGTGGCAACTCCAGTTTAACGCAAGAAAATGCTGTGTTTTACATCTTGGATCTGGAGACTGTCAGGAGCGCTACACAATCGGGAGTTCAGCCCTGAGTACAGTTGGAGAGACAAAGGATCTGGGGGTACTTGTTGATGACAAACTGAAGTTCCACAGCCATGTGTCGTATGCCATCAACAAGGCCAACAGGGTTCTGATCAGCATCAGATGTGCCTTTCAGTGTCATGACACATCCACCATTCCCAAGCTGTTTAAGGGACTAGTGCGCCCCCTCCTTGAGTATGGAAATGTAATCTGGTCGCCAAGGTACATTTCAGACGCAAAAGCTGTGGAGAGAGTACAGAAGAGAGCAACAAAGATGATCTCCACAATGAAACACCTACCTTACATAGAGAGACTTAAATGCCTAAACTTGCCATCCCTTGAGTACAGGAGAAGGAGAGGAGACATGATTCAGGTGTACAAGATTATTTATGAGCATGACAGACTCAACCCTGACCACTTCTTCCAACTAGCAGACACACCAACAAGAGGGCATAGTCTCAAGCTTTCAAAGCCGAGGTGTAGGACAAATGTAAGGAAGAACACATTTAGTCACAGAGTGATTGACGACTGGAACTCTCTGCCTGAAGAAGTAGTTCAGGCTCCCACCATAGACGCCTTCAAAACCAGGCTTGATCGTTGCTGGAAGGAACAGTGTTATATCTCTCAATACTCGAACTGATTTTTTCAATTTCTTTGCTCCTGGTAGGGAGGCCAATGCCCGGGCGTAAGGCTTCTACACCTACGATTTGTGCGCTCGTCGCCCACTTCAAAAAATTAGCAAAGGGAAAAAAATGATGTAAAAATAAAAATTGAAGAAAATATGAAAAGAAAATACAATTATACATTTCACAACATACCTATAATCACGGATCTGTAACAGTCTTTCACCATTTGTTGACAATCTTGCAGATTTTGACGTTTTTTAATCCAATAATTGTGGTTGCAGACGACCTTGACGCACTCGCACCACCGACTAAGAAAATCCTAGAGGGCGTAGAGGTTTGCTCACTAAAAACCTTCTCATTGGCAGAAGGTAGACCCTAAAAATATGGGATCCGTTTTGAGTAAAGAACTTTTGATAGAGATCAACATTTCAGATGTTCACAATTGCCACTTCTAACAACTAGAAAATATAAAGAAAAAAGATTATATCTTTTTAAATAGATATTTTTACAAACTGAACATTCGAAAGTAGATAGAGTACGATGTTTCTGTCAATCTTGCGTTGGTTTGAGCCCTATAGCTACATCCATCTCAAAATGAGAAGGAAAACAGTGAACAGTGACGTCATTGTTCGCGCCAAAAATAAAGGGTATTGCGACATAATCTGAGCTCCGGTCAGAGCGTGCCCAAAGCGTAGTCTTATTTATAGACCCTAGTACCTTATTCTCACAGCACTAGATACGAGTGTCGTGCAGTAATGTATGAGAAGTGTTAAAAAAGATATTTCAGTAAAAAAAAAAGTCTACGTGAGCAGTCTATACTCCAATTGAGAATTGAAATGAAAGCCATGATTTGAAGGTGTGTGTTGTATATGATACATGGTTAGTGAGTGTGTATGTTACGTATAGCGAAAGGGAGAGAGAGAGAGAGAGAGAGTGAGAGAAATATTAGTACACGTACGTTGCATGCATGGATGTGCGCTATGATTGTGTTCGCTGCAAGATGGATTTTAATTGGACCTCGTAACTTCTCGATCGTTGATAATAAGGAATACTCATGAGGAAATCAAATTATTGGAATACACATCTAAGGTAAATATCAATGAATTATATATATTTCTTTCCTTTTTTGAACCATCGTCTTCGGCTCGTAGTAGTAGAAGATGTAATCGTTCGCACATTGATGGCTGGACTTCAGCCTGCATCGGGGCTTGCCTGTGTCGGTGGAGGGATCAACTAAGAAGAAGAAGGTGTGTACGTGTGCGACCGATTCAAGGCTAGCCGCTGTTGAGTGATTGCACTTTCGCGCGAAGTTTTAAACTTCATCATGAACTTTGTCCCTCGGGCCTGTCTAATTATGAACGTAACTTTGCGACATGAAATATAATTGTTTCAAGGCTCTTACGTACGGAAAGGCGTAGAAGGAAATGGCTACAAACCAGCTGGATATCTCCTATTTGATGGAACCTATGGAGTCGGCAGATGGGTGGATTTTCTTAGTGAAAGTAAATGCTTTCTTTTAATCTTAGTTTTAGTATAAACAAATTAGTAATTAAAAAGTTAGATTTGGGCATTGGCCTCCCTACTCCTGGGACATTGTACATGGTACATTGTCCCGTCAAGATGCAACCTCTTGCCCCTCTGCCTCCCTTGCATATAATGAGAATTATTATTAAAGAGTATGAGTACAAGAAGATAGACCAAGAAGATAGACCTGGAAGCTCGACTGCTGTCTCAGCATTCTTCCAGTATTTGCGGTAAAGAGGTAAAGGTAATATAAAAACACATGGAAAGGCCAACACAGTAACCAGCAGGTGGGACTGGGCCTTGAAACCTTCGGCACAGGATTGAGAAAATGTAACAAATGCTTTGGGCTTACCGCTTCTACTGCTTGATGTAGAACCGCGGCAAATCGATTGAACATCTTTATAGCTTGTATTTACTTCTCATAAGAAAGAAACATATTCTCCATTAAATGAAAAACTGTCACACATAAACAAGCGGATGTTTGTCGTCATTCATTCTCAGACTGAGAACTGCCAGCTGTCAATTTGCACTGCGCATGCGCCAAAGGTGTTTTTTTTTTTTTTTTAGGGGGGCGGGGGCTGTTTATTTATTGTTAAAAAAGAATCGTCATTCATGTCATTGCAATATGTTGGTTGAGTTTCTCATCATACCTGACTTTATTTGATTTATGGGGGGTATTGGATCCTTTGGCTTAATTAACTTGTCTCCCTCCGCTCCGGCTCTACCTATATCTCCCTCTCTTTCTCCCTTTTTTCTCTCTTCTTCTTCTTCCATTGGAGTACATACCTCTTACAGAGTATTGTCGTACTCTCTCTCTCTCTCCCCTATCCCATTTTCTGTCCCTTTCTGTCCCGTCTGTTCGTCCTTCGCTTTCTGCATGACATAAATCTTACAGGTGATGATTTATATATTACCTCTTGAGAGCCAGACAAAAAATATAGACAACTAAATTATTCATACCCTTCAGTACAAAGAAGTTATAATTTAAATCCTAACTCCTTGCCCTAACCAAATGTTGTATTTCTATTTTACAGTACCGGTATGTGAAAAATTGATTTGTCCCGATTTTCTAAAGAATGTGACATATTAAAACGTACATTTAAAAGTATTCAATAAAGGCCGAATTTCAACCAGTTCACGTTTCATTCTTGAGTTGGGGAAAACACTAAAAACATCAAATTTACAATGGGTAAGATTAATTTAGTCGTTAACTGTATATAAATAAATGTATATATATAATATGCACTTTTTGGCACTCAGCAGTAAGGTAAATTCAGACCAACGACTTATTTTTTAATTAGTAGAAAAATGTAGCAGAGAGAGAGAGAGAGGGGGGGGGGGGGGGGGGAGAGATGGGGAGAGAAGAGAGAGAGACAGAGAGAGAGAGAGAGAGAGAGAGAGAGAGAGAGAGAGAGAGAGAGAGAGAGGTGGGGAGAGAGAGAGAGAGAGGTGGGGAGAGAAAGAGATAGAGAGAGGGAGAAATAAACAAACACAAATAAAGAGATCAAGTTCAATTAAAATGTGTTGAAGGAAATAGTTCTTAAATTTAATAAAATTGTGAAACAATTAAGCATTGGAACGTTTTTAACAGAAGGGTAATTGGAGGAGATATATCATCAACATTGCAAATACATGTACATTTAAATGTCAATAATCCTAAATTGTTCTGTCTTATTATTTTTTTTTAAAACTGTTAATCCCAGACAAGTATAAGTATAATTGGTGTAATACAGAACGAGTCACAAGGGAGACCCAAATTCAAAACTAAATATTGTTGCGATCAGAATATCTTCAATTATCCAACTACACTCATATTGTAGCCTATCAAGTTTTCTTTTATTTGACATCTCGATCACTGAAAACCCTGCATTTTCCTGAATCACGTACATCAAATTTGCCTCTGCCCAAGTTTTTAATAGAATAGTTGGTCAATCAAATGTTTAGTTGAATGGTCTCTGTTTCATTGGAATGTACTCACATACAATGAAAGTACCAGATAATTCTTGAACACCATCATCCCAAATTTGAGCAAAGATAATTTTGGCATACTTAAAAAAAAAAATGATCAGCCGAAATTGCATTGCAATTAAAGAAGACATTAACAACTATCATACCACTATTACATACTTCAGCTTTTTATACAGCTTTTATGATATTGGAGCTTGAATACAATTTTTTTTTCTTTTCACAGAACTCACAATGTAGTTATGCAAATATATATCCTCATTAACACACCTAAAGCTATCTTTGTTATACAAAAATTGTCAATTTGGTTTAAAAGAAAGGACGGAATAAAGTTACTGGTAAGGTTTACACTTAAGCGATGCTCATAATTTAAAAAAAAAGTAACACCAGTAATACGATGAACATATGTCCCAAAAAGATGGTAAACATATTTTTTTTGTATTTCTTCAGTAACAAATCAGAACTATGACATTTCTTGCAACATTAATGCACAATTTGAAGATTCTCCTCTAAGTAACATCCTTAAATCATCATTCTAATATCAACTGGCTCATTTATTGAGATATTAAACTAAAGTGCCCGAAAAATAATCAAATTGCGCCGTAATTAGGGTTGCAATGACTAATATGATTTTTCTTTAGGATTAGTGTCTCCTACAACACCCCTCAATAAGCCAGTTCGTAAATAGCTTTGGAATACATTACCTCCAAATATCCACAGATCTTTTACACTATGGATACATCCCACTTGTGCATTTTAGAATAATCACTGTCGAAGTGATGGAGGTGCTTCATGAATACCTTTTGTTTGCCCTCTTGAGAAGAATACTTCCACCTGTGTATCAGATAATTGTACTGTCAGTACATAAATGAATACTAATTACATAACTTTCATGAGCACGATACAAGTATTCGTCTCAATGGTTTTACAATTTGGCAATGAATGACCTTTATTTGCACATGCACAAATCCTAATTACGATCTCGCTTATTTAGACCAGTCGTTATCTCATTAATAATGAAGGGTTCGAGCTCTGTAATTATACAGCTGAAGTGGAATTCATATCATGGAATTTCTGAGTAAAATTGGGGAATTGGGGGAAATTAAGTATTAACAATGCCGAATTCACAATTAACACTTTGGATGGATTCGAATGTAAGAAGACTGGACAGAGAATAATGAAATTAAAAATGAAATGAATGTGATAAGACCATATTTATACTCTCTACACAGCAGACCTACATGGATGGAGAACATTAGTTGGCTGATTGTTTGTGCAAGGTCTCTGTCTCATACAAGGTAATTTTCTACACACATGTTTCACTTCAAGTTTGTCAAAATGACAGCACAGCAAAAACTTTTACAACACAAAGCAAACAGATGGACAGAAATATATCTATATACAAAGTAAGTGCAAAGAGAGAAACCTTTTAAAAATAGATTACATTTTTATATCAAAAGAGAATTAAAACATACATCAAAAGGCAGACGGTCAATGAAAAAAAAATCAATGTAAATTGTGTGGATCAAATATTCAAGTAATAAATTTCAAAGTCAAAATATGTACATACCAACCACCTGGGAAGGTATTCTGAAAACCACATTCATGTTAACTTTCATGTTAGTGAAAATATGTTTATTATCATAACAAACTGAATTAGGACAAGTCAATGATAAATCTGTGCGCAAAGCTAGCAGTATACGTATAGAGTTTGGACAAGCATCTGTGCAAGCATCAACGGTTTTACTTCATACACTTTCAAATTTCAATTTTGTGCAACAATTATTAAACATACTTTCCACTATTGATAGAAGACACTAGTTATGTAGTTTTCAGATTACAGACCCTGCGTAATTACAATAGTCACAACATTTCTATCAAAGTGATTTTACAGATCATAAAATGAATCAATATCAATTTAAGTTATTTCCATTAAAAAAATACACCAATTCTACAAACTACAATAAACCTTTATTCAATTACAAAAGAATAACTGCATTCAACACAAACATGATGTACTAATATGATATACAAATTAGAATGTATAATCACTATAACAAAGCAATGATGAGTGCAGCTAGAATATTTCATCTATATATATCTTCATATCTCTTTCACATATTTTTACATCTCTTTCAAATATCTTTCTTATATATCTTCATATCTCTTTCACATATTTTTACATCTCTTTCAAATATATCTTCATACCTCTTTCATATCTTCATATCTCTTTCATATATATCTTCATATCTCTTTCATATATATCTTCATATCTCTTTCATCTAAAGCCTCACAACTCTTTCATATATATATACATATCTTTCAATGAAATAGATTTAATAGTTGAACATGAAATATCATTCAAGGCTACGCCATCACAGGTTTGAAAAAAATAGTAAAAATCTATAAATTGAAAGACTTCAGGTTTTATCTATTCTAGTTTTCATAGTATTATCTTGGTATGCCTGTATATCAATATATCAATATGAAAAATGAAATATCATTCAAGGTTACGCCATCACAGGTTTGAAAAAAATAGTAAAAATCTATCAATTGAAAGACTTCAGGTTTTATCTATTCTAGTTTTCATAGTATTATCTTGGTATGCCTGTATATCAATATATCAATACGAAAAATGAAATATCATTCAAGATTACGCCATCATAGGTTTAAAAAAATAGTAAAAAATATATCAATTGAAAGACTTCAGGCTTTTTCAATTCTAGTTTTCATAATATTATCTTGGTATTCCATTCACATCCTACATTGGATGAACAGTATCTCTAGAGGAAACCAGAAGGTCAAAGGTCCTTCTATTCTTGGTTAATGTCCTTTCTTTGTTTGGTCCACTCCGAGCACGGCATGGTGTGTCGAGGCCAGTCGGTCGATTGACATTGAGGACTGCAGTAAGACTGCTTATCACACAGAGAGCATTGGAACTGACCAACCAGACCACATACGCACAGGTCAGTAGAATCTGAAATTCAATCGATCAAACTTGATTCATTAAATTTTTATTCCATATTGCAACAACTGTACACGAAATACATGTAAAGCAAGTAGGGTACCAGATAGGATGAAGAACAAGCAATTTAATTTAAAAAGTAGGAGGGGATTGACACTGAGGGATGCAGACAGACTGCTTCTCATTCAGAGTACAACAAAAGTGATCGACCAGATTACACGTGCACAGGTCAGAGGAATTTTAAAAACAGTCATTTAATTTTAATTAATTAAATGTTATAAAGAATTAAAGATAACACAAATCAGGGGCGGATCTAGCTTTTTGCTAAGGAAGGGGGGGGGGGGGGGGTTGGACCAGGGTTTTCCAAAAGGGGGGAGGTCAAAATTTGAAAATCGCGCCAACCAAAATTTTGCTTGGGGGGGGGGGGAAGTAAATTGAAAATGCATGTGGAATAGGTTAGAGAAAGGTCAACATGCCTTTTGAAAGCACTCATAGTTAGAGTGAACAGCGAAGAGGTCAAGAAAGGAGGAAACAAATAGACAGCAAGGCAGAGAATATCAAAATGAGGAACAGTATAGGGAAAGATTTAGAAATATATGATATGAAAGAACAGAATTAGGAGAGATAAAAAGAGGAGAAAATAGGGAAAGGACACCTACTGGCCCCCTGGACATCCACCCCCGGATAACCACCCCCTAGGACAACTATACCCTCTAGAGCAACCACCCTCTAGGACAACTACCCCCCCCCCCCCCCCCAGACCTGCCAAACTCTGGAGTTCAAAAACTGTATTCTTTAATCCCAAAAGTTGTATTTTGCTGACAAAAGTTGTATTCTTAAAAATAAACACGGATTGTTACGCGGATCAATGCCTCTTACAGTTCCTACATACAGGAAGAATTTTTTTTATGGATCATTGGTTGAATATGCATGATTTTGTCATGACTGGTGTGTTCGATGAACCAATGAACATCCCCAAATTGCCGATGTGAGATGCTTTAAAGGACAGAATGGGCAATTTGCCATTGAAAATGGCACTCACACACACAACATACCAACAACAACAAAATATATATATATTTTTTTTGTTGAAAATCATATTTTATTGAGGAAAATCGTACTGTCGTATTTGCTTCTAACAATCGTACTAAATATGACTAAATCATACTGGTTGGCAGGTCTGCCCCCCTAGGACAACTACCCCCCAGACAACTACCTCTAGGACGACTACCCCCCAGACAACTACCCCTAGGACAACTACCCCCTATGACAACCATCCTCTAGGACAACTACTCCCCGGACAACTATCCTAGGGGATAGCTGCTTTGGGGGTAGTTGTCCAGGGAGAAGTTGTCCTAGGGGATGGTTATCCGGGGGTGGATGTCCAGGGGGTAGGTGTCCGGATACAGATTTTGACATTACCTTGTTCAGTGTACCAGCGAATCAGGATGAGGCCGCCAGTTGAACCATACGCTTCAGAGACAGATACACGCTTCTCTTCCAATGTCTCATAGTCTGCCATATCCTCTACCTTCAGGAACACAAACGGCTTCTCTTGGACCTGCCAGAACAAAAGATAAAACATCTCAATTTTTACTTTTTTTGTCCAATTGTTGCATTGCATCAACATAAATCATATTATCTCTTTGTTGAGTGTGAAATTTTGCTATAGACATGTATGTCTGCTTTTGCATCAAATACTGTAATAAAATATCAAGCTTTCTGCTTGAAAGATTAATGATGCTAATATCTGTTACTTGGCTTGCACGACTTACTGGATTTTCTGACAGTCCGACAAATAATACAATACATTTGATAATACCAACAAAGATGCATACCATTATACAGTATTTGATTTTGACATATCAACAAACTCTACATGAGGTGCTATAATGATTAACTACACACACAGAGAAGTGTAGGGAAGCAGCAGTAATTATTAATGCTGGTGTCCCAAGGGGACTGGGTCCTTTTTTAAAGTTATGACAGGGTTGAAAGTGAGCACTAAAAAAAAACTATGGCGTTAACCCTGGCGTAAACTTCAATGTTAACCAGGATGTAAACCACGGCGTTATCTATGGCGTAAACTACGACGTAACGTCCGCTTAATTCCCATGTGCACTCCAATACCCGAGGTGTCGAGTGTACAGTAGTCTGCCGAACGTCGACGAAGATTTCGACCACATTAGACAGTCAACAAGTTGACTTCGGTGTTCATCACCACTTCAAGTTTTTCAGACCAGGTTCCATATTTAAGCAGAGTTAAGGAATTGAACTGAAAGAACTTTTGGACTTAAATTTGATTTAAAGCAGTGAACTGTATTTCAATGCATATATGGAAGTTGCTATTGGGATGTATATCATTTGAATGCTTGATCCATTTAATGTTATGTTCCGTAGTGAACGCTAACATTGATATTTCTGTACTTTGACCATGTAAATATTGTTTGGAGACTGGAATTAAACTTAATTCCCTTAAAATAATGTGTCACTTGTTACTTTGTCTGAGTTCTGTATTTAAGCAGTTGTCACTGGACCAACAAGCCATCACCTCCTTCCCTTGGTTGTGAGTAAAATTTAAAAAAAGGATTCAGGGAGAAAAAAATGGCATCTAACAACATTCCCGAAAAATCAGGAAGAAAAATAAAATCTGGAGAAAAAAATCGGGGGAAAATTTTTTAAAAATCAGGAAAAACCAATTTTAATTGTGTAATTATCAGACCCGTTATGATTAATGACTTTCAAATAGATAATAACATACACATTTTAAAATATGTTGATGACCTAATTAACAATGATCAAGTGCCGCAAACTTGCCCAAGAATCTCAAAAGCAGGAAGTTGCTGATAACCCATCTGTCTGGGCTAAGGTTAACAAAATAAAATAAAATCCTATAAAATGTTTGAAAATGGATATATTTGTTTCTCTAGGGCACCGGTTATTCAAACTAGTATAACATTAGAGAATTGTCTATTGGTAACAGTGAGTGAAGTTAAATTGTTAGGAATTACTATACACAATGATTTAAAGTGGGATGCTCACAAAAAAGACATTGATAAAAGGGCAAGTGCAAAACTATACATTCTACGTTCTTTGGTGAAATATGGTCTTCCAAAGGATGACCTTATTACTGTTTTTGTTGGTTATATTCGCTCCTTACTTGAATATGCCAGTCCTGTTTGGAGTGGAGGACTCACGCAAAATCAAATCAAGAGATTGGAGAGAATACAAAAGAGAGCGTTGCAGATAATTTTTTGTAGTGATTATAATAACTATACAAATGCACTTGCACAATCTCAACTACAAAGATTAGATGAAAGAGGCCAATATTTATATGTTATGTTCTTTATCAATTCAAACAATTTCTCCCACAAAAAACATTGTACTAGAACACTTAGAAATTCAAAGAAAATTTCGGATTTTAAATGTAAAACCAGTCGCGTGCAAAATAGTCCTATTCCAAATTTGATTCGCCTGTATAATAACAGTTAATTTGCTCATGTTTATATCGTATCTATTGTAATGATTTATCATTGAAATGTCTTGATTCCTGTACATTCTATTAATTATTTTGTATATCATACCAGTATGTTTGAATGATATTGAATTGCTATTTACTTTTAAATTTGAATAACTATTTCAAATACTACTAAATGTTCATAACACTGCTCTTGCCTCTATCCTTGATTATTTTACCACTATACCCACAACTGCAATATTGTAATATGAAGAACTGATGTATACTTTGTCTTAGTCCATATGTTTGCTTATAATTATGTTTATACATTTTTATTTTGTTTTCATTAACTGTTTTTTAATTGTTTATGGTATTTAGGCAGTAATAACATGACACGATTAAATAATTTTCAACTAAATGTTCTGTAAGTTTTTTTTACAATGTATATATCCAATTCGTGTAATTCATGTGCAATTCAGTTGTGAAACTGCCATTCATGAAAGATGCAATAAAATACCATTAATCTATCTATTTATCCATTATCTCACTTACCTTTGGAGGCAGAGAGTGGGATTTCTTGAGGTCATGTCGGAGGTCACTGAGCGTGCCCACTTTGTTTGTGGATACCTGACCTATCTTCTGAAAGGTTCCATCAGAGTTCTTGATGTTGACAGGCATGTCGGTACGATCTTCTTTCTCTGGATGGTATCAAGAACAGCAAATATGTTTCAGTCTTTGATAATCATTTGATAATCATAATAACTAATACTACAGTGTACACAATACCGGTAACAATTTTACTATAATACACAACAGTTATAAAACAATTTATAATAGTAATGACAAATAAAAGAAGACAAATTTTACGTAGCTAAGCAAAATGTGGTGTCCACAAAATATATATGCAGTTAAATTTTAAAATTCTGTTTTTGTCTTCCTCAAATGTATAAATTAATATTAATATTTGTTTATTACAAATGTAACTATGTTTTGTATACATTGCACATCGTATTCATTATTATGTATTGTATTTTGTTGGAAATGAAAAATAAAAATGAAAAAATGAAATGAAAGCCATAATCATTTACGATGTTGACGGATTTACAGTTGCAAATTGACAGGATGGAATGAGAGTTTTGATATGATTTAGCCTAATTAAACTTGTATTGTCTAGAATTACTTTACAATCTCCATGTTATATGGTACTATATGTACCTCTCATCAAGAGAATTATTAATTTCTTCAATTAGGCGTTTCACTTTGAATTATTAATTCCTAGAGTTAGGCGTTTCACTTTGTGGATGTGTCTTTTCTTGCCGGTACTACCGGTTTATTTCGCCATTTGACTTACCCCTCTCTATTTGTCCTTCTGTGAATCCTGGAGGTAAAGCAGTCACCTCAATCTCTGGGGTTCGTCTGGGGCTGTTAGGTGATCGGCTACCAGATAAGGAAGCACAGTCACCCTCATGTGCCAACAAATGAACCTGCTTGTTCATGGGTCTGAAAAGGACGAAATCATGGTTCAATTCAATTCAATTCAGTTTATTCAATTCCAATAAAATATACAAAACAGAATATAATCATGACAGAATAAGAGTATAAATCGATCAAATAAACAAAATAAGGTAAAATGATAAAACAATAAAGCAATAAAGCAATAGGTAAGCGATGGTAATCACAAGATTTGTATAAAATCTTTAATTGATAAGAAAAAGAATGATAGGAGACAAAACTTTCTATTGCTTTGTATGTTTTGGGTTCAATACTACAGAGCTCATCAAACTTTTTTCCATTTTATTTTCTATTAGAACTGGAGGTTCCACAGTAATGTTCATGCGAACCTCAGCTGCGCAGGGCCAGCTGATCATGTATTAACTGTGCACAGTAGGCCTACCAAGAACTCCAGTCACTGTGCATGGTGAAACCATGCAGCTACCCTGCACAGCTATTAGGCCTTAAAAAAGATGTTGTATTGCCATTTAGGTGCCAAAACATGGGTCGGTTGGTCAGAATTTTTTAATAAAAAAAAACAAACTTAAAAAAAAAAGCTGACCGTAGATTTCAAGATTTTTGGGTCGGTCGCAAAGGGCAAGACAACACTATTGCCCATAAAGTTGGAATAAATTTTCTTACCTCTTGTCATAAAATAATTGTGAAGTTATATTTTAATTCTTGATAGATACAGTCTACATCTTGTCAGAACTTTAATGATAAATAGCTATGACTCTAGATCTTTAGATTGATCAATAAATTCAAGGGAAGACTAATTAAACTGTGTCTATCAAGCATAAATCATATTGTCATGATGCATTATCAAAAGAGATAAAATGATTTCACCATTAAGGGTAACAATGTATTAAAGCTACATGTACATCGTATGTGTCATTAATTCGCAAAGTCCACCAATGAAATACATGAACTTGGGTTATAGGCAAAGCAAAAATAAGAAGACTAGCACGATATCAAAACATATATGTACATGTAATTATAAAGATTATTGCCATTAACCTGTTATCACTAGTGAACATGAACTAAGTAACATGAAGTAAATGGAATGTTTTACAACATAACTCATTTTAGACTTGTAAGTAGTTTGAAATTGATCATTCATCTTATCTCGTTGATTGAATAAGTCTGGCTGAGAAATATGCTTGATGATGACCACAAAACAGGTCAGATTGATGTACATTTGAATCTACTGAATGCTATTTGAAATAAATTTGAAGCAAAAAGAGGTCACTGTTATTTCAGATCTATTGTAATCTTCTTTTTTTTCATCAAAGTGCAAAGAGACATACATTCTTGCGATATATGTTATACAAGAATTGCCTCTTGATATCATTATTATATATAGCTATATAAAGTAAGTTTGGCTTTTCACTATTGTTATAAAGGTTTGTAAATGTGGTGGCAACATAAGGGTTAAATAAAGCAACGGGTTGTAGTAGGAGACCAGCCTGTAGGTCCCGTGACCAATCTCGGGGAACAAAGGTTTGAAAGCGTTTTTGTGTTCCCTGATGAATACCGAACAATTTTGACTTGGGCTGCCCCCTTGAAAATCCCAGGCATTTTCGTGAGGGGGCAACAAATTAAAGGTCATACAGGGTAGAAATTAAAATATATTCCAATCGTGTCGATATGCATATCAAATTACTCGTCTGGTCATGAGGATTAAAAAAATGTAGTTTGCTATACCTCCGACCTTAAATGAGGGCGCTATGGTCAAAAAGGTCAATGCACTTTAGACTGGTGGTCAAAATCACCAACACAATTAACATCGTCCGATTCTAATGATTTTAGTGTCTAATAATATGTTTTCTGACATAACAAATTCAACTAAGCAACTTTTAAAACCAAAAGTGGTTGCCATAACCTTAAAATTTCCCTCAAACCCATGAAAAGGAAGTTATATATGTTTGTCACCGAAACGGCAGCCATTTTGAATGCACATGGTCAAGGTAAGCACTTTTACTTTTGAAAGTTGTATAGTTGAATTTTGCCATGTCAGAAAACATATTATAAGACACTAAAATCATTAGAATCAAATGTTAACTGTGTTGGTGAATTTGACCACCAGTCTAAAGTGCATTGACCTTTTTGACCATAGCGCCCTCATTTAAGGTCGGAGGTATAACAAACTATACATTTTTGGAATCCTCATGACCAGACGAGTAGTTTGATATGAAATTTGATAAGGTTAACCGTGTTGGTGAATTTGACCACCAGTCAAAAGTGTAAAAGCCACAAATATATTTAATAGTCAAAAGTGTGTTGACCTTTCAACGTTTTTGACCATAGCGCCCTAATTTAAGGTCGGAGGTATAGCAAACTATACATTTTTTGAATCCTCATGACCAGACGCGTAATTTGATATGCATATCGTCACGATTGGAGTATATTTTAATTTCTACCCTGTATGACTTTTGTTGACCCCTCACGAAAATGCCTGGGATTTTCAAGGGGGCAGCCCAAGTCAAAATTGTTCGGTATTCATCAGGGAACACAAAAACACTTTCAAACCTTTGTTCCCCGAGATTGGTCACAGGACCTACAGGCTGGTCTCCTACTATTGGAACAGATAATGAGGGTCGATTGGTATCCACCTGTCAACATGAAACTACTGCAAGCATGATAGGTTGATATCAAGACAACATAAATAGAGGTCAGCAAGTCCAAGGGATTTATTCTTTGGGTGTTCAGCACATAATATGTGTCAAATGTGTAATTTCAATTTATATTTGGCAGGGCTCCACACTAAGTTATTTTGTATAAGGTCCAGATGAAAGTAAATTTTGGGGATCTATTAAGCTCTATTTTTAAAATTTTGAAATTTTGGGGGGTCCAGACCTAGATTTGGGCATCCATGTGTCTTGGGTGCTTGCTAGTGTCGAGCACTGAATTTGGTCTGATAAAAACTGTAGTAGGATATGAACTTCATAAAATCATTGATGTGGCCATTAACGTATGAGACAAAATTACTTGGACTTGCCTATTTTTAGAGTCATATGAGTTTTTATGAGTATAATGTTAATGGTGGATGAATAGTAAGCAGCTGGGAAATGAATTGTGGCTTTTAAGCATAATATAAAGCTCTTTATAAATGAAATATACATGTGTATCGTTGATGTACGTTTCGTTAATATAATTACTTGAAATCGATGCTCTTCTACGGATGGAATATCTAAACAAAGATTGAATGTGTACCAAATACCAGCTAATGATACAATACACATCTCGAACTAGCAAGCAATGGGTAATTAGCAGGGTGTATTGAGCAGCAGGGGCCAGGTTCTCTATACCATCATAAGTCTAAGTTTATAGACATCGCATGGAAACGTGCATTGATTCTATAGCAACGCATGTTTCTATGGGGAGTCCACAAAGTTGGAGTTATGACTGTTTATGGAAATTAACTGCCTCCTGTCTACCTGTAAATATATATATACATAACGGTATACATATATATATGTAGAAATGCAAAAATGACTAAAGCTGATATATGCAGTATTAATGCACTAATTTCTAAAGCTGATATACATGTATGTAGTATTAATGCACTAAATGCTATAGCTACTACATGTGGTACTAGTAACACTCAAGATTACCGGTCTACTTTGCTTGATTTCGGTTTGGGACCTTTTTTCCTGTGAGAAAGAAAGGGTTAATAATAATACCTGTAAAGCGCTTGGAACAGCGTTTCGTATTATGTGCTACAAAAAATCCAGATCTGTTTTTATTATTATAAAAGGTTTCAAGTTTTGAGAGCTGAAAATCATTTTCATTCATTTACCTAGATGTACACTATAAAATATGTACCCTATAAACATTAATCTGCAAATCAAATGTTTTGTAACAAAATTCATGAAAAACATTAGGTACTTTAGGAAGTTCACAGAACATAAAATGTAAATATTTGATTGTCTTAATACTCGAAAGACAATAATGCTTACTTCTTGAAAAATATTTGTTCAAAAGATTGCCATTTAATAAGACCACCACCTCATAAAACATCTGGTTCATTATGCATTGGTTTTCCAAACAGATATGTATACATACATGCCAACATTTGAAAATCAGAAATCTGTACAAATTATGCTATTTTCAAAAAAAAGAGAAACAATCCTAACTCTCCTATTCAATACTACAGACAAATTTGTACAGGAAGAGGAACACCTGCATTAAAATGATAATTATCTTCTCCCAAAAAGAGGAATGTTCCTCTTTAATCTGAACAGTTGGCATGTATGTGTATATGTGAACTCATATATTGCACAAAATGAGGGGGTGGAAGGGAAAAGGGGATTGAGACAAGAAGGGGAAAGGAGTTGATGAAGATTTTGCACCACATGCTAGCATTTCATTGATTTCCTTTTCATTGGGAGGGAGGGATGAAGGAGTTAATATGGCATTTGTTGGATATGCAAGCATCACAAAGTAATTCTCTTGCACACTACAGGACTGAGGAAAGGGAGGGATGAAAGGACTGATATTAACTTTGTTTAATATCCTAGCAATTTAGAGCACATAAGTTATTTCTAAATTCGTACTAAAAACAATGACTAAGACATTTTTGTATTTCATAGATTTCAGACGGTGAGTATGCCTCGGGCCTTTTGCACACAAATTTATTATTCACTCCTCTTGGCATTCATTTACAAGTAAAGCGTTTTCATTTTCCAACTGCATATTTTGAGGCAGTGCACCCCCGGCCCCCCCCACTCCGAGAACGGACGGACCCCATGCGTGTTACCAAAATGTCCGGTAAAGGGGTACTTTTCGTGCGACAATTAAAGTCTGGCCCGAGAGTTGTAAAAAAAAAGTGATGTATTAACTTTTCACCCGGAGATTGTGTCTTCACCAGAACAATACGCTCATCACAAACCCACAAATTAGCCCACTATTTCCCAAATAGCAGAATATTTTGAAAACAAGACCAAGATTTCTCAGGATATTTTCTTGACCAAATATCCAGCTAATTACAACTGCTGGCTGATGAAGACCAAATTAACTGGCTAATATGACATCGGGCTAGTTAAAAAAATAGTGGGTTATATGCAACTTCGGTTGCATGAAGATACCGGTGTGTTGGCTCAGTCAGCACAGCGTCCGCCTTACAACCGGAAGGTCGTGGGTTCGAACCCCAGCCGCGTCATACCAAAAGACGTTAAAAGACGGGAGTTGCTGCTACCTTGTTTGGCGTTCAACAATAAGGGATACAGTAACGTCGATCTGGCGCTGCTCAATGGCTGCCGACGGAGCTCACGATCAATTGGGCAAAAATAATTTCCCTTTTCGGTTCAACTTAATAAAATTTGGAGTGGACTTTAAAAGATTATTATTATTATTATTATAATGACATCCAGATCCACCCTGACTATTCATTAACCAGTTGACTGCTGGGTTCTCCCATTCCCATAGGTTTAATACAGAGACCACCCCCTTCCAGTAGGTAAGGGGTTAATAATGTTGGATGTGAATACTTACTTCTCATCCCACTCCACCCCTTGGGTAGTGAGCAGAGTAGTCCGGCTCCCGGTCGGACTCACATCAAGAGACGTGTGGTTGACAATGGTTGGAGTGTAGGTCTTGTTCTCAATACCATCTACCATTGATAGGGGCAACCTCTCCACCTGCTGTATCTTGGAATCTACCAATCATATCAATCATAATAGTTCATATTACATAACCTCATAGAAATGAATAGTATTTCAAATATCACTAGCTGCATTTAAACTGCAAGTGAAAACTATTGGCTTTTCACTCGCAATCCAGAGTTTTGTCGGAAGTCGCTTTGCAACTACCCATAAACACGACGATATACCCAAATAAAAAATCAACTTCTAGAGTGTAGTTTCTTTTAATGCAGTGTGAATACTCGCTCTCAAAATACCCGTGAACTATTCTGGGTTTTGTGCACATGATTCTCCTTGCTTCCATGCTAATGCATGAAGAGCAGCGACAAGTGGCGCATGCATATAAATCACAAAAAAACAAAAAACAGAATAATTAAGCAAACACTGTTTTTTATGGGTTTTTCCAGTAGTGTGTATGGTAGTTTAATTTTTTTTCAAATGGATGTTTATACAATGCAAATGGCGCTATAGCGGGAGTGTCGTGGTCGAGTGGTTTAAGGCGCTTGACTGCAGATGCGAAGGTCGAGGGTTCGAATCCCGACACGGCACTAATATCCTTTGGCAAGATATTTACCTGCACTTGCTACTCTACACCCAGGTGTTAAATGGGTACCCGGTAGGATGCGAACGTTCATGTGGTTGAACGAGCAAGTGAGCACCTGTAAAATGGCGACTGGCTGGAATGCTCCCCAGGGAGTGGAAAATGTGCACACATTGTGTGCGGGTAAGCCTGAATCCGATGACCGGGGTAATAATATATCTGTAAAGCGCTTAGGTACATCGTTGGATCGGTGTATTGAGCGCTATATAAAAAAACAGATTATTATTATTATTATTATGGGAGTTGTTGTCCTTCCCAATGTAAGAGGAACCTCGATCCAAATATCCTTTAAAACGGTTACAATGTTTCGTAAATACAAGAGTTTAGGAGACAGCATTCATATAGCTGTACACTACAGGATCAACACCTTACCTTTCTTTAGACAACACTTGAAGAAGATGACGAGTAAGATGATGACCAGCATAAGGAAACCAATGATTGCAACAACAATGATCGCCCAGAGAGGGAAACGGCTTCCTGGGGCCTGCATAAGAAAGAACAAAGAACTCATGTACATCCACTCCAATAATCCGCGTTCATAGATAATGACTACACTTAGAGAATCCACTCCAATACGATAAACATAATCTACATTGAAGATGACTGCAATGTGAGACGGAACGTCAGAGAGCAATATTTTGAAAGGGCAAATAAATGCAATGTGAATGCAGACAAACCATAAAGACCAATGCCCTAAGAGAAAAAAATAAACATGTAGTTTAAGTACTGCACATGATGTCTCCTACTCTTTGCAACAAAGAAAAATGAAAAATGTTTAATGATAACTGCACTATAGTACCCACAATCTTTTCTCACCAATATATGACACTAACATTTGATAAAAATAGTTAATAAATATGGCTACTAAAAATTGTATGTGACTTGATATCATAATGAAAATATAATTTGATTGATCAAATGGATTGAAAGAATGGGGATGATATGACCTGTTTTGTTTGCGAAGTTCATGAATCGTTGTAATATCATTAAAAACTGAGATGACAATGCCAACATATTGTTAGTAGCCTGTGTTGATCATCGTGAACAGCTTCTGTAATACCTTTTCCATGCAGTTCTTACTTTTGACATTGTCACTGTATTAAGCGCTATATAAACTCATATTACTATAATAATTATCATCATCATTAAAGCCCCACTGCACTACTACTTGCGCCCTCTATATAGCAAACAATGCCTAATCGGTGACCGTTGGTCCCCTTTAACTTATGTTAATTGAGAGCTGATTTGATAGAGATAACCATGAGTCAGTGACCATGCAGGGAGGTCCAATCTCTCCTGGCCAAAATAGTGCAGATAGGCTTTAAATTTGTACATGGTTAGCAAAAAATATCTTTACATGAAACTTGAGGATGTTGCTTGTAGCTACTCGCGCCCTCTATATACCAAACAATGCCTAATCAGTGACCGTTGGTTCCCCATGGACCCCAGTTTAGCTGTATGATAAGCTGCCATCAGGATTATTTCTACAAGGACTGTGATTTTATCTTGATCTCACCTTCCTGGTGTGTTCCTGTCCATTGACAAGCAAGACAGGATCCGCTTCCAGAGTGGTTCCTTCAAAGACCACAAAGATATCACCATTCTGAAGGTCGTCATAGAGCACCTCCACCGTGCCCTCCGTGTCTCCGGCCATGTTGAAGGTCAACAAGATGGAACCTGAAAAGGTCAAAGGTCAGAGTGTAATCATTTCTCAGGGGGAGTACAAAAATGACAAGTTTCATGCAATGAACTAGCTACGACACCTACTCCTGCACACTATTACTCTGTGGTCAATTTCCTTCATGATCCAAAATCCAAACAAACTCTGAACCCATCCCATACATTATGGGGTTGACTATGAATAGCTGTTAATATCAATGAAGTATGTAGAAATGTTTCCCTGAGATAAGGTAAGGACAAATTTTTTTTTTCTTCCAACATTGAGGACTTTTTTTGGAGGTTCCTTCATACCATATGCAATAATGTGTGTAACTTAACGCAAGAAATATTGTCCACTTATTATTTAAATGTAAAATTGTCACATGACATTCAAGTATACTCCAATAGAGGCAATACACCCTGGAGATCTTTCTATGTAACTGCAAAATACCCCATCATACTAGTAACCTCAAATATATAACCATGGCCCCAAGGCCTCACACAAGGCATCTACATCTAAACATGACCCAGACCATAATCATAACAATTACCCTAAACATGACCCAGACCATAATCATAACAATAACCCTAAAAATGACCCAGACCATAATCATAACAATAACCCTAAACATGACCCAGACCATAATCATAACAATAACCCTAAACATGACCCAGACCATAATCATAACAATAACCCTAACCAATGACAATGACAAATATTTTAATTTCTTTAATGGCCCTTTTTGAGGCATGGAAGAAATACAGTTGAATAGTACAAATATAATGTTCAACAATGATATTTATAAAACAACACAGAAAATCTTTTACCATGACCCAGACCATGATCATAACAATGACCCTAAACATAACTTTACTTCATTCTTGTTCGACAAAACAATGTTATTATGCACATTGAGTTTGATACTGACCTTTAGATACCTTGAAGTCCGAAAGGGATACATTTGTATAACGGTAGCCGACCTTGTTCCTGAAGTTAGTCACAAAAGCACTCTCCTTTCCTTCAACAACGGAATAATCAGTATCGAAGCGGAGGGTGATCATAACAGATTTTCCAGTTGGTGGGACTACATCCCTTGCAGTGACGTCAAATGGATCGAGCTGAACGGAGAAGGAATATTCTTGTGTGTCGACGGCGAAGACATCAACACTGAGAATGTATCCGTAGCCAGTGATGTCAAGGACCAGGTCAGAGAAGGTCGCGACCCCTGTCGAGAGGTCAACAGCCACGGTCTTCTGGCCTGCAAGCTGACCACGGTAGTTAGATGGCAAGTACAGTGAAGCAGTAGCCTTCCATGTGTTGTACCCCTGCAAATGAAACGAAGCAAAGACTTCAATATGAGTACATGACTGGTGATCACTATAAAATCATTTGCATACCATTGGAAGATATAACACCATCACTTAAAGCTATATGTATGTGTAGCACCTTTAAAGTTGGCAAGCACACAAATTTAACTTTTATCAAGTGCAATATTTATTTTAAAATCTTGCATCATCTCTTTATACAGAAATGATACTTTGGAGCTGATATTCAGAACCTAAGACACCAACAAAGAACCCCAAACATAGAGAGCAAAACGGTTCTTTGGAATTGGTGCCATTAAACACAGCTTTGATTGAAGCATAGGTAAAATACAAACAAACTTCTTTGCGTAGTAATTGCAAAGTTTTCCTCTGAGTATTGACTCACCGATTCCTTCAGGTTTGTGACCACCTCTCCTGATGCAGCGTCCCTGACCTCAACCAGAACCTGGAATGCTTCATTGGCATACACCGTGCCTGTCTTGTGAGATTGGGCTCCAGTCAGCTGCCGAGGAGTGATGGGGAAAGCAGTGGACCTGGCAGAAGAGACGGTTGTGCTCTGGGGATGGGTGATGGCAAACTCCAGCTCGTAACCACTGCCTTGCTTTGTGATAGCCAGATTGGTGAAGTTAGCCCAGCCCTCATCAAAGGGAAGCGTGACGTTGCCAATGAGCTGCGCGGTGCTGCCGGCTGGACGCACCGCTAGGGTGGCTGTCACCAACCAGGGGTCTGAGGAATGGCCGAGGGCTGTCACCAAGTTACCCTGAAGGAGCAAAAATGAGATACCAATAGGAGAAGAAACCATCAAGAGAAAAATTGGGATAATTTACTGAAATAATACTGTTGATAACAAGAATACTAAAAGAGCTAGGGCATGATAACAAATTGTGTCTACTTGAGGGACAATTGCAATGAATATAAAAAGCAAACAGAATTGTAGGCATACCTCTTGATCTACGACTTTGACCGTGGGTTGGGTTGGGAAGGGTGCGTACTCACTGCCCTCTGTAGGACTGGTTCCTACTACCAGATTTGAAGGGGTCACATAGACGACAGGTTGGCTCAGTTCTTCCTGTCTCGCTGCATCCACCTCTAATTGTCGCTCAGAAAATCTACAAGATAACAAGAATGAATCGGACATTAACCCGTATGTACTTTACTATTTGTCTCAAGGTCCATTTGTATTTATTCAATATTATCTCCCTCTAGAAAGAAATATACAAGTATGTTGTAGAACCAATAAAAAAGGACTTCCCCCACCACCATTTACAGAGGCTGCTCGATAATATTTGTTCCTTTAAAATGCAAACATGTACCAGTCAGTGTCAAATTTCCTTAAAAGTGAGGAACATTTGTAATGACCTGAATGACTTGAAGCTATTTTGAAATCCACACTTAACAAGATCAGAATATATCGAACAAACAGACAGAACTTTCCGAAGAAAGAGTCAACTTACGTCTCATCTCCCTCGGCAGGCCCACCGGTCTCATTAGTAGCCTTGACCCCACCAGTCGGGTCAACAGGTGGTTCCACCGGGTCGGTCATCGACATGGAGTCGATGGTAATGTTTAGGTTAGCTCCAAGGTTTCCCTGCTGCTGCTCTGTCACTAAAATAGCCTGAATCTCATGGAGCTCCTCCACAGCACTAGTTTGGTCTGCAAGAAGAGATCAAAAAATGTCTGAAAATATGTTGAAAGTACTAGACCAAGAAGAAAACCAAGAACTAACTGGGAGGAGAACATTAAGACATTTACAAAGATTAAGAAAATTACACATTTAATCATGAAAGGAGAAGGATATCCAAACAGCCATTAAATACATGTCTGGGTGGTCTTTCTATACAGGTTTGACTATTGATATGCTTACTGCTTGCTGATGTTGCGTTCCCTGCCACAATCTCAATTTCAACGGCTGCTTCCCCCGCTGCTCTCCTCCTCCTCCTGCTGTCTTCCCGGATGATGTTCACGACTCGGATGTTTTCAGGGCTGATGTTGAGAAGTTGGGCCAGGTTGCTCCTCAGGTTCTCCTCAAAGAATTCATCCACATCGATGGAAGGCACTCCAAAGGTCAAGATCACAGCAGGGGTCGTCTTGATCTCTACGATGTTTGAGCCACGCACCACCAAGTACAGCGTTTGCCGGTCTCGGGCAAAGTAGTTCTCCCCGTTGATGGTGGATGAGACGGTTGGACGGTACTGGAGGGGTGTCTGTGGCCTCTTCCAGGTGAGCCTGTTGTTGTTGTCGTATTCAGCGTTGTTCGGAAGGATGTAGGCATCGTTGCTGTACACATCCAGTCTTTGTGGATTAGCATACCAGATACCTACCACAATGGTCTGATCAGAAACAACAAAACGATATGTTGAAAACAACATAAATATCTATTTCAATGTACATCTACATGTATTCTGAGGTGCATAAAAATGGAAGTATATGGAACATTGTTGATATTATCCTGGCTTTATCAAACAGAGACATAGTTAAGATCATAGCCTTGAGTGGATTTCTCCCAACCAACTTCAATTTATGGAGGTCAATACTACAAACTATATCGGAATCCTGTCTGAACTGTGGAATTGTTTGCCCACAAGTCGTTTATAATGCATAGCTCCATACATCTTCATCAACATCAAAGTATGAGAGATTACCTGTGTGTCATCGGCATTCAAGAAATAAAGCCTGAGTCCCTGTGGATTGGTGCCTGTGAAGTAGAGCTCGTATTCTAACCCTGTGGCTACCAGGGTGTTGAAGGTGGAGATCCTTTCCTGGCAGGTGTACCCCAGACACCATCCATGGTCCTGAGGTCCGTTGATCAGGTCCACATAGCCGTCAGCGAGAAGTGCCACAGGGGATATCCTGCGTGTCTCAGTGTCAGCATCCATGCTCTCTACCATGAACATCATGTGGTCTAGGTTGTGACATTCAAAGGCCTGCCATGACTCTGTCCAGGTACAGTCAGAGCTGCTGGTTCCAACAATACCTGAAGAATAGAACAGTGGTTTATATCTTTATTTCACTTTGTTTATTTATCATTCAATTTTATCATATTCATTTACTTGTAGTTTTATTCATATGGGATAGCTCGAAACCCTGTGGCAGACCTTGCAAAACTTGCGGAAGGAAAAGCCAGAAGAAGATATGAGATCGTCTGGACTCATCCGTGCAGATAAAGAAGATCAGAAGGCTCGGAGAAAGGCCAGAGGCTAAATGAAATGTCTGACCCCACAGCGTTGGAAAAACAGATATTAAACAGACATTAAACAATCATGTAGTATTTTCAGTTACAAGATCATTTTTTTCCACAAGGGCCCTATTGGCCTATATTTAGTACATATCCATAAGGTACAGGATTTGAATCCCTGTCGCATGACATATGTCCTTTGGCAAGACATTAGTCTACATGTGTCACACTCTATCCAGGTGAGGTAAATGAGTACCTGGCAGGGATTCATTCCTTAAAATGCTTCAGTGCTGTAATGACAGCCGTGCTTAAGCCGGGGTAAGAATAATGGAGCACCAGGAGTGGAAATGTGCCAGACACATGCAAGCACTATAAAAGACACTATTATTATTTGTTATTATTAATGTTAACTGCACATAATGACCAGCTGCTTTATATAAAGACCACAAATTTGTTGTTTCCCTAGAAGCAGTGTTCCTATCAGAATATTTACTAAAGTAAACCACACATGATAACCTGCTTGTTTCCCTTGAGTGATCTTTTTCTTACCTTTATTTGGAGCTTTATCAGCAATATCAATTTGGTCGCCAGTGATATGATCAGTAAGAGCCATCCTTGGGATGCGGTAATCTCCAAGTCCTCTCCTTTGATCGCCGTCCCATTCAAACGCAGAGTCCGGGACGACCGTTCCGACGGATCCCAGCATGGACCCGTCAAGATCACGAATGAGCGTCTTCTTCATACCATCACAGTCCATGTCCACACAGTCCGATGGGTTCACCTTACTATTATGGAGAGAACAAGGCAACAGCCATTAGCTTGCTGAGACCGTATTCTTGCCTCTTTTATCAGGTTACGAGATCTCACTCCCCTAAACCATTCCTCGACTCACTACACTGGCTTCCTGTAAGACATCGTATAGTTTTTAAATTACTATTGTTAGTCTTTAAATCCCTTGATAAACAGGTACCTCAATACCTGTACGTGATTGTTTGACCTTATACACCCCTCCCGGGAATGTATGAGCCTCCAGTGATCCACTCCGTCTTACATACAACATCACACGGAAAATAGATGGAGGTAGGACTTTCACTATAACTGCATTTAAATACTGGAATAGGCTACCTTTAATACTCAGGCAATCACCATCTAGCTCTTCATTCAAAAAGGGACTTAACACAATTCTTTTTTGTAATCCACATTTTTAGGATTCTATAAATTCTCATTTTCACTTTTTGTAAGATTCTTCTTGTTGTAAGCGCTTTGGGCCACTCTGGGAAAAGCACAGTATATAAATAATAATAACAATAAATGATACTCTTGTCTCCACCTGTTGGGTAGTATGACAATGATAACTTTGGCTAGGGTATATGCATTCAGTTAACAACTTTTTGTTTGTAAATCAAGAATGAAAGGTGGACTAGTTTAATTAGGGTCTTTGATGAATACTTTAGATTTAAAGGTAAAGACCAGTAATGGTCATGCGATTGCATTGTTAAAGAAACGTTGTGGAATCGATCAGAAAAGGTTGATCATCTAGCATCTAGCATCTGCAAGGTTCTGGAATCATCAAAATAATAAGAAATTTGGCCCATTCTTCGTAAAGTTACAAGCACTATACACAGAAATATGTATATGGGACTACCCTATATCTCTCACAGACCATGAGAGAAACAAATTTACCAAATATATGAATTAGTAGATGGTTTTCCGGCAAATTTTTTATCATCATGTATTAGTCAAAACATATTCTTTCACATGATTGGTAATGAGAGCTTCCATTTCATTTTTTGAAATTGGGGCGTTTCCAATACTGGTCTTTACCTTTAAGCTTAAATATTTCACATTCTCAAGAATAATTATTGGGACAAGTCAATTTTGTACATACTTAAAAAATTACAAAACTTGGTGAGGGTATGAATAATTTAGTTGTCAACTCTGAGCGTTGTACCATTATCAAATCAAGTCTAGCAGGTTAAGTTCTTCCCTGTAATACATCGTCTGGCTTTTAACTATATTCTGAATTTTTTTAAAGAGATAACTGGTATAAACTACGATTTACTTTGAATTAAAAAAAAGTGATCAACAGTATTATGAAAACAAATCTAAGGCCATACTATTAAATTCTATACCATCACCGCTTCGTAGAGACTCTACAAAAACACATCCGTTTTGCTGATTTTTTTCATGGATTTGTCTGAAGCAGGCTGCAGATAAAGCAATTCTCAAAATTGGTGTGACACAATAAATGTTCAAGGAACTTAATTTCCTCAAAAACAAGAGGTGCCTCAACTTACTTTAAGGGTGGTCTGTGAATAAAGATTAGACTCTCCTTGCTTGTCGAGATGAGATTTATATTCTGAACCTCAGTCGGGTGGGTGGCATCATCGCTGAATGCGTTTGTTATGAAGACGCGGCCCTGCCTTCCACAGTGGTCATCAAAATTGATGAAAGACACATCTGCATACAAGATGAAATATTTTATCTCACAGCAGTGCTACAATTATATTTGAATTTTCTTTTTCTTCAAAGGAATTAAGGCCTTGCTTGACATTTAGTCTGTAATGCAGTATGGAATAAAAGGAACAATATTAAAAGGACTGCGCGTTGTGGCATGTGCCTGGAATCCAGCTAACAATGGAAGTTACAAACTGATTCAGCCGAGGACGCAGGTTCGAAACTGAGTCACGTCTTTCGGCTGGTGACGTTTAAAGGTCGGTCCCTAGACGTAAATAATCATATATGATTGATACTCGTCTGTAAAAAATACACATTGGAAGATCAAGACAGCTCTGATAATGTTAGTGGATTGAAGCACCATCTATTGCCATTTGAGTAAAGAAAAATTTGCTATGCTCTCATTTTGGTATTTCTTCAAGTCAATGTCTTTTGTTTACGTGGTCTTTAACTTATGTAAATGACCTCGCAAGACTTAGAAGGGGACACTAAGTTGAGATGAAACGTTCAAGCCAACAGCGTGGGAAAAAAAGGTGCTAAACGATGATGATTCTTCACTAAAAAAAATTAGACATGCTCACCAGAGATTTGGTTGTTTCCGCCAATGGATGGGTAGCTATGGATGCTCCTGAAAGCGAAGAATGCAGCTCCGTTCAGAGCAGACATGTATGTGGTGAGGACAAGACCAGCCACGCCCTCTTCTGGTGTTAGTTCAGCTCTCTGCTTGCTCTCAAAGGAAGCTACTTCAGGGGCCACCTAAAAGAAATTGTAACAAGTTAACGCAAGCGTAGCATCCCCTTGCAGGGTACAAATGGACTATATACATCAGAACAATTACCTCCATTAGACTATACAGTGCGTCCCAGAAAAAACGAAACCGAGAAGTATCGATGTTCTATCATAACTTAATCACAACTAAAATTAATGAATGATACATATTTGGAAAGCTTAGAGTCTCCTCTTTCATGTGATGCTACTCAGATGATGCATATTTCACGCATGAGTGATTTAAAGCAATTTGAAGGGAGGAAACCAAAAAGACATTTGGCGGGCGGTATCTGAATTTCGAAGAAAAATGCACATTTCTAGAAAGTTCATTTCCTGCCCTTTCATATGACACCTCAATCAGGTAAAATGAGCCAGGAATAACAAAGTTCTGTTTGTTTAAAGTAATGCTTGCATTTCCATTATTTCATTAAACGAAATCGTTTTCAATGGCTGCCTGCCGTAGCAACAAAGATCGGCTTGTAAAAGCCATGGGGCTCCTGACTGACCTCAAGGTTTATAATTATCATTGCAGCATGAGCTAAATCCAGGATTTTGTTTCAGAATCTGAGACAAAGTTACCGGATCCCTTTAAATGTAGTAAGGGCTATATCAATGGTAACAATAACAGTAACATACATGTAGGTGTAGAAAATGAGTGTCACTCATGAATGTATGCTAATGATTCCTCAGCATCGATTCTATTTTTATTGTTACTGATATTGTTGATATGTGGCCCACCCTTAAGTCAGTTTGGAGGAACAATCTGCGTATAAGGAGACAAAGGTTATTTGTATCAAATCTTATAGCCAACTACAAAAAAATGAAAATGGTGCACATGGGTTGATTCTTTTCAATGTAAATCTCTCTCTTTAAGGAACTTCTGTAACTTCCAAAGAGCTTTAGATTGTTACCATGTCACTTAATCCATATCTTACGGGAACCTGGTGGTCCCTGTGTTCTAAGCTTATTGGACCTCTACAATTCAGTAGTCAACGGGTTGAAGAGTGTTTTCCTCTGTAACCTAGCCTGCGTCTATAGAACAGGGGAGCGGCATGTTAAAACACGATGCAGATTTCATCAGTCATCTGTCTGGGCTAGATTCGAACCCACAGTCTTTGGTTCGATAGGCTAGGCATTTTATCGCCTGAGCCAACTCGCCTCCTCAAGTATACACATATCTGAAAGTGCTATATTTACCTCATCCAAATCACAGTCAAAGCTACTGCTATGTCCGCTGATGACAGAGTTAGTGAGTTGGAAGAGTCTGTCCTGTTTCTTGTGGGTCAGGGCGTGTGGACTGTAGAACATCGGGCAGATGGCATTCTTGTTATCTGCTAGAGTCACGTTGGTCACATGAAGATCGGAATTAATCTGAACAAGTCAAATTTATCAAATTTAAACCATTAGTTCACATTAAAAATGAAGTGTACATGTATATAGAAAGCAGCATACAAACACAGCAACATTTCCATGGAAATATAAGACATCTATTTGAAGACATGTGACATGCATCGTACACCAGATGTAAAGTGTATATTATATATACATGTATAGTTGTATCACATGCAGTGCACTATTAAATAGGGTATTTGCAAAAGTCACAGTTAATAAATTGTTATGTATGCACGAGTGTCCCAGTGGAAGAACTTTATTTGTGATAAGATACTGTTATTTTCACACAATATTGATTTAGTTCATAAACAACCCGTTTATCATTTATTATCACGGCTTGACATCATATTGTTGGAATTCGTATCTTGGAGTCATAAACGAATAATATGTTTATTGCTATTAACAGGTCCTCGTTTCTATTTAATTATTTCAATTTTGGTTATTTATTGAGGTTTATTTTGCCTTGCAACTTGCATATGAAATAAAATGAACCACAACACAAGGAATGGTGTCACCTGTACCAGTTTCCCCGTGTTACACATAATTATAACATCATCTGAGCTGCAACCAACCAATTTGAAAGTCCTGTTTGTGACTCTCGATATAGGGACTGCTGGTATGACCAGCTGTCAACAATTAGATACATGTATATCTGTTGATATTGAAATGGCTAATGTGGTTTATACTGTACATAAAAATTGAAAAATAAAACCCATAAATTACCTGGACATATATGCCATAGTGATAGCAGCGATATATGAGAAAATTAGCCACTGAGGAACATTGTGGCTGGCTCCTTTTAAACAACATCACACCCTGTAATCAAAGAGAAAGACATCAGCATGAGTTAAAGTTGTTCTGGTTTATTCACAATTATGAATACACAAATATTGACTGCTTAGAGAGGCATTGTTAAAACTATTTCTCAAGATAATCTGGAAACTGTGCTGTTCAAATTTCGATTTTAATGAGGAGTAACAAAAAAAAGCAAGATTATCTGACCAATTTTTAAATATCTGTTTGTAAATTGACAGTTACGATTACAACATGGAACATCCCTTCCCAGCAAAGTGACACTGGTTCCTGACTCACCTGTAAGGCCGAGTGTACAACGTTCTGACTGAATCGAGAGTCTACCCCACACTCTTCTCCATCCATCATGATGCCTGCTTTCTCTGAACCAGCTACGGCATTGTCACGCATCACAAGATTGTCTGCAGAGTCAAATGTAATGCTGCCAAACCAGTTTAAGTTCTCCACCTGCCAGCGGTCTTGGTACGTTGCCTTGGAGATGGATAGCATCACCAGATTGTGCTCTAGGAGGATATCTTCACTTCCCTCGATGATGATGCCTATACATGGAGGATGAGGAAGAGCCAATTAACCATATGATCAATCAACTGACCCAACTAATCAATCAATCAATCAATTAATTAATCAATCAACCAACCAACCAGCCATTCTATCAATCAAAAGATCAATCTATCAAAAGATCTTATCACATCACTCACTTGCTCCAATAGTACGATGAACAACGACGGATAGTCAACCTGTTCGAAACGTCGAGCCACTCCCGCCACCCATCCTCTCCAAGCGCTATAGTTCTCCTTAGAACTATAAGCTAAGAAAGATAACCAACAGTCTTTTTCAAGACTACACCAACAGTCCTTTTCAGGACTATACACCATCAAGAAAGATTACCGAGAGTCCTTTTCAGGACTACTCAATCCTCCCTCTCTCTCACATGGTGCACCCGCAAGCCTACTGTATAATGTTATCCTTGATAATCAATTTGCTTGAGCTGTACGTCCCAATGACCATACTGATCCTATCAACTAACCAACAACAAACCACCAATCTACAAACCGAACTACGTACCAATGTATCAATCAATCAATCAACCAATCAATCAACCAACCAACTAAATAACTAACAAACCATGCTATCAATCAATCTATAAATCAAATATGTCACCTGCTCCAATAGTATGATGAACAATGTTATCCTTGACAATCAATTTGTTTGAGCTGTAGGCCCCAATGGCTGTACTGAACCAATCAACTTACCAACAAAAAACCACTAACCAACCAACTAACCAACAAACTCACTAACTAACCATTTTGTTAATCCATTAATCACATCACTCACCTGCTCCAATAGTATGATGAACATTGTTATCCTTGATGATCAATTTGTTTGAGCTGTACGTCCCATACCAAGAACCAACCAACCAATCAACCAACCAATCAATCGACCAATCAATCAATCGACCAATCAATCAATCGATCAATCAACCAACAACCAACAACCAACTAACTTACCATTTTGTTAATCCATTAATCACATCACTCACCTGCTCCAATAGTATGATGAACATCGTTATCCTTGATGAACAATTTGTTTGAGCTGTAGGCCACAATGGCTGTACTGATCCAATCAACTAACCAACAACAAACCACTAACCAACTACTAACCAACCAACCAACCAATCAATCAACCATCAACCAACCAACAAACTAACCATGTTGTTAATCCATTAATCAAATCACCCACCTGCTCCAATAGTATGATGAACATTGTTATCCTTGATGATCAATTTGTTTGAGCTGTACGTCCCATACCACGAACCAACCAACCAACCAACCAATCAACCAACCAATCAATCAATCGACCAATCAATCAATCGATCAATCAACCAACAACTAACTAACTTACTATTTTGTTAATCCATTAATCGAATTACTCACCTGCTCCAATAGTATGATGAACAATGTTATCCTTGATGATCAATTTGTTTGAGCTGTAGGCCCCAATGGCTGTACTGAATCCATGATGGAAGCTACAACCAGTCAATGACGATGGCAACGTATTAAAGAAGGGGTCACGGAGGTCAAGGAAGGCCACTGAGAAACGAGGATCGTAGCTCTCGACATAACCCTCCTGTCCGGTGTGCTTAAACTGAACATTGGAGATGTAGGCTCTCCCTGAACAAAAAAACAAACAAAAATGAATACAGCAGATTGTATTCATGATTAGCAAAATGTTTGTCTCGTTGTAGAGCTATAATCACATAGGTATATGAAACGAAACCGGCTCGAACTACTTTTGATATTCTCTCCTAAAAAAAAACTAAAATAATGTAACCATTATAATCATTATTCTGTTATAGAATTAAAGTTATGCATCACCCATTCAAGAACTTTGGTGGAGTTAAAAGGGGTAAGGCCGCAGCGCCGCATAGGCCACACCCCCAACTTTGACATTTCGTAGAGGGGAAAAAACAAAAAACAAACAAAACAAAACAAACAGACCAAACAAAATAATCGTAATTTTCTTGTAGAACACTATTTTTTCTACAAACTGATACCAAATTCATCAATATTCTTATAAATCTACAAGAAGTTTACCTAAAAAATGTTTGTAATTTAGCAGATCTTCATCAATTTTTAAGCTAGTACTGTATCGCATGCAGATTCGGCATCCTTCATATACCCCTACCACGATGTGTGATGTAATCCGGAATTGCGACTTCGACCTGCGCAGTTGCGTTGCACGGCAGCTAGCTCCGTAAGTAACGGTCTGTCCCTTCTTTTACTCTTTTGGCGATGCAATGGTACGGACTTATAGATCTAGATCTATCGGCAGATTTTATTAGAAAAATAAGTTATGCTGCTTGTTTTCGTCTTCATGACACTATGCAACATCAAATTGTTGGTAATTTGTGTGGAGTTATTTTAGAATTGTCCTGTACCATTGTCTAGTCATCCTAGTCCCATATTTTCAAATGGACGTGCTGTTTTGAACGCTGAATTTGGTTGTTGTTGCGCAAAGGCCGCACCCCGACTTTTTGATATTTTTCTTCCAAAAATACTGCGGCCTTATCGCCGGCAAATACGGTACATGTATTACATCAATAAAGTACTTTATCTAGGAGTCTAAAGCAATAGGAAATGACAAAAACCAACTGTCATATCAATCTTGAAGTAACTTTCAATAGCATTCTGTTGACACAAAACACATCTCGCAAAGGGTTGCTTGGATACGTTATGACGCACAAAATATATTCATTTGACCATGTAGTCAATATACCCAATGAAACTAACCGGGAGTGATTACAATTCTCACGTAACGGGCTGTGGACCAATTACGCCTTTATTTCAGTAAGAGATATCCAATGTAACCTCGTCCATTGAATATTAAAGTGCAAGTACCTTGAAAGAAATCCTGATCTTGATAAAAACTTCCAACCAACACCCTAGCACCAAACAACTCTGTAAATATGCCATCATAGCTTGCACCCTCGATGACGATGTTCCTCGTGAAGAGTCCAACTTCAGCTGCAATTCTGTACTGATTTTGGGTATTCTCATGTTCAGTTGCAGCTGCAGAGGAAAGAAGAAAGAACAGTGATACAAAACAGCTCAATGCTAATAAAATGGGGTCTGACATACATTGGTGTGGTTTGATGGTTTGTTTTACCTGACTGCTCAGTGGGGAGGCGCGATAGTTCAGTTGGTAGAGCAGTGGTCTCGTAATCCGGCGATCCAGGTTCGAAACCAAGTCAATGCGCTAGTGCCCTTTGGTAAGGCATTAATCTACAGTCTTGGGTCCTCTGGTTGCTTACTAACAAGCTTTTATGCTTTCTTAGCAGCCAGGTAAAATAACCACCACTACTACTAAAGCATGTGTATGCTTGCAAGTAAGGAACCAGGGAACTGACGGCTTTATGTCTTCTCTGAGAGACTTAATGAGGATTAATACCTTACCAGAGGGCACTAGGCGCATTGATTTGGTTTCGAACCCGGGATCTCCCAGTTTTGAGACCATTGCTCCTGTGATTTCAGGGTCCATGACGAAAGAAATTCACACTTAAACAGATGCGATAAAACAAGGCCTCCTATTTAGAAAACATCAATCAAACTGAGCCCATGTATGTATGTGGAGCCTTAATTATAATAATAATAATAACAATATTTAATTTTTATATAGCGCTTAATACAAATGTCTCTATTAAGCGCTTCACAAATATACTATTACCCCGGTCATTGGATTCAGTGCTTGCCCGCACACAATGTGTGCACAATCTCCACTCCCTGGGGAGCATTCCAGCCAGGCGTTACATGATGCTCAAAAACTGTTTGACCAACAATGACGGTCGCATCCTACCGGGTACCCATTTAACACCTGGGTGGAGAGTAGCAATCGCAGGTTAATATCTTGCCAAAGGATATTAGTGCCGTGTCGGGATTCGAACCCTCGACCTTCGCATCTCTAAGTCAAGCACCTTAAACAACTCGACCACGACACTCCCATGCATATAGGGTTGATTCATGTTTTCAAAGAACTTATCTTCAATCAACAATCATTCACATGTGCCTAAAGTACATGTAATAATTTGTTTTTAAAGTACTAGACATCGTGTAAGTCACATGATATCCACCTTCCTCCTATTGTGATAACACTTATTTCATCAATACTGTCACAAAGGAAAGTACTGGAGTTAGTCTAACCTGTGTGTAGATGCTGAAATGTGGCATTAAGGACAAACGTCCTTGCATCGGTGACCTCCTGGATAGCAAAGGTCTCCGTGTGCCAGGTCTCGTAATCTGTGGTTGCCACGGCGATTTCGTCTCCAACTTTCCAGTTTGTGTCCTTCTCTAACGAGATGGAGTTGTCTCCGGGACTGACGGTCATCGCAAGACGCGTCCAGGTGACCTCAGGAGCTTTACCATGAAGATCCAGGACTCCAAATACACCTGCAAGACAGCAATGTAATTATTCCTCCAATACAAATCAGATTCAAGGGCCGAGTGTCCATGATATAATGACAATATTTATCACTGTTTTGTACAGTAAGTCCTGTTATCTGGAAAAGTCTAATTTAAGGGGGTTTAATACATATTTTATCCAGGTTTAAACAAATGCCCATGTTATATGTATGTAGGTGCAAACCATGGATTAAGAAAAGCCTCACTGATGAATGCTACAAGTCTTCATTAGGTAAAATCTAGGACAGTTTTCAAAGGGTAAAGAAAGCATGAACATGACCATCAGTTTGATTTTTCCCATTTTTTACCACTGGGGTATTATGGTTGCCTTCCAGAATGACTTACCTAGTGCCTTTGAGCCAAGATTGAGATCACTAGTCAGTGGTAGGTCTGGTGTGTTATGATTGCCCTCCAGAATGACTTACCTAGTGCCTTTGAGCCAAGATTGAGATCACTAGTCAGTGGTAGGTCTGGTGTGTTATGATTGCCCTCCAGAATGACTTACCTAGTGCCTTTGAGCCAAGATTGAGATCACTAGTCAGTGGTAGGTCTGGTGTGTTATGATTGCCCTCCAGAATGACTTACCAAGTGCCTTTGAGCCAAGATTGAGATCACTAGTCAGTGGTAGGTCTGGTGTGTTATGATTGCCTTCCAGAATGATGTGGACATTGTGGATGAAGGGCATTGCTTCACTCTCACCGATGACCAGATGACCACCCTGTATGAGGATGTAGGTGGCTCTCAGAGTAAAGTCCCTGACATCGGCCAGCTCCAAGGTTCCATAGATGAAGAGCTTGTTCATGACGGGGAGGCTGTCATTCGCAATGATGTATAGTCCTGAGTGAGATATTTATAGAAGTATTTTCAAAGAATTAAACATTAAAGTACTATAGTCTCTCTTCCGTTGTAAAACCCACACATAGTTCATCATTGTTAAAGGACAAGTCCACTCGGCTAAAAAGGTTTAATGATTAGATAGACAAAAATCTAAAAAGCCCAAATATAACTTGGTCTTGGAAAATGGAGCTCGGACTTATTTTAAATTAATTGTTTTAATGAGCAAAGAACAAGTTAGTGATCGAGCCGGTTCTCCCCCACAATGCATCGCGCGACATTTTTTGTGACGTAGGGTCCTCACAACACAGAGCTAGAGCTAGAGCTAGAGACGATGCCCATTCGCGAACGCGAACCAGTCAGACCGCAGCGCTCGCCAAATCGCACGTATTTACTCAAGTCGTATGCACGTTTTTGCTCCTCATGAATACGTAATAAGCAAAAACATGGCACAGTTCTCATCTTTCTGCTATGCTCAGGATTCATTTAATGACATTGAATTCGTCATGAATATTGAGCAAGAACTATAAACATTATAATGTACTATTCAATAAATAGTGAGTGAAGTTTGAAAATGTGAAAAAAACACCAAATAAAACTTGCAAAAAAAAATATTTGAAGAGTCGGATATACTTGTTAAATAACCATTTTTATTGGGGGTGCGTCTCGCTGAATTTTGGCTTACCACATAATGTAGATATTTTCCTAACATAATATTATACTTCCTGTCAATGTTTGTCTCAATACCAGTCAGGAACTAGCAAAGTAGTAGCTGATGCATAATAGACTTCGGCGGAAAATACGACATGGCCGATCGACGAGCGTTTCGCATCGAGATCAACCGGGGGATACCACGTTATATATAACTCTGCGTCGATTCGCGGTCCAACCAGTCTGCGCGCTATACGTGATCACGCACGGAAGATAGACGAAGATTAAGGATATTCATGAATTACTCTCGTGTGCGTAACCCCGGTCGTAGAGGCTTTGCATTGCCCCCACATACTTATTATTGTGTACGATATTCATGCGCTACATACTTGTAGAAGTGAACGGAAAGTACAAAATGGACACAGATACGCACACAAGTACAATCAAGTACAATATAGAATACCAGCTCTAGGGACAGAAGAGGGGATTTACGGTAAGTGTCTATATAGGCTATTTTTGGCCAGGCTTTGATATCATTTTAACAAAGAAGACACATTATTTGTATGAAATGTATGTTTGTGTAAATACAAACTTCTTTCTTTTTTTTGGGGGGGGGGCAATGTGATTTAAAATTGAAAATATGATTGTTCCCATCCCTGCTAATAATTTCATGGTTGTAAAAGTTCTGAAATGTGTTTTTATATTTGTAAACCATGATCTAATGAGAAGAGCCTTAAACAGGAATTTCTTTTGGTAATTCCCAGACATTTGAGGATGGTAATATTTTATTTCATAGTTCTTTTGTCAATTGTGTTACTCCAGTTCATGTGTATTCCTGGAAATAAAATATTACAAAATTCTTTCCCTTATTCTTTTTTCTGTTTGATTTTGTTTTAAAGTGACCCGCGGAATATATATATCTGAAAATTTATTTTCGGGGTTTGTTTGACCCTCGGATAGAAATATTAGTGTGCGGTGGGCTGAAGGGCTCACATATAACTTGCAGAATTCTAATTTTCATCTTCAACATCATTATCACAATCGTCATCGCCATCACAATCATTATCATCATCACCATAGCCATCATCGCCGTCACCACCTACATCATCATCACCACCATAAGCATTGCAATCAATTCACAACCATCATCGTCATCATCATGATCATCATCTCCATCATTATAATCACCGTCATCATCATCGCCATTATCATAACCATGATCATTATCGCCATAATAATCACCGTCATCATTGCCATCACGAATCACGATCATCACCACCACCGACATCACCATTAACCCTTACTGTACTGGGCTATTTTGAGCACCCACTGACTGGGGGGGGGGGCCTGGGAGGCCCCCCCCTATGATCTCGGCCGTCGATTGTCCGATGAACACGAAAATTTGCATGTTCGTAGATATTTACGTAAGGAACAAGATGGTATAATTAGTTTTTTCCGAATATGCAAATTTTTGTCGTTAGCCTAATTAATTATGCAAAATGCGCTAATTTTATGCATTTTACCGAAAACGTGTCAAACTCCACTTTTTGATTGTTGAAACTCATTATTCATATGAAACTTCTTTTCTAACACAAAAAAGTTATTTTAATGTAATTAATAATGATAATTTATGCAAATTTTGATGCGATTTTCACTTTTTTTTTTTTTTTTTTTGATGACATGCGCATACTAATTGTTATGTAACTCCTTACAGGTATATCCGATTTCGACGAAAATGGTATCAAAATGTGCGTAAGACTTGAGGGAAAATAGTCATGAAACGACAATTCAAAATTCCAAGCGGTTGCGGCGCAATCTCCGAAAATGTCGAGGGGGGGGCCTCCCAGGCCCCCCCCCAGTACAGTAAGGGTTAATTGCCATCATCACCACCAACCGTTAACGACCAGCATTGCCATCATAATCACCCTCATCATCACCACCATCAGCATTGCCATCAAGATCATCTTCGCCATCATCACTATAATCATCGTCATCATGATCGCCATTACCACTGACATCATCACCGTTGCCATCATCATAATCACCGTCATCATTATCATCATCACCATAGCCATCATGATCAATCACCTTCACCACTGACATCATCACCATCATCTCCACCGTCTCCATCAGCACCATCACAATCACCATCACCAACGTATCAAAAAATGTCAATGCTTGACTATTTATATTATGTTTACCCTGTGTAGGTACTATTTCTGGATGAAATACAAATCTGCAAAAAATATCTTTAAAAAAAAAAAATTGTTTTTTCTTTTGTGGGGGGCTATTATTTAACAGGTCTGTGTAATTTACATTCTTTAATCAAAATTCATGCTAACTAACCCAGAAGAAAACCAGCTCTGGTTTCTTCTGAATAGCCTAGTAAACAGACAACGGTTAAACAAAAAATGTATTATTTAACACTACTTCTAATAATAAATGCGATAGGACTAGGAATAAAATTTGCATTTTATAATATTTATATTTTATTTATGAACTGACTTTGACATTTATATTGAGACCATCACACGCATAAAATGTGTCGCTGAGAATAAAAGTATTATTAGAGTTCAATATTGTTAAATTGTATAAAGGTGACAGTTCTTCTTTCTTCTTCCTCGGTAAATGCTACTTCATACAACGAAGATTGATGTCTGTCAATGTCCCGCAAGCTTCGATGGTTGAGTGCGTCTGTCAGAAAAACAACAACAAATGATTGTTGTTCAGTCATGTTTCTATTAATATAATAAATGCTTTGTTCGTGTGAAGCTCTGGAATCCCACCTTGGAACTTTGGGAGTATCAGAGATTTTTGTTTTATTGAAAGGATTAAGCTGAACAAAATCCTTCTCGTCCTTCTCCCAAACTCCCCGTTCAAGATTGTTTGTTGCAACGTGAAGCATAACTGCTGATGAGTCTTCAAATTAATAACCATTAAAATGAACAAAGGCCTGGAGTCCACTCAGTCCAGCAAATGTTGATCCAGGAATGCAATGGAGACTGATGTGTGATGTCTGTCAAAGTCCCGCAAGCTTCGATGGTCAAGTGCGTCTGTCAGAAAAACAACAACAAATGATAAGAAGAATAAAATGGCTTAGTTCAATGTATGGGGATTTGAAAAGAACTTATCAAAGTAGCTAGCCATTTATGGTAGCCAAAACTGGCTTGCTCTCAAATTTATTTTTAAATGAAAACAAGTTACAGGTGTCAGATTCATGAAGTTTTCCCTTCATTTTTCAAGATGTGCACAAGTTCTAAAATGTAAGTGTTTAACTTCGGCTTTTTGTTTTAATTCTGCTCTGTTCATAATCATAATATATACAACTCGCACAAGGAATTGTTGCTTATTTCTGTGGCTGGCTGTAAGGTTTGAGTTGACCAGAAGGCAGAACCAAAGTTTGAGAATACCAAAATAATAAAATTAATTATCCTGTAATTTGTCATTCTAATATCCAGCTCAGCTCTGCTAAGGATTCCAGTTCTTTACAATTCGACCACAGTTATCAAACCCCTTCATTACTTGTCTTAACATGTTTAAACCCTTGTAAATATACATTTAAAACATATCATTTGTTCTAGATTTATAATAAATAGCAATGACTAATGAGCAGTCAGTGTCAGCAGTCGATTTATTTACATTGCTGTCGATTTGCGACAACAAAAACTAAAAAGCTGACACAAATAAATACACTTGGGACTACTGTATGCACCACACAATGGAACAGCGACACACAAGAAACCCCGCCATTCCTGACTAAAAGGCCGTAGCCATAGCAATTTCCTGCGGTTTCGAATCATTTTCCGTCTAGTTCCGGTAGATTTCCAAAATATAGCCCAATAATTTGAGCCCAATAATTTGGGCAAAATGTCTATGAAGTACATTATTATTTTTAAATATAGATTCTGAAAGACATTATTTGTGTTTAATATGTTTTTCAAATAAGTTCATCCCTAACTGTAGTGTACTGAACAACAGTACATAAACTTGTGCATTTAGGGATTAGCTTCTTTGAAGAACACTGAACACAAATATTGTTGATTCTTGTGTCATGTTCATAGTGATTTAGTGAATGTGATATTATGTGAAATGGAATCATTTAAACTGGAGGTGAAATAATTAATAATGCATGCAAATAAAATAAACACTCGTCGCCAAAAATAGATGACTAATTGACAGTTGACTTAAAGCTTGTCTTCCAAAGATCAGACATACATCCAAACCAAATATTTTCATCATCTTTGTCATCATTAACACGGTCCTTATTTATTACTAATAATATCATTAATGTTTCAGGTTATTATTACATCTACAGACAGTATTCCACAGAAGTAAGTACACCCTCACAAATAATTTGCGCTTTAGTCTGGAAAACATCTACAATGTATCTCAGGAAAGCTAGTATTTTGTCATCTGTCATCTGTTTTGTCATATTTACCACAGCGCTACTAAGGTCAACCTATAATTTAGACGAGTGTAAATGATCATTTCTGGCGCATTGTTTGTACCGGTAGGTTACTAGCAGCAACATGCACATGGCACGGCCGCACGCATAGACCTACGGCGCTGTAGATCTACGCCTGAGCGGCCCGGGCACGCAGGCATCGCGTACGATACGGTTACTGAATGAAGCCAAGATCTACGTTTGTGGATGTACTTTTTAATTGTTTACTTCATCATATTTTTGTAAGAACATTACCTTTTGACGCTCAGACTCTTCCCGACGTCGTGTTGTTGATTTCCTCTTGGATGGTGGTTGAGGACGGTGGAAGAAGATGGTAGGAATGGCATCGGGTTTTAGTAGTCCTAGTTTCATTCGGGCCTCGTACTTCATCACCTTCGGCCGAATTCCTGAAAACAATCAGCCTCGAAGTGGTCCTCGCAAACGACTATTTTTTTGCTAAATTGATATGTCCGTATATTAAACTTGTTCGTCCCAATATTGTTCAACCACTGAGAACATCTCTCCCTGTCTTGCAATGGGTTTGGGATGCTAAAGAAACTTTTTTTACTCCCATACCCTGGCCGATTGGAACACCCGTATGCCTGGCACAGCGGCATCTTGACTAGTCAGAATGTAAGATATGCGCTTAGTTGTGAGGACCATACGTCACATCACGTGATCAACAATCTGACATCGGTGCGGCAAATTTAAATGTTTTGCTAGAAATAACCGAAATAGAAATCGCTCTTAAAAATCAACCGATTGAAGTACAGCAGTGATATTTGGCAGTTTTAACCTTTGATTTATTTACAACATGCTATGATTTTTGAAAATTCGAGTGGACTTGTCCTTTAAAGATAATAATGCATGTACAGTGTGGCTAAAATGGGGTCAAGAAATAATCTGATATACTTTCCTGATTTTTTGATAGACCTTGGAATGTGATAAAGAAAAAACTTAAAGGTTCTGCTCCAGAATGGCTGCACATTTGAGGAATACATCTTTAGAATTTATATGTCTCCGCTAAATTTCTTGTGTCAAAGTGGACGCACTCAGTTGTTTAAAATTTTAATTATTTTCTGACAAGTCTATGAATGTTCATAATCGCAAACTGTTACGCAAAGTACAAGTAAACAGAACTTATCAACTATTATTTTTCCCCTTAAAGTATTGATCATTGTCATTAAGCTCTCCACCGCACTGCACCCTCATACATACAAGACCTAGTACACCTCTATGAACCACCACGACTCCGCTCTAGCTAGCTGAACATATTATGTAAAGGTTTAAAGATTCCCGTTTTAAAAATTCCTTGGTCTTGATCATACCTGGTAAGATCTGCACATCATCACCATCCTGAGGCACTCCTCCTCCATATCCACCCCATCCCTCAGTCACGTTGGCCCATGCATCTGGGTTAGACCAATAAAGAAGGTCCTCCGGTCGACCAGTAGGAGGCGCTTCAGGCACCGGCGGGATGCAATCATCAAAGTAACAACGATACACATCCAGGTCCACCTCGATGTTTACTGGCGTATCAAGCCCCTTCCCAGATACTATACGAGACAAAAAGATGCAAAGTCAAAACGAGAAGGGCAAGTAAAGGCTTGTTCAGTTACGCCGCAGAAAACTGCAGCAGTTTTGTTTTAATGGCAACTGCGCACAAAAAGGTCCTATGGGTGTTCACTTACCTCTGTGTTATAAGATACACAAATGCAAACATTTCTTGCAATACATCATCATAAACAAAAAGTTGCATTTTACCACAGCATATCTGACCGAGGCTTGACCGGTAAATTGTCCTATATGAAAGATCTGAGTATACCTGATGATTGTATGAAGGCCATATGACCTTGGATTAGATCAGAGTATCGAGGAAAATAACATTTTTTAATGATATTGATCTTCCTTATTCCATGATACTTGGTAGTGTACGTATGGGACATAAATGACCACATAATCTTGGACCTACCAGAAATAAAATACTGAAATAAAAAAAAAATTATGTGTGTTCTTCCAAATCTAACTCACTTTTCTCTCACAAGAAATTCATCATCAATGCAATCAGAAATAAATATGTTTTGAACCCACGACCTTTACAAAACCAGTCAAGTGTTCGAACCACTTAGCTACAACAAACCCACATTATTAGCAATGCATACACTACCAAAATACATGTACTCTGTACTCATACAGGGCTAAATAAACGTTTCTTTCAATGAACTTATGAATAACCTACCCACACAATAGACATTTTGACACAGCATTGGGTTGTATAAAAGTAACATAAGATTCTAGCACCATTGAGGAAGTATGTGTACTTACTCATATACGTCAAATCATTTGTCAAACTATCTATGTAGTAATCCCCATTCTCGTTGTCTTCATACGTCACTAAGGTCTCTGTAGAATTCCTGATCTCTCCTATCACTGAAACCTTGTCCACTTTCTGGGTCAGATTATGAGAGATCAATACATAATCTCCATCCTCAAAGTCATCAAAACGTCCGGTGTATGAAATGTTTGTGAGCTGCTCGTTAGTTAGGAATGACATGATGTAGGTCTCTCCATCTATGAGCGTCACCATCCAACCCTTCGGATGAGTGATCCTCTTCTTGTGGTAGTTGACGGGAGTAGCTCCATGAGCGTTGGTGAAGATGGCATCCTCGTAGAGAAGTGATTCGGGGACAGCATGGTTGAATGAAAAGCGGTGGAGCGCAATGCTAGAATCACACACGGCACCAGGCACAGAACCAAAGTTATATGCTGAATCATCCTTCGTACAGTGATCATCAGGGAGGTTGTCGTTGACTGGTGTTATGCTAGTAGCCCCATCTGTGCCTGACAAGCTGCCATCCATATCTTCAAACACTGCCTCATACAGCCACTGGAAACCTACTTTGTTATCAGCATTAGCAAACTCCATGTTTCGGAACCTTGTCGTGAAACCTCCTTGCTCAAATCTGCACTTGCTGCATGCTCTTAAGGTGGCACAGGTGTCCCGGTCAAAGTTGATGAACTTGACACCATCCAGGGTCACGAAATGGCTCTGTGGAGACACAAAACCACCTATGGTACAGGAAGCATTTTCACCTGTCCCTGATATTCCATCACTCCTCCCGATGACAACGCTATCTTTGATGAGGGCCCCTTCTGCCCCGTCATCACCCAGCCACTGTATACTCGTTACCTTTTGGTATTCCAATCCTGACTGTTCAGTGTCTGAGGTGACAAAGTTATGCAGTTGAACAGCTCCACAATCAACAACTTCAGCTCCTCTTTCTGTATTCCAAACGGTCAAATTGGCAAAGACAGCAGGTGTAGATTCGAAATCATTGCATCCTCCCGTCACCTTTGGATGGTATTTAGGAAACACCCAAAGTCCATACCACCCAAAAGAGTGAGCTGTGTTGTTGTTGAACTCCCCGAGTGGCACATGTCTAGGGCACACCTCTGTGGTGAACGAAGGGCCTCCCGGATGCTCAGGCATGTTGTACCAAAAGCCAAAGTGGCTTCCGCCAGCCGCGGCATTGTGGCGGACGTAGTTGTCGGGATTGGTCACCCAGAAGCTTGCGGGAGTGACATCCACATTGAGAAGGCTGTTACTCGAACGGACAAAGACAGCCAGGTTATACTGGATGGTGTTATTGGTTTCTATGCCATCCTCCATGAAGTAAGCATGGCCCATGATGTTGTAGGCCACGTTATGCTCTACCAAGAGGTTATGTACACCATGGATCGTTACTGCTCTGTTGAATGTGTGATGGACGCTGCAGCCACGAACGTATGACCCTGAGACATCGCCATTCATGTGGTAATGAATCGGGTATCGTCCAAGTCGGAAAGCTTGTCCCACATGAGTCAATTCTACGTACTCCAGGTATCCGTGGACAAGGTTGGCGTCCATCTCCCTGGCAAATATCATGATGTGACCGCCAAATTGATCGCTTGCTGTCTCTTCCCCGAAACGACCAAGGAAACAAGTCTGTGTATCAAACATACCTGTAGTGTAGGAAAGACAACAAAAAGATACAAAGATGGCATTTATTGTATTATCGTAAGAAAAAAACATAAAGTATCAATTGACAGACTGAGAGACTCATAAAAAAATGGTACAATTAAGTTGAGAGTATTCAATGCAAGTGACATTTCATACATGTAGCATTTCTTGCACTTTGAAATTTACAATTGTATATTTAAGTCATCATAAAAACATAGCCGCTGCAATTTTGCCGGGTCATATCTGAATGAGACCTTATTCAGGAGATAATGGGTAGTGGAATTCTGCCTCACCAGTATCGAAAGGTGCCTCACAAGCTTCAATCTCCTCTGTCCAATCCTCGTTGACATTGCCTCTCACTACCACGTTGTGAGTCAAGAGACCAACCTCGGCCCTTGTCTCTAGAATTACACCCGCTATGTCCTGAACGATAGAGATGTGCTGGTATTCGATGGGAGGATCGACGGTCAGGGTCATATTGTCGTCAGAAACAGCTGGTGAAGAAAAAGATAAATTATTGTTTTTGTTTTAGTTTGTGAGCAAGATGGTGCACAGCAGCCATTGTAGTATATATAGAACTTGAGGTGGGTTCTCATTATGGAAAACTACATTGGAATGAAACACTTGATGAGTTTGTATCTATTCTTCATTTGCTGGCTATCAATGAAAAACAGCAAAGACCTGTTTAATCTGTTAATATTTTGTGCAGATTTTGAGCAATTGAATTTTAGTTGAAAGTTCCACATTTGAAAAAAATATTTATTTATTTATATGTATTCATTTATTTATTTATTCATTCATTTATCCATTTGTTTTATATTTCTAATTACTTATGTGTTTATTCATTTTATTATTGTTTATCAATTTTGCAGTTGATGTTGATGTTGTTGTTGTTGTTTTTTGGGGGTGGGGGAGGAGAGAGGGGAAGTGTAGAAGGTATTATGGGCTATATAAGTACCGTTCTAATGTTAATATAGTCATGATCAGTCAATCTACCTGTAATAGTAACGACCTCATTCTGGTCGATGTCAAGGCGCCCTCCTGTGGTTGCAATCACTATCTGGTCACCCACGTTCCATGTGACAGGTCGCATAAGGGAGATGTCAGTATCCTCAGGATCAATGGTCTCTGAGAGGTGTGTCCACATGATGGGTACAGGTTGACCTGGAGGGTAAGAAAGGGGGAATGCACAGTTAAAAGCCCCACTGCACTACTTGTAGCTAATTGCACCCTCTTAATAGCAAACAATGCCTAATCGGTGACCATTGGTCCCCCATGATCCTCTTTTTCTTATATTAATTAAGAGCTGATTTTGATGAGATAACCACCTGTCAGTGACCATGCAGGGAGGTGTAATCCCTCCTGGCCAAACTAGTACAGACAGGCTTTAAAGGGAGTGGGTCGTCAGTATCCATGTGCAGAAGGTCATAATTTGCTGACACTAGACTTGGCGGAAATACCATTAATAGGTGTTTCAAGTCTGCACACAGCAGACCTGTAGGCCAATCAAGAAATACCCCCTTGTCTCTCTGAGAGTCTTTGGGTTATGCAAATGTTAGATAATGACTTTACCATAGGAGAAAAAGTCAGAGTATTACATTAAGCCTGTCGGTCATAGAACTGAAGGCTTACCTTGGTGATTGACAACACCTCCTATTAGGTAAACACTCATACAATTTCAAATTTTCCATGAGACCCCATTTCTCAGTGTCTTTAAAGCTCATGTACAGTAGGTAGCATAAAGTAAAACAGAAAGAAACATGTTAAATATAGCTTCATGGTGTCCACTTTGTATCAAAAGATGTATGTACGAAACGATTCTGTCCATAAACTTTGGTGAATTGTGTGAACACCTGCAAGGTATAAGTTTTACATGTGTGTGTAGTGCCGGTTGGAATTGATAGAACTTACATTTCATGATGGTATCTTAATTTTGTTTTACCTCTTCTCTCATTTCTTTAATATTCCACTTGATGAGGGAAATAAAGTTCACAACAGCTTTATATTGCTAGTATCTTCCTAATTATCGTGCAAAATCAGAGAAATCTGATGTTTCACAGTGACTTTTTCTCAAAGTGTGATGGTAAACAATAACAATATCTCTGTTACAGGATGTACAAATTACCATGCAGGTCAAGAGTGCCATTACGAACAGCCAGGACTTTAGCGCCATAAAATGGCAGTTCTGTAGACCGGACGTTGCCATAGAGTGTGATGATGCCCTTGTGTTGGAACGGCTCCTCTTCGGTTCCTACGCTAAGGTGGCCTCCGTTGGTGACGATAATATACTCTGCTTTCAACTCAACGTCCTTTTCATCAAAGATCAGCGAGCCCCCTTCCAGATTAAAAAGATGATAACAATAATATTACCACAGTTAGAATACTACAGAATGCTGCTGCAAGTGTATAGTGACCTCTCCGACAAGCACACCTGTTCTTAAAGTACTCCATTGGTTGCTTACGCATACTGTGTGAAATAAGATAAAGAACTGTGGAGTGCATTACGCTCATTTATTTATTTATTTATTTGTAGTTTTATTTTTATTTTTTGTTGTCATTAACAAATCTGCTTTCCACCTTGGCCTTATTGACCTAGACAAAATTATATGAATAAAGATTAAAATTATAGACAAATAAATGGCTAAGGGCAAACTTAAAAAATCTGCCTTGGTAGACAGGTGAGATTTCCTGCCTTATACACTGTATGTGACCGAGCTTCTAGGGTCTAGACAGGGGTGATAGTGAGCATCTAAAAAAAAGATTTTTGTTTTCCCTCAAAAAAAAAAAGGGGATTAAGGGGGGGGGGGGGGAATGGCATCTAACAACATGCCCCCTCCCCTTTTGAGTAAGAAAATTGGGGAAAAATAGGAAAAATCAGGAAAAATCAGGGGAAAATCAGGAAAAAAGGGGTAAAACCGGGAAGAAAAAAAATCTGGAAAAAAATATTTATAGAAGATGCTCACCATCGATGAGTAAGATCTTGAGGACAGGTGTATCCGTATCCAGCAGGATGGTCTGCCCCGCCGAGATGGTAACAAATGTGCCTGCACCAGGGGGGTCATCTCCACCCCATGTAAACCTTGAGGACCAGACATCTATGTAGAAGTAGTCTGCTACTCCCTGTAACAAAGTGACAAATAGGTACGATTATCCCGATTTATTCGTATTATTATCATGACATAAGTATCTGGCATCACCTATGCCTGGGAGATGTAAGGCAAATTGAATCACTGTTTCCTTCAGGTCTCTCCTCCCCGTATAACTGCTTGAGGGTGTGCAGGTGGTCCATTACACCGGGTTAACCCCCTACTTTTAATCAAATAATACGTGGGTTCTTAACATGCAGACGACTAGGTCCTGCTTTCTGCATTGATGTACCTCTCCGCTACACAGGGCCATCCTATCCGAGAAACATAGTGTTTTCCACTGTAACATAGCCTACGTCTACAGGGGGAGGGGTACATCGACTTAGTGGTCTGCTTAGGTTGCATTAAAAACCCATGATCTTTGGTTCGACAGACAGACACTTGCTGACTGAGCCAACTAGTGTTCTGGTAATGATAAAAAAATAATTTCTCACAGAATCAAAAACAAACTGTAATCCACACAATAAAATGGTTAAGACTACAAATAAATTACTTGTGATATACAGGTACGACTTTGGCAGAAAATATATTACCGGTAATAGCCGAGTTAGGAGCATAAGACACAACTCGTTTCCCCAAACCACGAAAATGACACACAATCTATGTGTGCAAATGGGATGTGATTCCCAGAAGGTTTTCATGTTTCCTGTATCCTTTTGATATGGGAGTGTCGTGGTCGAGTGGTTTAAGGTGCTTGACTGGAGATGCGAAGGTGGAGGGTTCGAATCCCGACACGGCACTAATATCCTTTGGCAAGATATTAACCGGCACTTGCTACTCTCCACCCAGGTGTTAAATGGGTACCCGGTAAGATACGACCGTCATTGTTGGTTAAACAGTTTTTGAGTGTCAAGTAACGCTTGGCTGGAATGCTTCCCAGGGATTGGAGATTGTGCACACAGTGTGCGGGCAAGCACTGAATTCAATGACCAGGGTAATAGTATATTTGTAAAGCACGTAGAGACATTGTATTAAGTGCTGAAAGCTAAATATTATTTTTATTTATTATTATTATTACCTGTTGTGCAAGGGCTGCTCCTTGTGACCCTACTTCAACTTTGACCTCTGTCATCTCGTTCTGATGAGACTCTGTCACGCAGACGATCTGGGTCTCTGACTCTGTATCGATGATGCATTCTGTCCCTCCTATGGTGACCTGATGGTTACCTGATGAACTGTTTGGATATGATATGGAGAAGTTATGATTAAAAAGAGATCTTGTAAGCATCATTAACTTTAGGGCAATTGATAATACAGATCAATGATACATCTGAATTTATATAGTGCTTAATAAGAAATACCATGATCTCTATTAAATATTTAGATATTATTATTTTCCCGGTCATCAGATTAATTCAAGCTCCCTGTGAGTCTTCTATTAGTGGAGGATATTGACTACAAAGCCATTTTAGTTGGACCATGAGTGGTACAACCGCAAGATCATTATATACATTGTAAATGCAGGGACACCTGCTATGTAGTGACTACCTGCATAGGTTAGAGCATGTACTAAAAGTACTGTACATAAAGACCACCTGCCCATAAAGACCATTTCAGTTGTCTTCTTTGAACGGTATTTATTTAATTACTCTTAAAATTTGTTCATCACAAAATATCAAAGGCGAGCTCATAGTTTTAAACAGTAACTGCATTACTCACAGGAAGCCGGTTCCATCGATGGTGACTGTTGTACCTCCTGCCGTTCCTCCCCTCTGGGGCTCTACAGAAGTGATGGTTGGGGTCAATGACCTCTTGTAGGTGAATGCACCCGTGGAATTGTCCTGTGACCCGCTCGCAAGACTGATCCTGACATCGCACACCAATTCATCAGCTTCATCTAAACATCAAGAATGCATTTCTAACATTACTACGATAGTCTTCTAGCAACCCTCTACGTTTGATGTGATTATCACTCATTATTAAAACATGAATGGGCTGTATACAACCTGTAATAATGCATACAAATGGAAACAGATCTTTCATGGCATCAGCTCCGGTCATGCTCTTTGAAATTCTTTACTCTTATTCCTTACCCTTAGGAATACAGTAAACAACTAAATTATTCACAACCCTTGTAAACTTGATGTTTTTTGTGTTTCTTGTGACTCAAGAATGAAAATTTGACTGGTTCAATGAGGGCCTCTGTTAAACACGTTTAGAAGTAAGCTTTAACATGTCAAAATCTCAAGATATGTTAATCTGTACAAATCACTGTTTCCCTTAATTGAAAAATAATTTAACAATATAAAAAATGCTTACAAATTAAAACAGTGACACTTCAAAGATGATTAATAGCTGTTTGTAGACTTAATGGCAAAATAAATTTAATATAAAACCATAAAACATCAAATCAATTGCTTTTAACTTTTTGAGATTTTCACCACTTAAGAGAGAGGGAAAAGGTCACAAAACGTAAATAGACCCATTTACTTTACATTTTACACATACTTCTTGAAGAAAGGTTATCTACAGAAATGACATTGTGTAAAGCATGTGAATCAAATAGTTGGTCACAGCTGGGTTCTAGAAAGGTGCATATATTTTGATAAATATAGTAGTAAAAAAGGTATATATAGAGTACCTAAGTGCTAACGACATATTCACTCCTTGTCCAGGTTACTGGTTCCAAACAACAGAGCCTGCACATGAGGCTCACCGCAAAATCATTCAAGCAACGGGATGGAGCAGGGAAAATACAGTGTTTGGCGCTGGTATGATCAACATACCATTGTTACGCACCATGCAGCCACCTTGACAACTTGGCCAGTATGACATCACATGACTATTTAATGATCTTACCAAAGTTTGGTGGAACCTCACACATGATGGATGATGAGGTGGCCAACGTGTTGAGACACAGATTATCACAGACATAAACTTCCGTAGTCGTCTCATCAAAACCTGAGCCACCGATTGTTAATGTGAGCCCACCTCCAAAACTTCCTGGATTGAATAGCAGAATAAATACGTTGGTATATATGAACATAGTTTTCTTAAGCTTTATCAATTTGTTTGCATGTGCATTTACAGAGAAAAAAAACATCAACATAGAAGTGGAGTAGTATGGTATTGTAACTATGCATGAAATCACAAATATTTGTATTTTAAAAAAATGTGACAATTGTAGAAGAACCTCAGAAGATATTGACCCCCTAAAAATGGGCAGTACATGTTGTACTGAGCGAGACGGGAAGTTCAATAGCCTTGTTTTCTATCAAAATTTGCTTTAAACAAAATTTGATAACATACTTGCTCATCTATATTGTTTTCAGAGACACTACATTTTATTTTATCAATGTAGCAATTAAAGAAAATTTTATGGTTGCCAATTAGAAGAAAAATATGTGATCTATTTTTTCTAAAACAGTTAAAACTTGGAGAAAGGGAGTTTCATGTGCATATAAAATTGAAAATGTTGACTTTTGAAATATGTCATCTTGGTGCTGACAAAAATAATCTTGAAAAAAAACTTTATAAAAATCATTCTATTTATCCAAGGTAAAAAACAAATTAGGAAATGAATTTGATAATAAAATAAAAAGAAAGTATACTGCGTACACTGTATGTCTGATAATCAGTGGAGCAATCAAGAATAGAAATAGTTATTATTAACTTTTGCATGCAGTTTGAACAAAGATTGAGAACACAGGTAAAGATCTAAGATCATATGAAGGTGTACCAATCGCATAAAAATTGTATAGCTAGAATTTTTGAAATAAACCTCAAAACCTTTTACGTGGCTCTCTATATGGGTTAATGGTCAAAGTGTATGGGAAAAGAAAGGAAGGAATTTTTTTGTTTAAATGCACAAGGAACCCGACTTCGACTTGGGTTCCGTGCGGGCTCTTTTTTATGCAACGGTGTGGGGGTGTTTCGAGAAGTCTACTCAAAAGTTGCTGTTGGGCTAATCTAGGGTATGTTTAAACTTGCAATATCTCTTTAAAGTAATGACATTCAAATTTTAAATTTTGAAAATTTTTATCAAAATAATATCCTTAAGAAACAGAGAAAATGTTTTTGATGATTGGTACAATTTAACTCATAGTCATATAATCCTGGAATACTTCAAAAAGGATGCCTTGTTTTGGAAGGATGTGGGAATCAAAATGAATTATGTGCTTCTTAATTAAAAATGGAAATGCATTCCTTTCAACTTCCAAAGTTATAAAAAAAATTGAAGTGACTGTGTCAATAGTGAAAAAATGTGTAAGTAAAAGGCAATAATTAAATAAATTACCAGAAGTGTGGATGTGAAAATTTCTCAATAGTGGAAATAATCTTGAATCATTATGTGTAGAATTAAAATATCTGAAGCCTTGTTCACTTACCTGACTTAGATTGCATCACTTTTTATAGAAATTATGAAAATAATTACATTCAAAATACAATGTTATTCACCCTCTATTTAATATAAATTAAACGAATGAACACTCAAAGAAAAGATACAGGTAGTATACAAATATATTTCCAAAGAAGAGCATGAAATGATCTTTCATCATTTCAAAAGACTTACAAAGTTCATCTACTTGTCTTGGGCTGGAAGGACGAATCACTTGGACAATATGGCTATTGATTTGAATATCTTGAGACAAGAACATCAATTTATTCACATATTCACAACAAAAATAATAATCTTTTAGTTTTCCTTTTCATGTGAATTTTATAATGACTGTACTAACTAAAACTAGATGAAAAGGTAGGAAATGCATATGGAGAAGACAAACTAGATTAGCTATTGCCTCTTTAGAGAAAATGTTATCTCTCCCAAAGCACCCCGTTTTTGAACCAATATCAGCAAATAACGATTGCAGTCTTATCAAGTCATCCATTGCTAAGTGTTTACTAAGAGATATCAATGAATTTGAACTGGATATGCCTAAAATTAGGCCTTTCAGTGCTCAATTCCATGTCTCTTAATAATGGGCATATGTGATGGAAATACTGTTGGAGTTAATATATATTTATGTTGTTCTGGCAACTTGCTCTGAGCTTTAACCCATTAGCAACTAGAGATTTTGTAAAAATGCCATTTCACTCACTGGAAGATGTTGCGATATTGCTCTTATTTTGACATTGTTCTGAACAATATGAAACATTTATTCTTTTTCTATGAAGAGTCCTACTGTAGACATTGTAAGGATCATGCACGTATAACATCATGGGAGACCCTACAATGTATATTATAGCACGTTGAAAACAGACTAAAACGGACAGGCGGTTCAATGAGTAAAAGGAGGGCAGTTACGGGTGGTTCAATGAGTAAAAGGAGGGGCGGTTTCGGGAGGTTCAATGAGTAAAAGGAGGGCGGTTTCGGTGGTTCAATGAGTAAAAGGAGGGGCGGTTACGGGTGGTTCAATGAGTAAAGGAGGGGCAGTTTCGGGAGGTTCAATGAGTAAAAGAAGGGGCGGTTTCGGGTGGTTCAATAAGTAAAAGGAGGGGCGGTTTTGGACGGTTCAATGAGTAAAAGGAGGGCCAGTTTCGGTGGTTCAATGAGTAAAAGGAGGGGTGGTTTCGGGTGGTTCAATGAGTAAAAGGAGGGGCGGTTTCAGGCGGTTCAAGGAGTAAGAGGAGGGGCGGTTTCGGGAGGTTCAATGAGTAAAAGGAGGGGCGGTTTCGGGAGGTTCAATGAGTAAGAGGAGGGGCGGTTTCATGAGGTTCAATGAGTAAAGGAGGGGCAGTTTCGGGAGGTTCAATGCGTAAAAGAAGGGGCGGTTTCGGGAGGTTCAATGTGTAAAATGAGGGGCGGTTTTAGGTTAAGTTGCTAATGGGTTAATCTGTCAATTATACAGGGTTGTTAGGTGAGGTGTAGGGCTGGGGATGTGGTTCGTGTATGTTATTGACAGTGGAGTGATGTTCGCTAGATCATGTGTTGCAGAACTGTTTTTCTAGTTACATTCAAATCGGACTCCCCAGTCAAACATTATAATGGTGGGGTGTTAAGGAAGAATGGATGAACTTACCTTCATTAGGGGTGACAGAATCCAGATTAAGAGAGTACTCAAATGTCACGCTGCTGGTGGCAATCCCCTTTCCACTGACATGGACTTCCAGGTCATAGGTTCCAGCAGAATGACTACCAGTGGTGCACTCAATGGATGTAACCGATGAAGACGTGACGTTACACTCCACAAAATCAATGATTACTGTCACTTCAGATGCTTCATCAGAGAAAGCAGTCCCCGTTATTGTGATGGTGTCGCCCGATTGGCCGGTTGATGGCAACAACGATGACACAATGGGCGTCATAGCAGCCGTGTATTTGTAAATGAGAGTGGTGTAGGTGTGCAAACCGCTTGTGACGGTCACTGTTTCAGATCCCTCTGCACGGGGTGGTGTAATGCATATGATCTGGGACAGTGTGAGTGATTGGATTTCACATGGACTATCATCAATCAAGACCTGGATTTCCTCCGCGACGAAGCCATTGCCAGCGATGGTGACGGTCTGTCCACCCTCCAAACTTCCCGAGGATGGGTCAATGCTGTCTAGTGTCTTGGAACTCCATACAGTGTTTCCAGATTCAAACTGAGCGTTACCAAATCCAGCAATGTGGAAGGAAATAGTTTGGGTACCAACAGGAACATAGCTGACATCACACACAACAGAGGCATCACTAGTCTGGTTGACAAGGCAATCAGTGCCTCCGATGTCAATTGTAATGAGACCAGTATCATTCGTGTTAAGAAAGGAACCATTGAAATTGATCACAGTGCTTGCCCCATAAACAACGGCATTGGCTGAGGTAAAGGATGTCACTACAGGTGTGCTTTCATCATTGTAATTGAAGATCATGAGATCAGGTGTGTTCCATTCGCTTTCAAATTGGCCCACACGGACCTCTATCTGGTATGCACCCTTTTGATTAGGACTTGTAATGCAACTGAAAGAGGTGTAGCTAGATTCCTGTATGGTACAAGGTGCACCTCCAAGACCTCCCATAGTAACCACTGGCTCTGACGAGAAACCAGATCCTGAGAATAGTATCTCAGTTCCACCGGCAATCGATCCCTGCTGGAGTGACACCGTATCCACTTGAGAGAAAAGAACAAAAGAGCGCTGCACAGGGACCTTCGGCAAGATCTGCGCAAATCCAAGGTTCTTGATGTTAACAGACACTCCCTGCAGGACCCCCGTCTCTAAGACGTCTCCGGCTTCTACATTACACTGGACTAAAGTGGACGATGCCGAATCAACACTGCATGACTGGGTCCCGACCAAGACCTCAACTTGGCAGGACATGCTGCTCAATCCCGTTCCAGTGATGTTAAGCAGAGCTCCTTCTGTTCCGGTGTTGGGACTGATCATGCTCACGGTTGGCGTGTGGCAGGTGGAGTAGGTAAATGTGAAGACGTCCTCAGAGCTGGTATCTCCTCCATCATCGGTGCATCCTTCGATGGCGGTAGTATCTCCTGGACAAACTCCTCCTGATGAAGGATCAGCCACACCTATGTAGGAACACAGCGACAAGAGAAAGATTTATTGATTGGCATTGAAGCACGTTTACCAGGATAGAGATATCATAACAAGGGAAATAATTTTTGAAAAGCCTAGGATCAAATTCTTCTGTCAGCAGAAACATTGACTCAGGGGTGATAGTGAGCACTAAAAAAAAAGTTTTTTCCCCCCCTCAACCAGGCCCCCCCTTGAGTAATAAATAAAACTAGATGGAATTCGACTGCGCGCAGTCGAAAATGATGCCTCCTTCATAGACCAATTTTACAAACCGAAACGGAAGAAATTTTTCAAATTCAAGTTCAATTGTAATCCATTAACATGTTCTCAGAATATTGTGATTACAAGCAATTTCTCATATACATATATGACCCTTTGATCTTTGACCTCATGACCCTAAAATCTACTCAGTTCATTGGCTCTGCAAGATGTCCTGAGTTAAATAGTAATCTATCTGTCAGTTCTAATGAGAATGCTTTCACAAGCTATTTTTGCATACATAATGAGCCCATGACCTTTGATCTTATGAACCAAAAATCTACTCAGTTCATTGGCTCTGCAAGATTCATAAATGATCTAAGTTGGCAGGAATCCATCAATCTGTTCTAATGATAATACGATCACAAGCTATTTTTGCATACATAATGAGCCGCATGACCTTGACTTTACCTCATGACCCCAAAATCTAATCAGTTCATCAGCTCTGCAAGTAACATACATGACCTAAGTTTGGCAGGAATCCATCAATCGGTTCTTGAGATAACGCGATCACGAGCTGTTTTTGCATACATAATGTGCGCTGTGACCTTTGACCTCGTGACCCCAAAATCTTATCAGTTCATCGGCTCTGCAAGTAACACACATGACCTAAGTTTGGCAGGAATCCATCAATCGGTTCTTGAGATAACGCGATCACAAGCTGTTTTTGCATACATAATGAGCCCTGTGACCTTTGACCTTTGACCTCGTGACCCCCAAAATCTAATCATTTAATCGGCTCTGCAAGATACATACATGACCAAAGTTTGGCAGGAATCTATTAATCGGTTCTTCAGATCACGCGATCACAAGCTGTTTTTGCATACATAATGAGCCCTGTGACCTTTGACCTCATGACCCCAAAATCTAATCAGTTCATCGGCTCTGCAAGATACATACATGAACAAAGTTTGGCAGGAATCCATATATCGGTTCTTCAGATAACGCGATCACGAGAACGGGACGTACGTACGGACGGACAACCCAAAAACATAATGCCTCCGACTACTTCGTAACAGAGGCATAAAAAAGAGGGTTCGGGGGGAAAATATGGCATCTTACAACATTCCCCCCCTTGAGTAAGAAAATTAGGAAATAAGAGGGGAAAATTGGCAAAAATCGAGATAATCAGGTTAAAATTGGGAAGATAACAAAATTATTTTAAAAAATAAAAAAATTGGGAAGAAAAAAAAAATCAGGAAAAAAAATAAAAATTGGGAAACCGATTTAAATCGAGTAATTATCAGGCCTGGTATATTGTGGTGTAACAAAAAAAGCATAATCAGATTTTCTTATATATGAGAGAGCTAAGTTTACACCCACCTGAATCTAGATCGTTTTCAGCCTCATATCCAGTAACTGTTACTGTGATAGGTAGCGTGGTGGATGTCCTGGAACTGACTACAATGATACCCGTCATGTAGATAGGATCATCTGGATTCTCATAGTTGACAGGATCACTGGAGTAGTAGTACGTACCTGGGGCATCAAACTTGTAGGAGAATTTACCTGTCGATGATACAGGAGGGAAGAAAAGAAACGATAATGGTCTGGTAGGAGGTTTTATGTGTAGTACCGGTACTAATAAGATGTTGCTCACACTGGAACCTGTGGAATCGGTCTACAAAGTAAACTTTACGGTTTATGGTATTTGTTTTTCTTGCATGTTTTAAGTGGAAATTAAGCATTTTAATTTCAACAAATATAATATTAACTGACTGCTAAGATAGCAGGCAACCAGTGGACTTAGAACATTAGATCCTATCTTTAGAACATGGTTATTGACAACTACTGCCTTATTAGACAAAAATACAACTACACCAAATCTAAGACCTTGGTAGCTTTTCACGAAACCGTCATAACTTATTCCAAAGCGTGAATTAAATTTATCACACATTTCAATGGATGTCGGTGAACTTGTTCTCTTGATGGTTTCGTGAAACAAGGCCCTGGTTACAAAACTACTGCTCTATTGCTCAGCTGTCAAATTTTTTCACTTTTTTCAACATTTATTTTGAATACCATGTCTTCTCAAACAAAGTTTCAAACACACCAGTGCCCTCTATCATCAAAAGCTACAAAAAAATTAATCAGGTAGGTACAATGCATGGTAAGATACATTTAATTGCAGGAAGATTGGAAATACATGTACAATGGATATATCATTGACACTATGAACATGGCAGACAAAGAAAGCGGACAAAATATACAGTTCCTCAGGTAGACAAAGGAACATCCCTTCACTGCTATTATGTAAAAATGTGTAGAACAGGTGAATATGCCTGTGACACCTGTTCCACACATTTTTACATAATAGCAGTGAAGGGATGTTCCTTTGTCTACCTGAGGAACTGTATATTTTGTCCGCTTTCATTGTCCGTCATGTTCATAGTGTGATTGTAAAAGGGATCCAGTAACTTAGATCCTTTAGAAATAATCCTTGATTTAGCTCATGCTGCAATGATAATTATAAACCTTTAGGTCAGTCAGGAACTCCATGACTTTTACAAGCCGATCGCCTGTCTGATTATCAAGATATTAGACGAGGCGTCAAAAGTATCGATACCAGCAGGCTTCCGCCTCACGTATTGGCGCATCGAGGCTGCAATTACGGCCGAGGCCTGGCTGGGGCAATTATTTTTCAATTATTAGCCCAGCCGGCTTGCGCCAGGCTGGGATCTGAGGCTCGGTTTCCATTCGAAAGGCGGCAGCCGGCGCATGCTTTTGAATGCCATTTCCTACCGCCAGCGGTAGCCGGCTGAGCTAATTTAAAAAATGCAGCCAGGACGCACAAGTGCAGTTAGCTGCCGCTGGCTGGTATATTTATTTTTGACGCCTCGCCTTAATGATTGGAATTACAAATTTTGAAAACCGTTTGCCGAACGGTTTTCATAACACTACAGTCTATTGGGGAAAACAAGTATGGTAAAACCGGTCACTCAAAGATTTTTACTTTCTTGAGGCACTTCTTGATCATTTTGAAGCTTTTTTTAGGGCTTTAATATTACACCATATCACAGACACTGGTAACATGTAGGACCGTGTATCTCAGATTTAACATTGTTAAATGATCCCTTTAAGTCAATATTCATGTCACAGGGCCCAGGTTTATTACTTGAGGCCTCGTCGTGCCTTTGAACTTACCCGCAGTGCCAAATGGTCCGCTGTTGAAACCGGAGCCATCATACAAAGTGTCTGCTGCACTGGATGTTTGATGGACAGAGTACTTGATGCCACTGACATACATGGGTATAATTGCTGTCCATGTAACTATATCTCCTGCTGCTATGTCGAGCTTAGGGGGATCCCAGGCATAACCGATCCCATAGGCTTTGTAGGTAAAATTAAAAAATAGTAGTAATTAATAATAGCTCAGTCACCAAATAGACCTGATCTGTGGATTTAAATGCATAAGTTATATGTACAAATTTAGCTGTAGATCATTTTTTAAATGTTTAAAAAATAGCAATGTTCAAAATGTTTAAAATTACTTTATAATACCCAATGCTGTAATTGAATGAATAATATACTGGTCCAGGGAGGTGTTACACAAATATCCTAAGTTGAACTTATCGCTAAGTTGGACTTAACAATTATGGAAAGCCGTTAGCAGCTTTGAAAATATTTTGTAAAAGACATTTTAAAAGGCATAAAATGTTGATTCAAATCATTCATATTTTCTATAATCAAGGAGATTTCATGTTCTTGATGTAGAATTTATGAAAAGTCTAAAATACTTGAATGGCTCTTCATGACTTTTAAGTCCAACTTAGAGTTTAGTTTGACTTAGGATCTTTGTAAAACACCCTCCAGGACAGCACCAAAGACTCACTTTCATGCTTTCCAAGATGGCTAATCGTGTGATGAGAGTTGACTTGTGGGCTCACACAGGTCATGAGGTCATCAGCTACCATGCTAAGCGCACAGGCCTCGTCTCCGATCAACACCTCAACGTCATCTGCAGATGTCCCAAATCCTCCCCCGGTGATGGTAACCGTTGTACCTCCGAACAGGGATCCCGATTGTGGAAACACACCGGTCACAACCAGAGCATAGCTCACTGCTAAGTTCACATCCTCAGACCTTGGGATTTATGCAAGAAATATCAACAATTTTAAGCCCGTCTGTACTAGTTTTGCCAGGAGGGATTACACCACCCAGCGTGGTCACTGACAGGTGGTTATCTCATCAACTCATTTCTCAATTAACATAAGAAAAAGACGATCATGGGGGACCAACGGGCACCGCTTAGGCATTGTTTTCTATATAGAGGGAGCAAGTAGCTACAGGTAGTACAGTAGGGCTTCAAGGGAAGAACTATCAACAATTAAAAGTTTTGGGTCAGTTGGTTAATGCCAAGAGAGAAAGAAGGAAGTTTTCCATGTATTAATTTATGTCCTCAAAGGGGTATTTCCAGGGGGTAGATATCCTGTTGTTAGGAGGCACGTGTACATGTTTATGATTGTCTGGAAATAGTTGTAAGGATATACCTAATCTTGTTTGGGCAGAACCTCAACCACCCAACAAAACTATATAAATGAATACATAATTAACCTATTTTTAGAACTAACCTACAGAAAATTACAATTTTCCTTTCAGAAATACATTTTACAAAACTTTGGTGGTTATACATATACCATACCTGCCAACATTTGAAAATGAGAATTAAGAATTTTTAGCACGGTATGTCTTCGAAAAATAAGAAATCTGTTCCCTTAACAGGTGTTCGCACAAGCAGCGGCAGTGTAACTGGCCAGGCCATGCGCTACACACACACACACATATGCTGATCTCTACGGTATAGATCAGTGGCACAAATACGCTGCAAAACCGTCATTACAAGCCAAATGAGCTTCCGCTGCCATCAACACACACAGTATACTATACGAGAGTTCTCACACAAATCGCGGCAAATGGTAAAACAAGCCCAATTTGGCTTAAATTTCCAAAATGCGGAATATCCCACATTTTAAGGTCCTAAAATTCCAGAAATTCAGAATATTCCGGAAAATGCGGGAGGGTTGGCAGGTATGCATGTACAACCTCATTTCTTTCTCTTTTCATCATACTATAAATTAAATTAGTTTTTACATCTTCATCTTTCCATTATACTTCTTTTTCTTTCTAGTTTCATCATTTTAATTCAATTTCATTCCTCTTTCATCTCTTAATTTTGACTTAATTCTTAAAATATCAATTTTACAAGATCCTCTGTTTTGGTATCAATGCATGGAGCAAGATTTCTATAAATAACATATTCTTACATAGATGATTGAATAGCCATTCTTCTCAATGAAGCATAGCCATAAATCGAATAGATATAGAATTACTGTATCTGCCTATCAAATTGACTTTGCTACTGCATAGAGTCATGTTGTAATTACAAACAACTTACGCTTTCTTGGCATAACCAACCCCAGCAATGCTGACAAAGGCATTATGAGCACCATAAGTATGACTAGGCAGAACGCAGACAATCTCGGTGTCACTTTGAGATGAAATCTTGCATTCCTTTCCTCCAACATCCACGCTCGCACCCGAATCACCAAACTTGGTTCCTACGATGGTCAGATCGGAACCACCTGGACATAACAAAAAATAATAGTGAGCTCCCTGTCAAAAACCATGTGAATCTCCAAGCGTTGGGATAATAAGAAATAATTTCCCCCACAACAGAATTAAATCCTTGGTACCCCTAACAACCACAGACTGAAATAATGTACCTAACTGCAGCAAATTCTCGACAAAGATACAGTGATAAGTTGAAAATAGCATTCCATGGTCACCTTTTGGGCAAAATAAAGAATAAGCCAATCCTCTCTCTCTCTTTCTCTGTGCAATTATCAAAATCACACCGTCCCTGTCCATTAAACCTCTTAACCAGTTAACTACTGAATTCTTTAATTCTCACAGGGTTAATACATTGATCACACGGTTCCCGTAGGCAGTGGGTGCTGCACAGTATCCAGATGATAGAAGAAGTCATCATGCATTCATTTCATACTGCTTCACAATTATCCAGATATTCTATAAGGAACTGGGGTGTAATGAATTTATATTTACATCACAAGAGTTGCTTTGTATCTCTTAAATGTATGAGTTTTGTTTATGCATATCATATGAATTTTGACCCCCCCCCCCCAAGAAAAAAAAAAAAAACCCCAGAGAGGCTAAAAAAGGAACCAAAGCGTTAATGGGATCACATGTGAAGGAGGCTTTATTGTGGAAATGGGTCTGTTCAGACATACCTGTTACACTTGATACAGTTGGACTGATAGATGATATGGTTGGTGTGATGTTTTCTGTCAGTGTGAACACATTGTCTAGACTGGCAGATTCACCATTTGGTATGAACACGTTCACTGAAGTATCATTTCCTTCACTGCTGGACTGTGAGTTAAAACAAAGAATACATCATTTAGACCGGCAGATTAAGTGATGAGTATGAACACACTTAAAATGAACTGTCACTCCAGGCATTCCTTGACTCTGGGTAAAACTAAATTTGTGAAAATGTTCATACTTTCTTCACCACAGGAAATGATATGAAACATATACATATATATGAATGTGTTACATATTATTTGTATATTGCCGTGACGGAGGATTATCAACATCAAACTATTTGTTCTATACATATATATATATATATACATATATTAATATCTGTCTAGAAGGCCATATATATCAACAATAATTCAATATCTTCTATTGGTAAGACATAAAACTAGTAGTTTTACCATCTCATTTACAAACATTAATCCATTGAGTACTGACTTGTCTATCTTTAAAAGGCTTTTAAAGGCTTTAAAGACATTGTTTAACAATGTTAAATCTGAGATGCATGGCCCTACGTGTTATCAGTGTCTGTGATATGGTGTAATATTGAAGCCCTAAAAAAATTGCGCTTCAAAATGATCACGAAGTGCCGCGTAAAAGTAAAAATCTTTGAGTGACAGGTTTTACAATACTCATTTTCCCCAATAGACTGTAGTGTTATAAAAAAACGTTATGAAAACGAAAAATGAAATTTTGATTTCCAATCATAAATATCTTGATAATCAGACAGGCGATAGCCTTGTAAAAGTCATGTGATTCCTGACTGGTTTATAATTATGATTGCAGCATGAAATCCAGAAATTTGTTTCAGAGTCTGAGACAAAGTTACCCAATCCCTTTGAGAAATGGTACCACTTAGTTCCTGTATCGAAGCCATGGATTAAATATTTCTATACCAGTTGATGGAAGAAGAATGGTATCCTACCTGAACTTTGCATGTAATAATAGCATAAGACACAGAGATGATATCACAAACTCTGCCTGCTACTGTGACCTCCATGTTGTCACCGAAGCCATGTCCATTGATAGTTACAACTGTTCCACCTACAAAACAAAAACAAAAAACAATAAGATCAAGCATATATACATGCATGTAGTCATAGGTAAGATTGTAGATGAATACTACAATGGGTGGTATAATTCTAATACCGGTATACAAATAATGATTGCTTTGAGGGGCATGGTAAAAAGTATTGCCTGAAGTGACCTTGAAGACCTGTGTCCTGTAAGTTGATAAAAATCAATTCTCAATTCCTGCTACAACTGATTATATTTTGCAATTGATTTTATCTTTCTGTAATACATAAAATTGATTATAAGTAACTTTTCATTGTAGAGATACAATGGAATGGAAAGGGTACAATTAAACTCAAGGGAGACACAATTGATTGCAACTCTTGTTTATGTTATGGTGCTCGGGACTGATATCAAAGACCTCTGAATGATATTCCTTATACTCAAACAGGATCCAATCCTCTCTATTTCAAAATAAATTAGAAATAAATTTAAAGGAAAATAATTTTTTTTTTACCTGCAGTACTCCCTACAGAGGGACTGACTGATGTCAAATCAAATGTATAGATGAAACTGACAGCACCTGAAAAATGAAGAGAACAAAAAAATGATAATAAAAATAATCTGGTTTTATATAGTGCTTGATACAAAGATTTCCTGAAGAAATGTGAAGCACATTACACTTCACGTCATCATAAAAAACAGACGTGTTGCGTCATGTCTGAATGAGCCCAGTGATGTTAACACGTCTTCATTCAGAAATCTTGGGTCTTATTCACACAGGACACTGTAACTGCCTTAGAATACTAGCTGCCGCAGTGTAATAAAATGGCTCAAATATATAGCTTCACTTTTCGGTATCTTATGACAGTTAGACAAGCAAGTTGCTTAAAAGTGACTTTGATTGTCAAGGCTACCTTTTCTTACCCCTCTTGGCATATTCAGTTACAAGTAAAATAGTTCAATTTTACATGGCATTTAAACCCCCCAAAAGACTTTTATGTTTAATTTGTTAACATATTTATTCAGGATAACAAAGATCTTATGATACAAATACATATAATTTTTTTCACATCTTGAGTGGCAAAAGTAGATTAGAGCCCTACTGCACTACTTGCGCCCTTTATATAGCAAAAAATGCCGAATTGGTGCCTATTGGTCCCCCATGATCCTCTTTTTCTTATGTTAATTGAGAGCTGATTTGATGAGATAACCACCTGTCAGTGACCTTGCAGGGAGGTATAATTCCCCCTGGCCAAACTAGTGCAGAGGGGTTTTAAGATCTTGCCAAATGTAGAGTAATTATGTCTTGACTAATAATATCACAGCCAGACAGGAATCAGAAACCTCAGATTCTTGACCAAAAGTCAAGTGAATGGGTACTATCAGTTCAGATCTTGAGTTGTCTTTAATCACAAGCATAATCCCAGCCAGTGGGAGTGTCGTGGCCGAGTAGTTTAAGGTGCTTGACTGGAGATGGGAAGGTCGAGGGTTGGAATCCCGACACGGCACTAATACCCTTTGGCAAGATATTAACCTGCACTTGCTACTCTCCACCCAGCATCAAATATTTATTTATTTTTTTTTTAAATGAAAAAATAAACATTTTTGGGAGAAAACAAATTTAAAACAAAAACTAGATGGGACTTCGACTGCGCGCAGTCAAAAATGATGCCTCCGTCATAGAGCAATTTTACAAACCAAAACAGAAGAAATTGTTCAAATTCAAGTTCAATTGTAATCCATTAACAGGTTCTCGGAATATCGTGATTACAAGCAATTTCTCATATACATATATGACCCTTTGATCTTTGACCAAATGACCCTAACATCTACTCAGTTCATTGGCTCTGCAAGATGTCCCGAGTTAAATAGTAATCCATCTGTCAGTTCTAATGAGAATGTGTTCACAAGCTATTATTGCATACATAATGAGCCCATGACCTTTGACCTTTGACCTCATGACCCAAGAATCTACTCAGTTCATTGGCTCTGCAAGATACATACATGATCTAAGTTTGGGAGGAATCCATCAATCTGTTCTAATGATAATGCGATCACAAGCTATTTTTGCCTGCATAATGAGCCGCATGACCTTTGACCTTGACCTCATGACCCCAAAATTTAATCAGTTCATCGGCTCTGCAAGTAACATACATGACCTAAGTTTGGCAGGAATCCATCAATCGGTTCTTGAGATAACGCGATCATGAGCTGTTTCAGCATACATAATGAGCCCTGTGACCTTTGACCTTTGACCTCGTGACCCCAAAATCTAATCAGTTCATCGTCTCTGCAAGATACATACATGACCTAAGTTTGGCAGGAATCCATCAATCGGTTCTTTAGATAACGCGATCACGAGCTGTTTTTGCATACATAATGAGCCCTGTGACCTTTGACCTTTGACCTCGTGACCCCAAAATCTAATCAGTTCATCGGCTCTGCAAGATACATACATGACCAAAGTTTGGCAGGAATCCATCAATCGGTTCTTCAGATAACGCGATCACGAGAACGGGACGTACGGACGGACGGACAACCCGAAAACATAATGCCTCCGGCTACTTCGTAACGGAGGCATAAAAATGTCAATTTTTATCTAAAAAGATTTTAAATATATTGTTTTCATTAAATTAAGATTTGAAAAAAAAAATTGATTCAATTCCAAAAACAAATTTACATTTTTTTAAAAATTCCCAAATAGTAAACCAAAATAGTACTCTCATATAGTACTTTCTAAAAATAGGTCAAATATTTCTGGTCATGTGACGAGCTCTCAACCAATCAAAAGCCAACAATTTTTGTATGCAGGATATAATAGTATATATCTGTAAAGTGCTTTAAATTGAGACATTGTATTAAGCGCTATATAAGCGAAATATTATTATTATTATAACCATTTGGGGTTGAAGCCAATCCTAGGCCAAGGACCTGAACTTTGACCTCGTACTCCTCAGCAGGTGACTGTCCTACATTACAGGTGATTTCAGTATCGGTTGATGCCATGACCTCACAGGTAACTCCATTGATAGTGATGGTATTCTCAGACGACTCGGTACTGAACATGGAGCCAGTAATGGTGATTGCTGTGCTGTCAGTGGATGAACCTGTAAAATGATAACAAGCGTGGTGTTGTTGTCAATTTTTCTGGCCTGCAAAACCAGTGGCGTAGCTTCGCCCCCCCCCCCCCCAAAAAAAAAGGGGGAAAAGGAGAGATAGGAAGGAGAAAGACGGAAATACAAGAAGAGAATATGAAAGGATATCCCCTCCCTGCATGCTGGCTGCTTTTAATTGGTGGTCTTGGTGATCCACACTTTGTTCACAGAGTAACCTGGTGCACCTAGGTTAGTGAAAATTAGGCAAATATTACGAGTTTTTCAAATTAGTGAAATTACTATGACAAAAACTAATTGTATCATATCTGATCGAATGTCTAATTCTTGCAAATTCTGCAGTTTGTTAATGTGAAAATGGCTGTCATTGACAATTGGCAAAAGCTTTAGGTTTTAGTTAATTATTTCCCGTATCCAATGAATTCCTGGTCTACAATCCCGATGGCACACATACCTTCAGTAGGTGTGATTGATGACAAGGTGGGCGTGGCCTCATTAGTGTACTCAAATGAACAGTCACCAATGCAGGAGGCTAGCAACTTCTTAGCTCGTACTTGAACCTGAGAACAGAAGAACAAAAAGTTTCAATAAAAAGGATGAAAGAAAGGGCGAACTAACTTTGCTCCTGAACATCACCTCTGGGCTTTACTTCATCTAAGATGTAAGATTTGAGTTACAGGAGCGATTAGATTTTAGGTTATTTCTGGGTAATGGGTAAGGTATAGTGATTGGTTCTGGGTTGAAGTTTGGTATTCAGTAACTGAAGTAAATTTGACTGCACTGTACCACAATATTTCATATATTATTAAAACTTGTGTTAAACAATATAAGAAGAACAATATTTATGTTGGTCAGTCCTATTTGATGTATACTTTTCACTATAAAATTTCAAGGCAAAAGTGACAGCTTTGTTTTTTCCTTGTGACAGCTTGCTGCCAAGATGCCAATGAACCACAGCATTAATGTCCTTTGGCAAGACATTAATCTACATTTGCCATACTTCACCCAGGTGAGGTAAATGGGTACCTGGTAGGAAGAAATTCCTTGAATGCTTGAGCACCTTTTCATGGTAGCTCGGCTAAAGCTGGGGTAATGATATGATCGCAAGGCCCCTCAGGGAGAACAGTAAGTATACTGATGAGGCTACCCTGGGTAAACAAGATATATTATTATTATTATCATTATTATTAACTCTTCATGCCATACCATACCTGCGGTTTGTCGTGAGGGGTCCTCAGAAACTCTCCAGGGATGGGGTTCAGGAAAAGATGTCCGTCCATCTGCTTTGTGACTTGAAGATCCACTCCAGACTGCTCATTGGTGAGGGTGTGGCTTAGCTGCCATAGAAACAGAAATCAACAAATACATGTTAAGTGGGATCCATGATACATCTACATTTCACTAGATTTCCTGCATCATGCAATTAGCTTTTTAAGATAGCATATATTTTCCAAAATCTGAACTAGGAATTACATTTCTGTATTAAAGTGATTCTGATTCAATAATTGGTCTTTTCATAATCTGATAATGACAATAATACATAAGATTATTGAGATGCCAAATCTACTTGAAATCAAATGATATAGGCGCACTAGTGTACTTAGCATCCATTTATTTGTCTTTTGTTATCTCACTCACCAGGTAAGATTGTAAAATGGCACGCATGTGTTTTGATGGTCCAGATAATGAATCATTTAGACCAAACTGTCTGGTCCTATCATTATACTCACTACTGTGATCTGAACCTAGGACCTACAATCAAAGTGAAGGTCCAGATAATAAAACATTAGACCAAACTGTCTGGTCCTATCATTATACTCACTACTGTGATCTGAACCTAGGACCTACAATCAAAGTGAAGGTCCAGATAATAAAACATTAGACCAAACTGTCTGGTTCTATCATTATACTCACTACTGTGATCTGAACCTAGGACCTACTATTAAAGTGAAGGTCCGGATAAAAAAAAACCATTAGACCAAACTGTCTGGTCCTATCATTATACTCACTACTGTGATCTGAACCTAGGACCTACTATTAAAGTGAAGGTCCAGATAATAAACCATTAGACCAAACTGTGTGGTCCTATCATTATACTCACTACTGTGATCTGAACCTAGGACCTACTATCAAAGTGAAGGTCCAGATAAACATTAGACCACAATGTCTGGTCCTATCGGTAGACTCACCACAGTAATCAGAGGTTGACTGCCACCATTCCCAGTAAACTCTACTTGCCAGGAGTATGCAGAGCAGAAACCTAACCTTGTCACTTTCACAAACCCGGTTATCAGCTCCACCTCCAGATATTGCTTTAACCTCTCCTCCGTAACCATGGCATCGATTCCTGTAACATTCAACGATTAGAATAATGATAAACATTACAGTGCATAAATTACTGCCAAGTCACTCCATTTGGACAGGGTTCTTGGCAAGGATGTTTTGAAAATCCTCGGTCCTTGTAGCAACTTTTATCTGAAGGACTAGTTTGAGAAGACAGGATTGTTTTCTTGTGTGTAATGAGAGCTTGCAGTGACATATATATTACCCTAGTCAGTGATAATTTACCCTTGGTGTCTGTTGTTGTTGTTGTTTTTTCTTCTTTGTGGGGGTGCTTTTACACTTGAGATGAACATGTGTGTTATGTGGAAGTAAAACCCTACACACATACAGCGCACGCTCTCCTTTCCCAAAACCACTCCTGTCGATCACGATTTTATACAGTGATTACAGCGCTAGTGTTTACTTAAGGCTATATAACCCCAATCTCAGCTCTAAAAGTGGTTTAAAGTCAAATAGGGGTTTCAATTTTAAACGACGGGTTTCCGTCATGATATTCATCAGAATTCAAACAAGTGACAAAATATGATCCAACCTGTGGCTGTTTTGCCATCAAATTGGAGGTCAAAGCTCCCGGCAACAGGAGGTGTGGCTGCCTGCTCTCGTTCTACCGCTATGTTGCTACCCTCAGGCCATCCACTGGATCCATAGACCACCTTATCATCATCCTCCGTCACCACATCAGCACTGGTGATCTCAAACAGAGGGAAATCGTAGCTGCAGTGATCGCCGATCATGGTAATGCGATATGCATTGCCTGCGTTCCCTTCGATCAGATCCACATCTATGTCTATCACGAAGATGTTATTGGGCCTTGCACTGGGGTTCCTTTGAATCTCAGCTGAGCTCCCTGCAAAAAATCAATCAAATTTTCAAGATAGAAATCAACAGCGAATTATGAGTCAATTACTCGAACTAGAACTACTTAAGGTATTACTCTGCAATGTTTTGCCAGTTTCTACCAGCTTTTTTTATCAGAGTGACTTTACTAATCAGCCAATTTGAAGTTTGCAAATTTTAAAACTTCATGGCTTCATTTTTTCCCCCATTTCATTCAAGCTTTCACCAATCTGCTTCTCTGATTTTTTTGCTTTCTTTTGGAGTACTAAATGCTCAACTCTGGATTTCCCTTTAACACCACAGTACCACAAATGGCCAGGGACAGGTCAGTCTGGAGTTGATCAGGGGGGTGTTTCACAAAGAACCTAAAAATTAAGGAATGCCATCAGCATCTTTGAAAATATTTTATAAAAATTATTTTAAAAGGCATGAAATGTTGATTCAAATCATTCATATTTTCTATTATCAAGGAGATTTCATGTTTTTGATGTGGAATTAATAAAAAGTCTAAAATACTTGAATTTTCACTTTTGAATATATCTTATTTTAAGGCTATAAATGGCTTTCCATAGTGTTAAGTCCAACTTAGAGTTAAGTTCGACTAAGGATCTTTGTGAAACAGGCTCCTGGGATCAGTTTGAAGGTGTGACTGGGGTTTAAACACAAAGCAACATCACACCTACCACTTGTTTTACGGCCGATGGATACATAATCAACATAGCACTCATATTCTGGATCATAATCTATTTGTATTCTATATGCCTCGTAGACAAAGTTGTTTAAATCATAATCATCATCATCATTGGCAATGTCATAGAGGTTGAAGCAACGCCGTTCCCATCTGCAGAAAACAGGAAAAAGAGAGAAAAAACTTTACTATAACATTTTTTAAAACCTATCATTACACTTTAAGGTCATTGAGGCAGGAATTCTTGCCGTTCCAAGATAAAACGGGGAAAACAAAATTGTCTTTCAAAGGGTGACCATTTTGGGGGTAAATAACCATCATCATCATCAGTAGCAAGCACACTTGTGTTGAAACCAGTTACTGCCATAGTGCTCTTTTAAAGTAACACATTATTTCAAGTACATGTAATAAGAAAAACAATCTTACAACTACAAACTGCCCCCAAAGTTGTGTTTTCAAGGCCTTTCTGAAGGTAATAACTGATAAAGACTGTCTAATTATAAGTGGTAGAAGATCATTCCAATATTTTGAGACAGATACATGTCCTATCACCGGCTAATGTGCGAGTGACTGAATATGTGAGATGGAGAGGATCACTGGCTGACCTCAATGCCCTGGCAGGTGTATATAAATTAAAACAGGTATCCAAATATTGTGAAGCTTGATTAATGAGTATTTTGTAGACAAACAAGAGTAATTTAAAAATCATTCTTTGTTTCAAAGGAAGCCAGTGTAATGATCTCAAGATGTGGCTGAGATGGATGGTCCCTAGAAACCTGAAATATCAATCGGGCTGCCCAATTTATTTTGTAGCCGTTGCACATGATCCAATTTAGTCGAGGGAATGGTCGAGAGAAGCCCATTACAATAAGGTATAGAACTAAAGGACTAAAGAAAGTATCAAAGAACTGCCTTAGAATGAGCCTCAACATAGACAAATCTCAAGAATCCTATTTGTGTATTACATGTACAAAACAAGTTAGACAAATTATCACAAATCAGAAGAACAATTTAGGGAAAGAATTACTAACGTGTTTGATGGCTCTTCCTCGTCATTGAAGAAGGCAATCCATTTATTGATATAGGAGACACTGTCATCAGACGGATCCCTGGAATGCACGACATATCGCACCTGGAATCTACCTCGAAATCCTGAACCTCGGATGCCAAAACACAACTGCATGAACATTGAATAGAAAGAAGAAGAAAAAAACACAGAACAATTAACAACAACAATGACAATACTAATAATAATAATAATCATAATAACTACAGTAATGATAGATATATTAAAAATATTAATAATAATAATAATAATAATAAAAACTAGAAATTTAATTCGTCACGAAGACGAATAAGGTGGTCTGTCTATGTCTTATGATAGATTTGAGAATGGGAGAAGCTATATAGACATGTAAACAATGATGATCATGATGAACATGATGATGATCATAATAGAAAAGGTGATGATGATCATGATAATGATAATGTTATATGATGATAAAAACGATAATGTTACTGATGATGATGATAATGATCATGATCATGGTGATGTTGATGATCATCATCTTCAGACCATGATGATGATTATGGTGACATTGATGATAATGATGATGACGATGATGAGCATGCATGAGCATGATCCTGACATCTGATTGAATAAAAAGGAAGTACTTAGATAGCAAATAGTCCCAGCTACAACATACTAAAATTTGGGAGAAAACTGTTGAATAATAACCGAGATACTGGTCAAAACACATTGTCATGCAGATACATGTTTTGACAAAAGTGACCTCCCATAGACGTAACACGCAAATATGACAAATTATGCATTGTCGCCTTTAATAGAATATTTCACTATGATGACGTCATTCAAATGAAAAATAAATGGCATATTTCTGGTAGAGAATTATCTCAGCTACAACATATCGAAATCTGGGAGAAAATCCATCACTGATAAGCGAGGTAATCTCAATTAAACAAAGACAAAAATGACGTCATCAACAAAATACATTTTCTTTAGTTTAGATGCAAATATGAAGATTTTGTTTCACTTTGTACGAGTCAGGGTGGTATGAAATCATATCTCCAACTCATGCTCTTTCCAACCATGATATAAAAATTGGGGGTCGATGGACTATCTGAAGAGCTATTTCGATTTTAATAAAGTAGCATGTTTTTGATCAAATTTACATTATATTGCACATAGCAGCACGCGCGGAATTTGAACTTTGACGCGCGCTCACGGCCTTATGAAAGGTCAAGAGTGACTGAAATTCATGTAAATTGTCATTTACGGTAAGAGGAATCTAAATCATGTAAACAAATTGAATTTGACCTTTTCCGCGCGTTGTGAGCGCGCGCACCGCGCGCGGGGACAAGTACGGACGGAAATTTTTGAAATGCTTAAAATGACCTGATTCGTACTCTCGTTTGATAGTTAAGTGATTTTGAGCATTTTAAAATTTTGACGCGCGCGTACGTGCGCGTCATGACCTTTATGTAACCTTTGATGACATGAGTTGTTGACCCTTGACCTGAAGTATATGTGATATGAATATGAATGACCTTTGTTTATGCATCATAAAGATATGATGGATAATGTGATTTCACAAAATGGCGCCTGGATGACGTCATGATGACCTGATGACCTTGAAAAGGTTACTGTCACGTCTTATGGCAATGACCTATGACTGTGTCAAAATTGAATGAAATTGACGGAACCGAACTTGAGTTATCTATGGCACAAAAAAGTGTAGGAAATAAAAATAAATAATAATAATAATAATAATAATAATAATAATAATAAAGAAAGAAAATTCTGACGAAAACAATAGGTGATCTGTCGTTGACAGACCACCTAACTAGAAATTTAATTCGTCACGAAGACGAATAAGGTGGTCTGTCTATGTCTTATGATAGATTTGAGAATGGGAGAAGTTATATAGACATGTAAACAATGATGATCATGATGAACATGATCATGATCATGATAATGATAATGTTATATGATGATAAACACGATAATGTTACTGATGATGATGATAATGATCATGATCATGGTGATGTTGATGATCATCATCTTCAGACCATGATGATGATGATGGTGACATTGATGATGATGATGATGATGTTAATATTGATGATGATGATGACGATGATGAGTATGAGCATGATGCTGACATCTGATTGAAAAAATGCGGAAATATTTAGATAGCAAATAGTCTTGAAAAAAGTGACCTCCCATAGACATAACACGCAAATATGACAAATTATGCATTGTCGCATTTAATCGAATATTTAACTATGATGATGTCATCTAAATGAAAAATAAATGATATATTCTGATAGAGAATTATCTCAGCTACAACATATCGAAATCTGGGAGAAAATCAATCACCGATAAGTGAGATAATTTCAATTAAACAAAGACAAAAATGACGTCATCAACAAAATACATTTGTTTGAGTTTAGATGCCAATATGATGACTTTATTTCACTTTGTACGAGTCAGGGTGGTATGAAATCATATCTCCAACTCATGCTTTTTCCAACCATGATATAAAAATTGGGGGTCAATGGACTATCTGAAGAGCTATTTCGATTTTTAAAATGGCATGTTTTTGATCAAATTTGCATTATATTTCCCTTAGCAGCACGCGCGGATTGTGAACTTTGACGCGCGCTCACGGCCTTATGAAAGGTCAAGAGTGACTGAAATTAATGTAAATTGTCATTTACGGTAAGAGGAATCCGAATCATGTAAACAAATTGAATTCGACCTTTTCCACGCGTTGTGAGCGCGCGCACTGCGCGCGGGGACAAGTACGGACGGAAAATTTTGAAATGCTTAAAATGACCTGATTCGTACTCTCGTTTAATAGTTAAGTGATTTTGAGCATTTTAAAATTTTGACGCGCGAGTACGTGCGCGTCATGACCTTTATATGACCTTCGATGACATGACTTGTTGACCCTTGACCTGAAGTATATGTGATATGAATATGAATAACCTTTGGTGACGCATCATGAAGATATGATGGATAATGTGATTTCACAAAATGGCGCCTGGATGACGTCACGATGACCTGATTACCTTGAAAAGGTTACTGTCACGTTTTATGGCAATGACCTATGACTGTGCCAAAATTGAATGAAATTGACGGAACCGAACTTGAGTTATCTATGGCACAAAAAAGTGTAGGAAATAAAAATAAATAATAATAATAATAATAATAATAATAATAATAAAGAAAGAAAATTCTGACGAAAACAATAGGTGATCTGTCGTTGACAGACCACCTAATAATAACATAATATCAATAATGATAATACTAATATCAATAATCATGATGATGATGATGATGATATATCAGCTTTATTAAAATTTTGAGAAAAATAATGTCCTCAGCAGTTATAAGCAAGCCACTGTATTTCTCAACATTACTTTAATATTACAAACCATTTGCCAATTTAAAACAAAAAAATAGAATTTGTATTATAAATACTTGGAATTGCGATGTTTATTAGGTACAATTGGTAGTGTCATGATAGTTTCTCATTACTCATTAAATATTTTGTTATTTCTTGTCACGAAACTACAGTATACCTAAAGCACTATTCTCCCTCAGCTCTCCATTGGGTATCAATTACCAACAGAAACTGGGTGGCTCCAGTATTAAAGCTTAAAGGTAATACAAAGTTTTGGTATGGGTCATGAATTTGGTTCAAATGAACATATCGTTGTCGCAGTTGAAATCGAGTTTAAAGTGATGAAATTGTAAATAATAAACTATTTATGTTGTACAGCTCCCTCTCAAGGTCAAGATATTAAATTAGCTATAAAACAATATTTCTTGACTAAAATCGACCGATTGGCTATTCCCGTTTGGAAATTATATATCACAACTACATATTCTGAGATTTTCATGGTCGCAGCTCCCATTGTTTGGCCTTAGGCGCTATTTGAAATTTATCGGGAGCACTGGTAAATTTTGATATTCAATTTTTCTCGAAAGCAGAAGTGTTTTAGGGGCTAATTTTTCTGGTGCTTATAATACAACCACCGGGGCATCCAAATATATCAAATTTGTACAGAATCACTATCCAACCAATTTTCAAAATTTCCCCCAAATTTGTATTACCTTTAATATCATGAGAGAAGTCAGAAGTCAATGGGTTGATATAACCATCACTATCGTTCATACTAATCATATCTGTGTCATTACGATCATCATCGTCATAATAATCTTATCTCGATAATACTTCACCTCTTTATTGCTAGAGATGTCAAATCTTCCCTTGGTATCCCCATCGGACGAAGGGGTCCTGCTCTCTCTGAAGATATATTGTGGGTTCTTGAGCGATGTTCTGCCACAATACGCTTCCTGGCCCCTCACACGCTCACCATATTCCCTGGTGTCATACTCATCGGATTCATAGTCCTGGAAAAAGTAATAGAAGTCGGGGTCCAGTTCTGGGGAGCAGCGAAACCCAGTCATGTCTACCAGAGCATCCTCCACCTACAATTTTACAAAAATATGAGAGCATGCAAACTGTTATATCATACAAAGCAATGAGGCTGAATAGGATAAGCGAACACAGCCTCAACGAGAGCAGATATATCAAATCATGAATCACAGATCAGTGTTCATATGAGGGTTTCAATCTCACTTTTAGGTTTGAAGGACCTGCATGATTTCATTTAAAATGTCTTGGATACACAACAATGACAACAACAGCGACAATGACAACAAGTACGACAAAAAACTACAAATAAACTTTACACAAAACGTATCACTGTCTGTGTTTAAGGAGTAGGAAGGTAATAATATTCACTTCAAATATATTGGACAAAAGTAGTTGAAAATTACACTGAGGTATCCCCTGCTTACCTCTTGAGCAGAAGAGGAGAACGATAATGGGGTAGACTGAATTCCGGCATAAGTGATGGTGAATTCATCCGGTGCCACTCCCGCTGTCCCTTCAGATACTTCATCCACCGTGATGGAAACGGTTTTGTCGCCGGTGTATGTCAGAGCAATCAATTCAGACACACTCTCTAAAGGTGTTCAAAATCAAATTAAAAGAATATTTATTATGGAGGGTTGTCATTGTAAAAGATCCTGTACAAGCCCTATAAGAATACATTGTTTTGGTTCATAATGGGATTGATATGCACGAGTCAAGTTTTCAAGGAAGAAAACAAAGTCAAGTCTTTAAAAAATATTTAATAAAATTACTGACATCATATGAAAATAATTTAAATGACATACTCAAAATAATTTTCTTTCATATACAAGATGTTGATATTTTGGTGAAAGCTTATTAACACGGGACAGATGGAGGTGTGAAATATGGATAAAAAAAGGGAATTTTCTTAAAGAATCCAAAAAGAAGGATCAGGACTTTAAAATGGTAATATCTAGAAATGTACATCTGCTGGTAATGCATCCTTTTACCCCCTTCTGCTGGGCAAACACAGGAACAACAATAAAAATTATAATAATAATAGCTACATTTACATTAATATTAATATTAAAATTAATATCAAAAAGAAAGGCGTTGGTGATAATAGTCAGGTCTTGACTGATTGCCATTACAACAAAAAACAACAACAACATTGCGCACCTACAAAGTCGTATTATTACCCTGACATTAGCCTAGGGGCCCCGAGGTGCTAAAAGCATTCAAGGAATCAATTCCTACCCGGTACCCATTTACTTTACCTGGGTGGAGTGTGGCAAATATAGACCAATGTCATGCCGAAGGAAATTAGTGCCGTGGCAGGACTCAAACCATGAACCATGTGATTCACAGTCTGGTGAAGTATCCACTAGACTGTGATACCTCTATGATTGGGGATTAGCCTCGACAGGCCCCTGGCCTTTGCTGGTCCCCCCATATGTTTTTTTTTATATCTACATGTATTTAGTTGTTCTGTGTTTATGGACTTTAGATTTTGATCGCTATTTGTTTCTCTTAATATTATTTTTTGTTAATTTTGTATTACTTTGCATTTTTATATGTCTGAACATGTATGTATACTTGTTTTTTATGAACCACTTGAACTTGAATTGTTTTTATTATCACTATCTCACCTTCCTGGGTAAAACACACTGTGAAGTTGAGAAACGTATCACCTTCATCCAGAGTGACCACGACTTGGTTTGTCTCTAGGGTTGATAGGCTGTTGAGAGCATCCTCAAGTTCTTGACTCGTACTTAAGTTGGTGAAATCTACAAACAAGACAACACCAAACACCCATCAACAATGATCAGTATGTCAATTTCAATGCAAGGCACTACAACATAAAAACTATTTTTCCAATGTTCCAGTGCAACATAACTTGCCAATCGGGGAAGCTGTATCAACCTTCCACACTTCTACCTTCCACATAGATCAAGTCAACGGGAGGCGAGTTGGCTCAGTCGGTAAAGCATCCGCCTGTCAAACCAAAGATCCCGGGTTCGACTCCCACCCAGGCAGATGACTGAAGCCTGCGTTGTGTGTTAACGTGCCCCTTCCTTTGTTCATAGACGCAGGTTATGTTAAATGGAAAACACTCCGTCCCTCGGATAGGACGTTAAATGGAGGCCCTGTGTAGAGAAGAGACACTACCTTTGCACGTTAAGAACTCACTGCACTATTTGTATAAGAGTAGGGGGAAACCCCGGTGTAGTGGTCCACCTGCACTCCCCCAGTATAGTACGATAATAATCTGTTAAGAGGTCTGGACTCAAAAAGGAAGAAGAAGAAGAACTGTCTGCTAGTGCATTTTCATATTTCATGAATGTTCTGAACTTCATATTTTTGGCAAGCAGCACACAATAGTATCACAGGACACATGTGCCGTTATGAAGGGTCTGAGGCCAGTTTCGAGAAACTGTCATATGTCTAAGTTCATGGTCATCAAAAAGAAACGTTTGTTAATCTAAAATGTGTTTCAATGGGTGCTTATAGATTTCTGACAGTTGAAAGAAATTGGGTGCAGGGGTTAGCATAACTTGCTTACCTGCCGAGACTCCATCATATGCTACTGTGAAGCCTGTGAGAACGCAATCTTCTGTTTCACACGATGAGATGTCAATATTTATCAACTGGACTTCCTTTTGGCCAGACACCCTGATAATCTAAGATTCAATTCCATGAAAATGTGCATACTTAATGAATATTAAACACATCACCATGCAAAACTTAACCATACAGGTTTATCTGATACAATTCAATTTAAATTTTTTAAAGCATCTTGATTAATCAACACACCATTTTTGTCATTTTTTTTCATTTATTCAATCAATCGTTTGGTGCATTATTCAATTCAATTCAATTTCGGTTTCATTGTGAAAAAGACATGGCAAAGTCAGAAGACTTATATTGTCATATTTACAGCAAAATACAAGAAAACATGAAATATGGTTGTAAAATGTACATTGACATAAAATACACTAATAATAACTTAAAGATGTTCATTAAATATATACCATGTTCAATTAACATAATCCACTAAATTACTCAAATCAGTAATTCGTTCATTCACTTTATTTATTTTCAGTCCATTGATCTTTGTATTTCATTTCTTCTTTAAATTCATTAAAAAGGTCCTAATTTCTATATGTACCTGTACTTCTGGGTTAGAATCAGCCACAGTCTCAATCAACTGCACGTCATTACTGGCTCGAGCCACATCCTTCTCCGTCCAAGTGGTCTTGTGCAGACCTACACCCAACTCTATGTTGGAAGCGGAACTGTAATCATAATGACGGGCCTCCAGGTAGTACAGTCGATCCTGATCCAAGGTCAGCTTATGAGATCGTTGACTATCGCTGACAAAGAATGTGTTTGTTTTCCTCTCTGAGTACGCTATCTTGACCTGTATGGTAGGAGGACAGAAGTAACTGGTAGGTCAACTGAAGCATTATGCGCAATTCCAAGCATTACGGATATATAATCTAAAAATGAAGATTTTATTTAAAAAAGGAGCTAAATCCACTTTTGATAAAAATTGAGTTATTGATATCAGAATATTGTTCCCTAAGTACCTGTCTTTGAACAAAATTATTTACCTAAAATTTAGGGGCAATTATGAAAACATGCACCTTCTAATACCACTTTCCAATAGACGCCTCTACAAAATCTAGCAAACAAATTCTTTTTTCTCTGAAATGACGAAAAATGGATTTAGCTCCTTTTGGAATTAAACCTTCAAATATATATACGAAATAAATATGAAGTACTTTCATGACAATTGGTTAATGGGTTTCCTATACACTATTCATCATACGGCTATGTTTAACGGAATGACCATGAAATCATCTTCAACGTCACTCCTCAACAAAAAGCTTTGTATAATTTGAAAATTCATTAGTATGATAAATGGTTGATAAAAAAGTAGGGAACTGAACTGTTTTGAAAGTACTTCATATTAGTTTTCATATCATATCATATCATTTATTTGTAGATATTCATTAAACTTCTCTTTCTCTTCCTGTTGATGCCCATAAACACAAGAGTTGATATTTACATCACATTGAAATGTAGATCACTTTTCCATACCTGCCAACAATTGAAAATAAGAATTAGGAATTTCTAGCACGGTGTATGCCTTAACAGGCGTTTGCACATGCAGCGGTAGTGTAACAGGCAATACGCTGTAAATCTGTACAAAATAGTTAATACAAATTTGCTGCTCGATCATGCACGCCATACATGAACTCTCAAATTGCGGCACATCATAAAACAAGCTTAATTTGGCTTTAGCAACAACAACAAAAAACAAATTTCAGAATTTTTAAAAATCAGAATATCCAAATTTTTAGGTCCTAAAAATCCAGAAAATCAGAATATTCTGAATTATTAGGAAGGGTTGGAAGGTATGCTTTTCTGTCCTGCATAAAATATGCTAATCAATTTTTTTTTCCTTTTTTATTTCTTAATAGGATCTTACCGCATTCTCAGGGTTGGAAGAATTGCTAAGCCACAAATCAACTACATCATCTCCTCGCACATAGAAAGTGTAATCTCCAGTTTGAGGAGGCGCAAAGTACCCAGAGAGACGTGAAGCAAACTGGTTATCATTGGGTTCCTCATCGGTAAATGCTGCATCTATTATTCCTCCACGAACGTAGACAGAATCACTGGTGTTCCAATGAAAGTCATCCAGACTACATGTAGGAAGAAAATGACATTATGATAATAATAATGATATTCATTTCTTGTATAAGGCAAACCACATTATATGACACCCCCATGGGCTTCCAAAAATTGGCAATCATCTTTGAATTTATTTATATAAAGATCAATAATTATGAATACACAATATCATGAAAATAGTATGATTCTTCAAAGTTCATATAAGATTTTGTGAAATGTCATGCACGCAATATCATACAAATCATTTAAGCTGGGCAAAGGCATTGGGAAATAAAGTTTTGGGTGATAAAAAGGGAAATTAATGGGATTAAAATATATAAAGCAATTGATAAATAGTAAGGACATGACGTCACAAACTGATAATCAAATTGGCCATTTGTGTAGTGATTTCCATTGTTCCATACTTTTTCAAAAATTCATAACTTCCATATTAGTTATCCGATTTTACTCATTTTTTTGGTGCTCTGTTTATCTTGTTTTAAATTATTAAATTATCTATTAAATGCAAATTAATTTTGGAGTGGACTTAGTCTTTAAAGCAGGTTTGACTGTATTACCCTTGATTAGATGTTTGATCAGCCCACCACTCCAACAAAAGGCCTCTGCCACCGGGGTAGAGATCCGAATTCTCAGGAGCTGGGCTTGTAGAACATGTGATCTTCTGTGGCTCTTGAGTCACAATGTCACAGGGTTCACCTAAAGGTCAAGAGTCAAACCATCATAAGAGAAATGATTGGTGGGATGCAATTAGGACTTGGACCTTATCATATGTGTACAGGTGTGTGGGTTTGTTGGTATATGTGTGAGTTTGATGGGGTGTGCAGGTTTTTGGGGCTGTGTGAGTTTGAGGCTGTAAGGGTTTGAGGGGCTGTGTGGGTTCGAGAGGGTGTGTGGGTTAGTGGGATGTGTGGGTTTTAGGGGCTGTGTGGGTTCGAGAGGGTGTGTGGGTTTTGGGGGCTGTGTGGGTTAGTGAGATGTGGGGGTTTGATGGGGTGTGTGGGTTTAAGGGGGTGTGTGGGTTTAAGGGGCTGTGTGGGTTCGAGAGGGTGTGTGGGTTTTGGGGGCTGTGTGGGTTAGTGAGATGTGGGGGTTTGATGGGGTGTGTGGGTTTGAGGGGCTGTGTGGGTTAGTGGGATGTGAGAATTTGTGGAGGTGGGGTGGGGGTTAGGGGTTTGTTGGAGAGGGTGGTTTTGTGGGAGTAGGTGGATTTGATGGGTTGTGTGGTTTTGAGGGTTGTGTGATTTTGAGGGTTGTGTGGGTTAGTGGGATGTGAGGATTTGTGGGGGTGGGGGTTAGGGGTTTGTGCGAGAGGGTGGTTTTATGGGAGTGAGTGGGTTTGTGAGATACAGACACAGGTTAGTTATATATCCTGATTAAGTTCTGATCAAAATTATTCCGCAGGAAATATATTGCCCCTCAATTACATAATTAGCAAAATAACATTTTACAAGGCATATTGAACTAGATATTAATAGTATTCCATTTAAAATAACGGACCTTCTTCGAGAAGTTGCATACTGTAAACCACTGAAATTCATTGGTCATCACATACATACAGTATTGTTTGGTGGAGCAACATGTGATTAAAATATCTAGTCTGTGTGTACTATATGTAACACCAGCAAATCAATTAAACATGAACATGGTATTGTATAGGTAATGTCCTACTTATTCTTCTTTTTCTTTTTCTAGAGTAACTACACCAAACCGTTCACTCTTAATTAGATTGTCCCTATCCAGTGTTGGATGGATTGCAATGTGCAGGGGGTCAGTGCTTCCTGGTGGGCATTTCACAAAACTTGCCATCAGTGACAAATGACAGGTTTTGTTTTAAGCTACTGAAATCCTTGCTTCTGATTGGTTATCAGCAGATTTGTCACTGATTTTTGTCATTTGTCATTGAAAAAAGGCTTTGTGAAAAGCCCCCAGATCATCTTCGGTGCAAGGGTCCGCTTGATGTGATCAGGCTAAGAAACGTCGGTAATATCCTGAGAAGTTTTGGAGGATGACCCATCACTTACCTCCCACGAGGACATCATTGACGAGAAGGAAACCATCGCCCTTGACGGTCACAAGAGTACCCCCCTCTAGACTCCCACTCTGTGGTGAAATACTTGTGACCACTGGAATGAATAGAGAAACAAAGGCAATGACCCACATTAACATAATAATGTCAGTTTGGGTTTAAACCCCGACTAAGTGGGTTAAGCTCTTTCAATAATAATATGTCTTATACTTGTATAGCGCACTAAGATATAACGTTTCTATGCGCTTCCAAAGGACTTTGGATTTACATGTAGTTCTGCGATTCATGGAGCTTCAAGTGTCCTTCTGTCCTGTAAAATTATCATAATTCTGTAGTTAAATGAAAAAATGATATTACGTCAAGGTGTAAACAATTTATAAACTTCATTTCATAAGTGGGTCCATTTAGTTTATTAATTTAGTTTAAGAATTTATGAATCAAGTCAATGTATACAGGCAATGGCACAGTAGGCGTAATACATTCAGTAATTGTTTTTGTCATGTTCAATACAGGGCATGGGTTAGAATGAAAACCAATACTAGATATAAAATCGCTTTCCAGACCAATCATGTTGAAACTATTCTTAATATAAACATGATTCAATCAAAGTTTCATATTGGGTGCCATAGACGAGGTTTAACTTATATTTTTCTTTGAACTGTACTTGACCTTGTCCTTGCCACCGTATTTCATCTTAGTTTCATAAAACTGCATTGCACTTTAGATTCATTTTTCTTATTTTCTATTTTGTCAATTATAATTCATGTGTTAGTACTTTCTTTTCTATATTTTTGTTATTGCTCTTCTTATAGGTACTACAGTATGTCCCACTTGCAGGCCAAAAAATGAAAAGGTTAAATTCCAAAGGCATTTGAAAGATAATACTAATTTAGAACTTCCATCAGAATGAAACGGCTTGAAAATGTCTTCTAGTGGGCGAATAATGACCGTTAGTTGTCAAATCAACTTTAGTGATGGCAATCATTTTACTAATAGTCTGATTTTCAGACCCTTGTACCGCATGGTTGTACGTTTTGTGCTGGGTAAATATTCAATCAGTTTAATTTGGGGCCGTTACAAGCAGTAGGTTATTGATGTAGACAAATGCTCGTGTTTGTTCTCAGCAATGTTCTGTGTGGTTTTATATACTGTAGTTTATATTTTGTATTGGAATGTTTGAATGTGTTATACTTTGTATTGGAATGTTTGAATGTGTTATATTTTGTATTGGAATGTTTGAATGTGTTATATTTACCATATTTTCCATTTTATACCATATCTCAGGTGCGTACGCAGGGGAGGGGAGGGGGGGGGGGCAGGTTGGGGTTTAACCCCCCCCCCCCCCCCTACTGAACGAAATATCGGTCGGCATAATTTTCCTATTTCCGGGACAAAAAAACAGTGTTTTAAATAAAGGAATCAATCAATACATTCAAAATAATCAAAGATTCACCTGCGTATTGTTGGTAGTGATATCGCTTGCCCTGCCCATCCACCATATATGTGTCACTAGGAGCATATGCATTACCATGATCATGAGAAATCTGCACCACCAACGGATAAGATCCTGAGAAAATAACCACAGATAAAATTAAAAGGACAATTCAACTTTCCTGATGAGTGCATTAGTGTGATAGATGAAAAATAATAGAAACAGAACATGGTAAAAGTTTGAAATAAATCAAATTATGAGAAAAATCATGAAAGTTTGAAATATGAAATCATTAAGTTAACCAACAAGTGAATCTCAAGTTATGCCGTATTCACGATCAACTCTCCTGTTTGTCGTGCACATACTAAACAATTACGTTTTGTTTTCTCCTAAATCCATATTCTCCCTTGGGGCACCACTCATAATACATTATAGATAGCATATTGATATGGGTCCTCCAGAAAGAAAAGATCGTGCTGAGTAATCCATTTTGAACATTGGATTTTTGATGGTGTGTGTGTGTTTGAACAAATTAGAGAGTCGTCCATTACTTCATTACAGTGACAGTACTGATTCAGCCAATTTTAATACCCACCTGTAAACTGATTACTTTCAACTATTCATAAGAATCATAACTCTCTTTTTCTTTGTCCAATTTTGTTCACACCTTCACCAATTTGCTTCTCTCTTTTTCTTCTTTCTTTAAGAGCATTTTGCCATGAAGGTTGGATTACCCTTTAATACTGTAGCTTGTAACCCAAAATCCCAGTCTGGTCTGGCTCATCACCATATATAAACTATTTGCTAAATAAAGTTCTAGACGGGTTCAGTAAACTCATTTAGGAATACAGTTAAAACCATCATGAAAATATTTAACAATTTTTTTTAAATTTCTGCTTACGGTTGGTACTACCTCAATCCAACCTCAAAATAATAATGGTTCTCGTTCAAATTGCAGCATCATTCTTACCCGGCACATTCGTCTCTGGAGAGCAGGCAACATAAACCCAAGCAACAGTATCCTCGTACTGGTATTCCAAGCGTATTCTGCAAAAAAGAAGCAAATAAACTCTCTATATGGAAATTCCATATTACATCCACGGTACTTTTGCCCTACTGCAGTCCATTCTCCCATCAGGGAGAATTGAGTGTGGTAAGAATCTAGCCATAAATGGGTTGTCTAAAGGACAACCCTTGTAATAAATTCATTGGTATGGAAGCAGAATCTGAGTTCCACAGGGTAACGTCATCGGCCCAATGTTATTTCTGGTGTTTATCAATGACCTGCCAGAGTACCTGTCTTGTGACGCCACTGTTAGACTCTTTGCAGATGACTGACTAGTCTATCGCAACATTGGATTAGAAGCTGACAGTGTACAACTCCAGGAAGACATCAACTCACTGGAGCAATGGGAAGCCGACTGGCTAATGGAGTTCAACCCGAAAAGAAATGCCAGTTCCTCCATGTTTCCAACAAACGCAAGCCCATCATCAAGTCATAGCCTACATCATTTATGGACACACTCTGGAGAATGCAGACACAGTAAAATATCTAGGAATCCGTCTACACAAGAAGCGTAGTTGGAATTACCACATCGACCGAGTAACAAAAAAGTCTAAATCCACCGAGCCTTCCTCCAGAGGAATATCAGATCATGCCCATGTATAGTCAAAGTCTGCTACCTAACCTTGCTTAGACCAGTCATGGAATACAGGAGCATCATCTGGGATCCCTTCACCCAAGCCAACATCAGGAAATTAGAGATGATCCAAAGGAGATACGCATGCTTTGTTTGCAATGACCATCACAAAATAAGCAGTGTCACAGTCATGCTTGACCAACTTCAATTGCCATCTCTGCAAGAAAGGCGAGTCCAGACGAAGGTACAAGTTGTGCAGGTAGCGATGATGTTCTGCATTAATGAAGAACTCACTGATTTCCTATTTCTATTCCCCTGGCAGCTCTGACTCCATCGCTACTTGCTTCGGGAAGAGGCCATGACCAGAGACTCCAAGTGCCATATGCCTGGACACAAGTACTGCAAAAGAGCTTCTTTCCTGATGCCACCAGGCTCTGGAACTTACTACCCTAGGCCGCCGTCACCTGTACCTCTCTACCAAGCTTTAAGAGAGGTACTCGAGATCCAGCTCTGTTAAGCTACAGATGTCTTTTTAGCTGCACACAGTTGTTTGTAGGCCTTTTATTGAGTCAATATATACATATACATCAGTATGAGAATAGACCAGACGGTAGTCTGTACTTATAGCAAAGAAGAAGAAGAGAAACAGAATGGCAAAAGTTTGGATTATATCACTAAATCCATGTGAATCTCATTTGGCAATTTGGTTAATGGATTGTGGCGTAGTCATGGGACAACTCTCCCGTTTTCGTGCACAAAATATAATTAAGTTCCCCTTTTCTAATGCACATAAGTGCCCTCTCCCTTGGGGCACTGCTCAAAATATATATCATGGATATATATTTATATATAATTTTAGGTCCTATAAAAAGAAAGGATCCTCCCGAATCATACATTTTGAAAAATTGACCTTTTAAACATTTTGTGTGTTGAAAAAAAAAGGAAATTCATTGCAGTGACATTACCAATTCAGTCAATTTTAAGTGTTCAAATGTATAGAATATATAGTAGTGATCACGGCTTTACAAATTTTGAACTCTTTTATTTTTTCCTAATTTCATTCAATCTTCACCAATCTGCTCCTCTGTTTTTTCCTTCTTTAGGAGTAGTTCATGATTAAGGTTGGGTTTCCCTTTAAACTTAAAAAAAAAAGGTTAAAAATGCAACAATTGGCCTTTATAGAAAGCCCTAAAATCCACCAGCTTCAGGGGGCTCTGCACTCCGGCTGGGACTTTGCCCCTGTACCCTGCTTGGTGTTGGCTCGGTCGCTACGCTCCCTCGCAGCACAGTCAAACATACAGGTTGGCACTTCAACTGAAAATTCTTTTTGTTTTGGCCCTTCTAATAAACTAGTAGAGAAGGCTTGCAATAGATGATTAGCAAGAATATTAATAGAAAAGTACTCACGGTTCTCCTGTTGTGCCATCGATAGGATTACATTTGTAAGGTCCCCAGGTTATTCTGTAATTAAAGTTAAAAAATAAATACATGAATATTGAATACCAGTAACTATAGTCTTAATACCATGGGGAGAGCTTTTGGGGAGAGCTTTTGGGGAGAGCTTTTGGGGCGGCGGGAGAATGAGCGTGGTGGCGTGAGACTCCCTCCAATGCGGGAGGGTTGGTTGACAGCCCTGAACTGAATACGTATTGACCTCTAGCGCTGCACTACGTACAGTAGTACGTGTTAAATAGGCAGCAATTGCACACATGTATAGTCAACAAAGACGACATGTCATGATGTGGCTGATCGGCAAGTATATGACAGTAGACTCACGATTTGAATTTTCAAAATATTCTTTCTAACATCGAATCAATACAACAGGTGTACGAGTCTAGGCCTGGAATCTATATCTAAAACATTTCTAGCTCAGCTCTGCTCAGCGTGTATAGTCTATGTTGGCAATAGCCAATACACGACGCGACAGCGAGACGACACGGCGGCGCGGCAGTGCTGCTGTCAAAAAAACGCGCTCGCGTTATCGTGTAGCACACTATCACACACTTGCCATGACACAGTTATCATCATAAACAACGATGTAAAGAGCTTAATCAATTAATTGATAAATTCATTAATACCGTTACCGTAAAATGGCGAGAATTTGCTGAAGTGGTATCCTTTACTGCTCTAGACCAGGGAGGTGAACACTATACCCTACCCTAAACCTAACCCTAAACCTAACATAAAACCCTATTGAAACCCTAACCCTAACCCTACATCTTAGACGAAATAAAGCCCGGAGCAATTGTCGCAGGAGCAAATGTCGTGTCACCTAGCAGACATCGTAGCTCTGTTGTATCGCTAGAGGGAGACAAATACTACATACTAGCAATGCTTAGCGCTTCTAAAAACAAATCAAAACACATACTATAAAACTTGCCTCGAAAGAGTTGCACGACAACGGTGTTCCGGTTGTTGGTCAAATTATCCTACACTAACTGAATTCTCTACGACGGGAACAAACACCTAACCCGACCATAAAGCATATAACCCTTTCATTTATCAAAAACCCAAACTGAAACGTTACCCTATACCATAAGGAGCAATATTGTCAATGTAGCATGGTGGAGCACCATGCCTCTATTATAGAGAAAAGGATCAAAGTCTTACTGGACTATGTATAAAGCGTTGGTGACGTCAGACAGAGAACTGGCAGCGTTTTCGTATACGTTAGTGTAATACCTCCCTAAGGTAGTTGTGCTTGAGCCTGTACAAACAAACGGACAAACGGACAAACAAACAAAAGAGTTTCACATTATATATCTGCACTATAATGATAATAATAATAATATACACTGCTGCCAATAAAGTGGACCAATTCTGTCTTACCTCTTTTCATGAAATGATTGTGTCAATTTATACCTTCTCAGCTTGAGCTTTGGTTTTTATCCATCTTCACAGAGATTGATCAATAAAGTTCAGAGAATATACTTTATCATGAATAAACCATATTAAGAAAAAAGAAACAAATGCTTTATGGACAACGTCACTGACGTACTGATGGGAGGGCCGGGTGGCCCCAAATAAAAATCAAACTTGGTTTATTTCTAATTCGATACCATGCAGTGATTTACAAATGTTGCTGAAATGGCATGATTTTCCCAGAGCTTCCGAAGGCTCTGCCCCCTGGACCCCACCAAGGGCCCTAAGGCGGGCACCTGGATGCTCATCTGATCGTAAATAAATGCTAAAAAACCTTGAGCTTCTGGAGGCTCCTCCCCTTGGACCCCACCAAACTCCAATTAGTGACCTTCCAGTGTTACAAATATGGTATCAAAATATGTTCGATTGGGCGTTACCTCCCCCTTTCCCCTCCCTACCCTGTTGTGAATCATACAAAAGTCCATATATCCTGCTGCATAATACTTTTTCCTTGCTGTGCATGAGCACAGGGGCGTTTTTTTTCCAGTTTTTTGCTGTTGCTCAAAGGGGTATGGGGGAGGGTTGTTGAGTAAAAAAAAAAAAAAAATGCTCCATATATACCCCCCCCCCCCCCCCCTCCGCTGCCCGTTGAGCCAGAAGAAGAACAAAAATAGGGCTCACTGCCAAGGAAATGGAGGTTTCAGTATAGGGAAAGATAAGCATTATCTTTAGAGCATAATTTTGATTACCCCCCCCCCCCTCCCACTTGAATTTGGTTAAGAGACTTACCAACCGGTCCTGCATATGAGGTAATCTGCGTCAATTTCTCGTGATTGTTGCCATTTCTATACTGTGAAGATAGAACAAATTAAACATAAAATTAACACAAAGATATATTTTATGTCTATATATGCGGAATATAATGCTTCTTGTAATATTCATGTCCATGTCCATGTGTAAGGATGGAACTACTATATATGTTTTATATATAATGCAATAGAAAAATCGGAAGCTCTTGAAGCTCCGTCGTCGAGCTACAGTATAAAACTTTTGTCATTTCTTCAAGTATAGGTTTTCAAATCTTAGCCTTCAATAATTGGATGGTTTTTGAGATATAAGAACCTGCAGTTGGTGTGGATGTTGTTGTTGCGTGTTTGTGAGATCGTTCGTTTTTTGTGTTAATGTTGTTCTTTTGCTTGCTTGTTTGGTCAGAGATCTTTTGAGATCTATGCTCCCGGAACAAAATCCCTTTGTTTCCTCCTCCCCGGCTTAGAACTTTTATCACATGATAATCTGACCTTAATAACAAATTGCTCTAAAAGAATGCAGAACAATTAGAGAAGTAAATTGGTGGTGAAGGTTTGAACGACATCGGGCGAACAATAAGAAAACTATGACCTTTTAAAAGTTGTAAGCACTACACATTATTGGAATTTCAAATTGGCCGAATAGGTAATGTGACTGTGATGTAGCGGCGGAAAACTCTCCAATTGGTTCCAACATACAAATTTACTAAATGTCAATGTTTCATGATGAAAATGTTATTTTTTAAGAAAATATCACAAGAGTATCAATATTATTTATCAAAAAATAAAAATTGACAAAAATCAACAAAGACAAATCAAAAAGTTGAATTCCCGTAGACAGTAAAGCGTTTAACTTACTTCAAACTGGCAATAACGAGTTCTTCCGGTACATTCTGGTATCTGTGTTCCATCCACCTCCACAATCACTTCAAACAAGCCTACCTCACCAGGCCTGTAAGAAATAATACATTTTGTAATCCAACCTCACGTTTTGTTTGCAATAAAGAAATAATGATAAACCATTCACTCAATTACCTCTACTGTGCTGTGACCCATGGGTTTATGATCATGAGCCAATATTTTAAGTGGGGATGAGCTAGCGCCAGGAATATAGTACATGTACATACGATTCGGGTATTAGATTGGGGTCCGTTGATTATACAGGGATCGGGGGGGGGGGGGGCTACAACCCTGTTCTTCTTAGAAGAAAAAAAACAAAGCATTTCTTTTTGCCTTTGTATTAAAAAAATGCATGATAGCGAAGCCCTTCATAGTACATTTTATTTTGCCGGATCGAGTAGCAAGCGTAGGAGAAATAGTGTGTTGGTTTTCGTAGATTTAATTTACTTTTCATTTACAAGCACTTTAATCAAACGGGCAAAGAAAAGTATGAGCTTGATATCGCCCTACTTTCTCCTCCTAGAGGGATAAGCAGCGTTAGATCATCACTTTTTTTTGAGAACTTGTCTATTCGGTGTACGACGTCTCTCCAATTAAATGATATTTAGAGTCTTTATCATTACGATTTTATATACAGATCTTCTTCATTTTAGAATGAACGTGTAATGTCTATTAGGGGAGAAATCGTAGCGACCGGGCGAGATTTGAACACACTATAAGGCCCTCTATACCGAAAATTCATCTGATATTTAAAGTTATGTAAGGTTGGGTTCTTGGCCTCGTCTTAATATCGGTTGAATAAATGAAAAAATCCTAATACAAATAATAATACAAATTTTAACTATTGAAATAGTTAGGAAATAATAATACAAAGATAAATAAAGAATAATCCATTTAGGAAACATTTCTTTCATGAATTCCCTCCAGAAGTCAACCTTCTCATAAAAGGGAAGATAATTGTTCTTACCTGGTCACGCAGACGAGTCGACTGGGGTTGCTACGGTATGGTACTACGTCACACGGTATTTGAGTATAACCATTCGTAAGGTATACCTTGTTACCCAGAGAATCATCATCAAGTTCAAACACCTGACTGAATTCTGGAAAAAGATGCAGAAAATATTTCGTTTCATTTCATTTTTCCTTTTTCATTTCATCTCTTTCGTTTCATTTTCATTTCATTTCATTTCATTTCATTTCATTTCATTTCATTTCATTTCATTTCATTTCATTTCATTTCATTTCATTTCATCTCATTTCGTTTCATCTCAATTCGTTTCATCTCATTTCGTTTCATATTCCATTTAATTTGTATTTCGTTTCCTTTCTCTTCGAAACATTGGACGTTTGCTCACTACAAAACCAGACATTTTTAGCTGCATGACTTGTGTTCCAAATCGCGTTAGTTTCATGCCGATCATTAATTTAATCAAATGAAATAACACAGCATTGATTGGTTCGTGCCTTGAAGTTTTTCACATTATTGCATATCAAAGAAAGTTGTTCATAGTGATGCGAAACCAGAAAAGTTCTTCTTATCAGGAAAGTCCTTGAAAGTTTTCAACATTTTTACTTGCTCCTGAAAGAATTATCCATTTGATATTTTTTGTACATTCATGGGTGTTGGGGAAAAAACATGAATTCACCCACACTTCCTAACTACAATTTGTCTTTTATTAAGGTATGCTCTCAGTCCCACCCCCCCCCCTTTCCTTAGGTACGCCCCTAAGGTTATACGTCACCTTGTCCCAGCAAGGCTATCTCTGTACCGCCTGCCAAGCTACCAGATAAGATAGACGTGAGTCCGTTAAATGCAGGCTCGCTTCTCACCAGCGTCACTGGAAAACAAAATAACAGACGAAAAACAATAATATTTTTTCATTCGACCTAACGTATAGAGAAAATTGAAAGCTTGAAAATAGATGTTAATAGCGATCTGTTTTCAATTTAAAGTGACATTTACTGTCTACCATTCACCTTCCCTAAATTTCACTTTATTTATTCACTCATTCATTTAGTTACATATCTATTTATTAAGTATATATAAATAAATCTATATAATATACACACATATATACATATTGATTTATTTATTCATTCGTTTATTTATCTATTTATCATTCATTTGATAATCTAAAACGATTAATATTTAATAATCTATTTTTTTAATTTCGCGGCTTGTGTGCGGAATTACAGATTCTTTTACAAAGGATAACATGACTTTAGCATCAGTAATATTAAAAGTATACGCATATTTGTATTGTATTGTATCGTATTCAATTGTATTGTGTTGTATTGTAGTGTGCTGTATTGTATTGTCTTGTATTTTATCGCATTGTGTTGTGCATATCTTTTCAATGGTTCCCTTTATTCTTCACAGACCACTAAAGCACTGCCTAAATGTGTAGGCCTATTATTTACAAATAAACGAAGACGTGGTTATACTATTTTGTTTTAAATTTACAAATGATCTACCAACAACGATGAGAGACCACACGAGATCGAAGCAGTGATTGATCAAAGTTTAAAGTATACAAACCGAGCAAGCAGTCATAACTAAAACATGTTGAAGCCTCGGCGTTCGGGTGAGCCCCCCCCCCCCCCCGGCTGCTTATAGATGCTCACCAAAATACATCGAGTAACAATGCAAATGATAACCTCAAAGTTTAAAACCTCGAGCTAACTTTTTTTTTCTTCTTCTTCAAATACCAAAAGCTTATTAATGTTTTTTGCTTTGTTTTGTTTTGTTATCTTTGCTTAACATTATGCTATGAACGCTTTTGGAGCTACGTTTGTACAAGGCCTAAGGGCTTTATCTCGATAGTTCCCCGTTTCATTTTCAAAATTTGTTTATTGTATCTTTCGTATCAATGTAAATTTTAATCGAGAATGAAATAAATGAGAATTGATTTTAATTGAATTAAGTTTACGGACTCTCGTGTGAACCTTAACGTACTTTATCTTTCATCACCTCCGCTTCTCCTACTGAGCGGATAATATGTACCATAATCCACTTTGCATGATGGCGTCGGGTAATAATGTTTGATTTCATGCTCTAAATATCGTATTCATCGGTTTATCTGATTACAGCCGTCTGCGTGCATCCATGTGATGCAATATTCGATGGGATCGACCGTTTTATCGCCTGATTAGATCTATTGTTACCCAATTAATTTGCCTCACAGCTCGAAAAATAATTTTCCTTTTCTAAAGATATATACCGACATTGATAAGGGATGGGTAACTTTTTCGGGACGGGGGACCGGGAGAGGGAGGGGCGTAATCTGGTCTAGGAGAAGGGGCTAAATAAAAATACAAGTACCAGATTTGAAAGGGACAACTATTTGTTTAAAATAAGAATAGGTTTTATGAATTGCGAATGGCGTAATTGGCCAATACAAGAAGAGGCCTTTAATTGAGGGTTGATTCCTGACTCCGCGCAGATCCCTTTAACAAATCGTCTCTAATGACCTTGGTTTCCGCTGTTCTCTCTCCCTTTCTCACTCTCTCTCTCTCTAATCAATATCAATAGTTGGGTGTAGCGCACGGGAAAGCTTTCCACTAATTAATTCATTCGGAATAATTCAGTCTACTCTTCACAATGGGAAATTGTTTGAAATAAAGTAAATCCTGTAGGCCAACCTATTGTCACGTAACACCTGGCCTTGGCTTGAAGCTAGTTCAATTTATACAAGGACCACTAATACAATGTATATGACAAAAGGTGAGTTAGTTTTCAGCGCCAACTTGTACTTTTGCTAATAAATTTATATTGATTACCCTTTAATATTGCCCCTGGTAGAAGAGAACCCCTTAAAGGTAATACAAAGTTTTGGTATGGGGTCATGAATGTGGTTCAAATGAACATATTGGAAGCATATGCGATCCTAGATATTCAGTGATCGTTGTCGCGGTTGAAATCGAGTCTAAAGTTATGAAATTGTAATTAATAAACTCTTTATGCTGAATAGCTCCCTCCCAAGGTCAAGACATTAATTAAGCTATAAAACAATGTTTCTTGACTAAAATTGACCAATTAGCTATCCCCGTTTGGAAATTATATATCATAACTACATATTCTGAGATTTTAATGGTCGCAGCTACCATTGTACGGCCGTAGGCGCTATTTGAAATTCATCAAAATTTACCGGGAGCACCGGTAAATTTTTATATTCCATTTTTCTCGAAAGCAGAAGCGTTTTAGGGGCTAAATTTTCTAGTGCTTATAATACATCCAAAGGGGCATCCAAATATATCGAAATTGTAAAGAATCACTATCCACCCAATTTTAAGAAGTTAATTTACCAACAAATATTTAAACAAAAATTGTAGCAGTATCATTTAAAGGAAATAAAAACACACATATTTAACACGAGCGTAATACGTTTTGTAGGGCGCTCGCGCGAAATAAAAAGAGGAAAATTGTGATCACAAATTAAACACAAATTAAACACAAACAACGGGATATATCCTGAAGCAGGAGACATGTTTTTAATATAGTGATGAACGCAAGGGCTAGGAAAATATAAAGCGCACATTAATAAGTGACTCAATGTACTTTGAAAACAGTGGCATACCTAGGGGGGGGGGGGGCATGTGCCCCGTGTGGCACTTGAAGCGGCGCAAAAAATGCAATAGAAAAAGGGCGCAATTCTTTACGTCATTATAAATTCTTGTTCATGTATTCTATATCTTAATATCTAAAATCTTTAATTTTTGTGTAATTTTTGCCAGCTGAACAGGCTACTTTGTGTAAATATGTGATTTAAATAAAAAATAAAAAATAAAAGAACTATGCACCTTCATTTTGAAGGGTAAATTATAATAGAAGATGACTTCTCGACGGTTTAAAAAATTAACAAGCTCAGTCGCTTTCCTACCTCGCATGTGTTGCTTAAAAGTTTTAAATATTTAATAAAAGGGCTTTTTTTTTATTTAAGTATTATTTGTTTTTCATAAAACAGACAGAGCAACTATGAACTGAATGTTGTTTTAGATTTGAAACGAATTTCTTTAAGAAGAATGCAACGCAGCAGACATGAGCTCATAATCTTATTCAAACGCTAGTGAAGACATAAATCTGAAATCACTCCTGTTTGTTATCCGATTAAGGAAAACATTTTATCTAAACTGTATTTTTTCCTTGATAGCGATCCTCCTACGGGAGTCGCTATTTTGGAGGAAAAAATAGATTTGTTCAACTCCGTCTTGTGAAATACCCACTGACATGTGTTTCAGGACACTCATGAGTGAAATACTAATAACGGTTTATTAATAATAAAAGTGCATTGTGATATTCTCTCATAACATGTTATGACAAAATATTTGAGTCAGCTATTCGGACAATTTCGTTTGTTAAGAAATATTTGGCATGAATAAGATGCTGCTCGTTCAGACCATGGACCTGGTAAGAAAACAATAATTCCGACGATGCAGGCAAACACGTAGACAGAACTGCTCACAGAAATCAACCGGAGGGGTAATAAGATGGTTGCCGTTTAGCCTCGATGACTATGGTAATCTGGTTGTACAATTGCCAGTCATTGTGTAACACCATATCCATTCTATCCAGGTCAATTGATACTTTCAAACTCCGATATCACTCTTTTAATCAACATGGCGACTCCATGGGAAAATGGGAAACTGTAAGGAAGTGCAATAATAATCAAATAGGACTAATTTTAAGAACTTTTAAAATGGCTTAACATTTTGAATATATTTATCAGCTGTTAATTGGATTTGATTCCATTGCTTGAAGTACGATAACTTATTAAACATTTCAAAAGCAAGTCAATGAATAATCATTACTCAGCAGTAAATTGCTTTTGAAATGTTAAACATCAACTTATTGAATTGAGTTAAAGGTCACTTGACTAGAAATAATCCATGTCGGTATAATCATGATAATCCTTGAGCAAAATTGAATTCAAGGTGGAAGCTTTTAGGAAGAAAGAAAAAAAGATTATATGCAGGCATGAACGCATCCCATATAAAAAGAGTATTTTCTGCATCTATGAGCCGTAACCATTAAGCAACAAACCAAACGACTCGCTACTATGACAACGTATACACATTACACCACAGAGGCGTTCTGTTGGCATAGGAACGGCTATTACAGACAAGATAACA